GCTTAGCCATTTCAATAGTAATCCGTCGATGTGTATTCATTTGCTTCCTGCTAAGTAGAACCCAAACCCTTTCTAGCCTTTCCTGGGGCTTGGTTTGGTCCCCTTCTTAATAACTTGTAGCTCTATTTTAGAAACGAAAAATTGAAGCAGAGAAACAAAAGCGGAGTACTACTCGTACAGCAGCAGCAGCAGCACCTATTGCTAGAGAGTATCTCATATCCATATGTGTGTGATGTTTAGTGTGCGGCGTGGTGTGCGGCGTGGTGTGGTGTTCGCCTGCCTCTCTGTATAGACAATACTTAGATACGAGTATACTATTTTGAATGGTTGCGCTTTGTATTGGCCTCCGAGTGTGTCTAGAGCTTCAATAGCAGGCCAGGGTCATGCGACATGGGAGGGAAAAACTGAACTGACGCGAAACTGAGCGAACTTGTCCCTGTATGCGAGTGTGTGTGTGTGTGTTTAGTATCTGTGTGAGTGTGTGGTGTACGTAGTGCCCGTTATCGGAAGAAAACGCCAAAAGCTCGCGTTCATTGCCTTTGCAAACGTTTTCGATTCTCCCTCACTCTCTCGCTTTTGTTATGCTTTGACGCTCTTTTTGTCTATCTGAGTTTAATTCTCCCTCTCTCTATAACAGAGTGGGGAGGGCTCCCCCTCTTCGACTGAGCATTAGAAATAATCATAAATATTTGTGTGATTGGAAACTCAGATCAAAGCGGCCAAGAAGTAGAGAGAGTCCCAACAGGCAAGCTCTGACAGTGCGGAGATGGAACCTCTCTATGGGGATCTTATCACTAGGGAAGTCAGGGCAATCTTTTTTTTCTTTTCGTATTATAATGAATTTTATTTGCTGCGGGTTTTATTTTCGGGCAATGGGAATGGGGAAATGTTTTTTCGGTGAGGCTGGTCAGTAATTCAGATCGCGGTAATACTCGTGCTCGTACTGCTCGTACCTCTGACAGATGTCAAGGGAACGCTTTGGTATGGAAAGGGTCTAGGGGTCAATCGGCGTTGTTTATTGCATATCCCCCTACCCTATCGAAGGTCGCATGCATAATTTCGACGTGCAAATCTCTAAATCTTTTGGCCATTTTTGACTTGGTTTAACCACAAAACGAAACCCAAAATGAAACTGATTGACATGTTAATGCAATAAAAAATAAAGCATATTTTATTTTGCTGCTGATGGCAGTTTTCGTCGATCGCTTCTTGACTTTTGGCATCGAATTCTGTTAATTGGTTACCATCCAAAATTTAGGTCTTAACTGGGCCATGGATCGGACCGACGGACAGGTCTCATATTCTAGAAGACAGCCACAAAAACGGAATCCATATCCAAATCAATCCAAAAAAAAAAAAACTGATGGTCTTGCAATTTCAGAGTTCTGCGAAATTTGTGGTTTTTTCTTCACCCTAAAAACCTGGACATTAGTCATGTTCGACATAATGAAAATATGAAAGAAAAGCGCGAGAAGGCTATAAAAGGTGTTGCCTTTGTGTTAGAAAACAGGCAAAAGAAGCAAAATATAGGAAATAATACTCGAAAAGTCAAACAAAGAAGAGCTTTTGATAATAATATAAATATTTCTATATTATAGCTTCAATATTTCATTACTGTTTATTTTAGTTTTATCCTGAAAACCGACTGCCCATCCCATATGTGCATATATCTGGATTCCTTCAGCTATCTAAACTTTTAATAACCATTGCACTATAAACCATAAATATTGCATATATTAGCCATATGAATTTATGTATGACCCCCGTCCACCGACAGCCGATGACGAAATAGAAATATAAAAAGCTTTTTCGCGCCATTCGCTTCCTGCATTCGGGGCGACTGCTGGCTGCAGCAACTCCCCCTGCAATCGAATCGCATTGCGATTGCAACGCTGCATATGAGCGATCTACAACCGAAAAGTTCTCGTGGAAATTCTGGCCAATATGTACTATGTAGCATCTTACCATCTCAAGTAAAAGTAATCCAATTGGCGGTGTATCCATTATGTTTCGGCATGCAGCAGCAATAAAATACCATATATAATATTAAATGTTTCAAGTTTTTCTTGGGAATATTTTCCACTGTTTCCACTTGCACAGAAAAAGTTGTTGTTTATGTAAATATTTATTTGGATAAACTTTCAGGCACTTGTTGGTTGGTTGATTGGCTGGTGGGTGGGACGGTTGTGGGTCTGGGTCTGGGACGGGGGACCAGGGATACAAATTACACAAGACTCCTCTTTCTTGGCTCTCAAATTAACTGCCAATTTTCGATAGCATTTTTATGACATTCACAAAATCTTTAAGATTTTTCAACCCGCGGCGGATCTTTTGTAGCGCATTTTTATGGATTAAACAAACGATCGCATCGGATCGGTTGAGGATTGCACTTTTGATCGGGGGATATTTTCCACAGCAAATCGTTTAATTAGCGACGCGACGGTGACGGCGGCGGCGACGAAACTGGCAGTGGCAGTGACAGTTGAGGGAGCGCGGGTGGAAGGCACACACGCTTTTACAGTTACGTTTTAACAATTGATTTTCGTTGCTGGTGCTTTGTGTTGTTGTTGTTGTTGTTGAAAAGCGAAGGTAAATGTAAATTTGCTTAGCTTTTTTTGTGTTTTTGGGGGGAAAATTGCGTCCGTTACAACCAGCCGTCAAAAGGCAACTAAACGCTTTATTTTTGCACACAACACAGCGAGGGACTGCACTGAGACGCAGCCAGAGATAGAGACAGCACACGCACACACACTTGGACAGCGGCGGCAGAGAAATACACGCGCGCGTTTGCTCAAGTTCATGAGCATGAACGTTTCGTGCTCATGCAGAGAGACAGACAGAGAGGGAGCATCTGTGTTCGTGAGTGTGTGTGTGTGGGAGAGTGAGCTTAGAGAGAGAGAGTACAGAGTGCAGTTTCAATTGCAAAGTAGCTGCAGTGCAAAAGCTCTCTCACGAAAGAGTAAATCAGCATGTAAAGTGGGAAAACGGTTCATTTTTTATTTTGCCACGAACTGGTGGGCTTTTCTCTTGTTTGCGCTCTGTATCGTCTCTTTAAAATGAAACATGGAAATATCTAACGTAAAGCGTAATAGCTGGACCTTGTTTTTACCGGCTATTTATTAAACAAAACAGAAAATGCATACAAAAGCGAAACTTAAGTGAAATCTTTGATGGATCCAACCATATTCTCTATATATAATATACAAAGCGTGCCTGAAACTGTATGGAAAATCAAGTGACGCCTGCGGCTCCTTCTCTACGTGGTCTTCAGCGATGTTGGGATCTTGGGCAAACCAAACTCGTCCGTCTCGATACCAGTAGAGGTCTATAAAAGATTCATGAAAATGTCATCTCATCCTTGCATTCGTTGTTGTAGACAGGACACAAACCTTTCCCGGTACGATGCTGTCGGCGCCTGGCTCTCGACTCGGGGCCTCGGGTGCCTTGACCACATCATCCAAATAGCTGGAGTCGTCATCCAATGCCATTTCATCGCCCAAGGCATCCAGCTCAGCCTGCAAATCATCATCGTCCACCTCTGGCATGCCGTAGGTGCGACCCAGGGCCTCCTGCACCTCATCCGCCTGCTCGAACATGTCTGCCATGTCATCTTGGATGTCCTGCGGGAAGAAAACAGTGTTGGCAAGTATTTCATACCATATATAAATACAACTCCACCTCGATTTGATCAATGTTGATCTTTTTGTATTCTGTCTTCATCTGCTTGACGCCATCCTTCATGGCCGCCACCGTGGCCTGAGTATCCTTGAGTGATTGCGCGGCATAGTTGGCCTGTTCCATGTTGAACGACTGGTTGCGCAGAGATTCAGACTGCTGTTCGTAGCTGTGGGGGAACACACCATTAGTTGCAGTTGAAGTCGTATCTGTGTCTGCACTTACGCTTTCTTTTGTTTGAGCACTCGCAGAGCCTTTTGCTTAACCGAGTTCTTGGCTGGTCCCTCGCGCATCTTGGACATTTGCTCGCGATATTTACGCAGCTCCGTCTCCAGCTTGGCGATCTTCTCATCGATGTTAGTGGCCCGAGCATCGACCTATTTGGGAAATTACAAATGTCTCACTTCTTTGTTTACAGTCTGCTTATTTCTTCCACTTACGCCCACAATGCAGTCGTTTAGGCTTGGTCCCGGCTCCTTGGGCTTACCGCGTCCAAAAAGGCGATTCATTTTCGGGTTTAAATAGGCTTACGCACCGAACTTTGTTAAATTTTTTTGGGAATTTCGTTTAAAATTTTGTTTGATGACTAATTTTCAGTGTGACCGCGGATTTATTGATAAAATATATCATCTGACCCTCTGATAGTTGAGCCATCGAAGGTTTTGAATGTTTTGAAAAAATCAATCGATACTATCGTTATGGTATCGGGCTCAAATAATTATTAAAAAAAAATTGAAACCTTTTAGGAATTTGTCCATTGCAAAAATTAGATGCCACCTGTCGATTTGTTTACAAATGTGTCTTCGTATTTTATAGCAGCCAATCCAAACATATCAAAATCGCAACGACTGTAGCTCGATACTATCATGCAATACTAGCTAGCAGTAAAATATCGATACTTCCATATCGATAGTTAGTTCCTATCGATAGTTCCCTCGATGGTTTGACACCTCTAGACGGACCTGTAGCACCCCACCCAGATAAAATATAATACACAAACCAAGCATAGTTAATGGGATCTAATATATATATAATTAATTAATTATGAAATAGAATTTTTTTTGTGATCCCCTCGCATGTATCGCATAAAATCTCAAAGTCGCTGGGAAAAAAAGAACTTAAATTAAATAAGTTTGTTGTTCGTTGTTGCTTGTGTTGCAATTCGTAGTTGTTGCGCCCCTTAAATAGTTTATACAAAAAGTTTGAAATATCAATCAAGTGATATTGTGTTTTCAAAAAAAAAAAACGCCGTTAGGTTTGCTTATCGCACAAAGGTATCGATCAATCGATGCATACATATGTTAGTCTATTTAGCATCACTAATATCTGGCCCTAGTCCGCCCGCCATCACGCCTCCCATCACCTGGAAACCCTTGCTGAACTTTGCACGATTGCCATAAAAGATTAGCGAAATACGGAATCGCGTTATCAGAGATAGACCGAGATTAATCGCGCCATTTAGTCTACATTCAAAACTCAGTTAACGGACATTCGACAAGTGGATTCCAGAGAGTGAGAGCGAGAGAGAGAGAAACCGGTTGCCGCTTGTGGACGGGAACAGAGTTTTTGGCAGTGCAGGTGTTCGATTCGATTGATTTTCACCGCATTTGCCACGCCAACAAACAACAGCAGCCACAACCACAGCCTCCGTGAAAATGCATGAGGCCTACGTGAACATCAACTCCATTCCAACCCACATACTCACGTGGGGCAGGTGGATCGAGGAAAAGGTCACCGAGCAGGAGGTCGTCATTTGCATAACGGGGAACCCTGGGCTCCCGGGCTTCTACACGGAGTTTGCCAGCACCCTGCAAAAGCAACTGGGAGATCTTCCGGTGTGGGTGATTGGTGAGAGATGGTGGAAGAGCAAACCCGGAAGAATGTTCCTCTATTTTTCGCTTATTTTCGTATAGGACACGCGGGCCATGACGATCCGCCAGAGGCGAGTATCCGCGAGGTTCCCCAGCTGACGGGCAACGAGGAGATATTCAATCTTGACGGCCAGATCAAACATAAGGTGGCATTCATCGAGAAGTATGTGCCCAAAGATGTGAAGATCCATCTCATCGGACATTCCATTGGCGCGTGGATGATACTGCAGATGCTGGAGGAGGAGAGCGTGCGGAGCCGTGTCCAAAAGTGCTACATGCTCTTCCCCACAGTCGAACGCATGATCGAATCGCCCAACGGCTGGGTCTTCACCAAGGTCGCCATGCCCCTGTACTCGGTGTTTGGCTACATCTTCTTCAGATTCTTCAATGCCCTGCCCGTCTGGCTGCGCCTCCTCCTCATCCAGATCTACTTCCTCATCTTCTCCATACCGCGAGCGTTCCTGGGCACCGCCCTCAAGTACTCCAAACCCTCGGTGGCCGAGAAGGTGGTGTTCCTCGCCGACGATGAGATGTCCCGAGTGCGCGGCCTCCAGAAGGAGATTATCGAAAGGAATCTGCATTTGCTAAAGTTCTACTACGGCACCACGGACGGCTGGGTGCCCGTCTCCTACTACGAGCAGCTCAAGCAGGACTATCCGAAGGTGGATGCCACTCTGGATACTAAAAAAATTGACCATGCCTTTGTCCTGCGGCACTCGCAGCCGATGGCAGGTATTGTACGCGAAATGATTCAGCAGAGCCGTACAAACTGATCATCAAACGAGCCCCAGGATCTCTAGAGGGGAATCCTCCTGCTCCTCCATCCACTGCCTTTGTGTGGCGGCAATCAGTTTTTGTTATTTCTTTTTATTATACTCTTTGCAACTCTCGAAGGACACACTAAATATAGTCAAAAATATCTTGCAAAGCGCTGCTGGCCTGTGTCTTTCAGTTGGCCGCAGGAGCCGGCGAGCCGGAGGGACTGCGTGATCCGGACTTGGATCTGCTGCCAGATCGGGAGCGCGAACGAGAGCCCGACCTTGACCTCGAGCCGGACTTTGAACGGGAGCGAGAGCGGGATCTGGACTTTGAGCGGGAGCCTGACTTTGAACGGGAACGTGAGCGAGAGCCAGACTTGGAGCGGGATCTGGACTTGGATCGTGAACGAGAGCGAGATCGGGAGCCCGACTTGGAGCGGGACCTGGACTTCGAATGGGACCGGGACCGCGATCTTGCACGGGATCCGGACTTGGAGCGAGATCGGGCACGTGAGCCGGACTTCGAGCGAGATCGGGCACGTGAGCCGGACTTCGAGCGCGACCGAGAGCGTGATTTATCCGATTCGCCGCCAGATTCAATGCGATTCTTGGCCCTCTTACGCTTAGCGGCACCATCGCTATCGCTGCCACTGCCCGAGCCACTCTTGGGACTTCTGCTACGCTTGCGGCCACGATCGCTGCCACTGCCACTTCCACTGCGGCTGCCGCTGGGCGAACGACTGGCGCGACTGCCACTGCGACTTCTGCTCCTACTCCTGCGTTTGCCATCGCTCTCCGACTCGCTCGTGGAGATGGTCTCCTTGGACACGATCTTGAGACGCTGCTTGGCCGAGAGCTTCTCCTTGGACTCCTTGGCTCCCGCGCCCGGCTTGGACTTCTTGCTCTTCCGTTTGCCCGACTTTTGGCCACTGCCACTGGGCTCCTCCTCGCTGTCGCTCTCGTATTTCTCCGTCTTGCGCTTGCGTCCGCTGCCACCCTTCTTGCGCTCGCCCTTGCTCTTCTTTTTGGCAGGTCGTTCGCCGCCCTCGCGTGGTCCACCCTCGTTGCTGTCGCTGCCAGAGATGTAGTCATCCTTGCGTGGCCTGCCGCTGCCCTTCTTGCGCTCCTTGTCCGGCGCATCGGCAATGATCAGCATGTTCTTGGTCTTCTCCACATACTCCTGCCGCTTGGCCAGCAGCTGATCGCGCGACGTCTGGGCCTCCTCCTCGCGCCGCTTGCGCTGCTCGGCAATCTTTAGCTTGAAGGCCTCGCGTTCCTCCTCCTGCTTGCGGCGCAACGAGCGCTCCTCCTCGTCAATGCGACGGGCGCGACCCACATGGTATTGGGCCTGCGACAGAAGATCCTGGCAGGTGTTGGCCTCCACGCCTGCGACCTCGATATTGAAACGATTCTTGTCGCCATGAACGGATAGATATTGGAAGTATCTGTTGGATTAGAATAAAGTATAAATAGGGTATACACAGGGGGCCGGAGTGGGTGAGACTCACTTGTGCGCCAACTCCAGTTCGTGGACTGCTTGCAGGACCACTTCCAGGGTGGATTTCTCATCCTTTAGAATGGCCATGGCCAGGCGGGAGAGCACGACGGCAATGTTGAACAGCAGCACAGTGTCCTGGGGGGCCACTCGGCGCGCCTTGAGCAGCACGGCCTTGGCCTCCACCAGTTTATTGGCCCGCAGATAGGCCCTAGCGAGGTACTGCATCACCTCGACGTTGTTGTGCCTGTAGAACTTCTTCATGCAGTTCTCGTACATCTGAATGGCGCTGATGTATTGCTTCTGCTCCACATAAACGTGGGCAATGTTCAGCCAGACGTCGGAGAAGTCGGCGGTGGCCTCGCGCACCTGAGCAAAGATATCCCGCGCCTCGATGACGCATCCCTTGTGGGCCAACACAGCGCCAATGCCATTTGTGGCCCAAATATTGCGTGGATCGTTGCGCAGGACCTGCTTGAATATGGCCAATGCCTTCTCCTGATGCTTGCGCTCCTTCTCCTTGTCGCGGCTCGGCTGATGCAGCGTCTGGAGGGAGAAGTTGCCCAGGGCTATCAGGGAGTAGGCATCCGTGGATGTGGCTGGATTCTTGAGGATCGTCTCAAAGTTCTTTTGGCCCAAAGCAAATTGCATTTTGGCCAAATGAAGATTGCCCAGCAGCGAGCGAGCATCCGGATTGTCGTTGTTTATGTTCAGGGCATCCTTGAAGAAATCCGATGCCACGAAAATTAAACCCTTGTCCCTGGCCATGCAGCCCAGACGGAGGTAGCAATCGATGTAGTTGGGATGCTCCTTGAGGATCTCCTTGTACAGCTTGTCGGCCACATCGTAGCTGCTCATGGCCTCGTTCAGCCGCGCCAGATTGTACTTCATGGTGACTTGAATGGACTCGTAGTACTTGACATCTTTGTCCATTTCAGAGATGGCATGCTGCAGCGCCGACTCCAGCTTGACCTTTGCCTCAATCAGATCTCCCAATCGGTAGTGCAGCGACGAGACGTTGTTCTGTATCTCTGCAGGAATCTCATACTTAGCCTTGTCCTTCAGAATCTTTGATGCTGTGAAATAGGCGGCCAACGAAGCGGCCAGATCATTTTGCTCGAGGATCTGGGCGAGCTCTATCCAGGCCTCGATGTCATCCGGGAACTGTTCGGTGACCTTCTTCAAGTGCGTCTTGGCCATGTCTCGCTTCGACTGCGAGTTGGAGTGGGCATACAGAGAGCCAAGGATCTTCATTGTCTCGTAGTTGCCAGGCTGAATCTTGAGCACCTTCTCAAAGCATTGCGCTGCCTGAAAAGTGAATCATTTGTTAGTAATTCACCTTGGGCAAGGGGTATCCATATCCTCATCCAACTTACATTCTCTGTATCCCCGCGATAGATGTACATCTGTCCCAGGCCATAATGTGGCAGGACAAAGTTTGCCGGCGCTATCTGTGTGGATTGGTAGTAGTATTGAAAGGCCTGATCGTAGTCACTTTGGGCATGAAAGCTCCTGGCCAGCTGGTAGCAGCTCTCGGCGCGCATTGCCTCGTTCTCCGTGTTGTGGAAGGCGTGCAGTGCGAGATGATGCACCTTCTGGTAGTCTTTTTTGAAGAAGAAATGATTTGCCAGATGATTGAGCACCATGGGATTGGCATTGTCGATGGTGTAGGCCTTGGAGAGCATCTGCACACCCACTTTATTCGACTCGGGCTCCAGTTGATTGAGCTTCAGCACGGCCAGACCAATGAGGGCGCCCACGCATTGATGGTCCAGCTGCAGGGCCCGCTCGAAGGCGAGTTTGGCCTTCTCGGGATTGCCCATCTTGAGGAAACAGTGGGCCATGCCAATGCGCACATTTGCCGGGCAGTTGGGGTTCGTTCGCAGCGCTTTCTTGTAGAAGGCCATCGCACCGCGATAGTCCTTGCGATTGAAGGCAATGCACGCCTTGCCCAGCAGTGAGGGGATGTTCGAGGGCGACTGATTCAGCACAAAGTTGAACTGTGCGTCCGCCTGGTCCATCTTGTCGCCCTCCAGCAGGCAGAAGTAGGCCCTGCCTAGCAAATGGCTCTGGTCGTACATGATGATCTTGTCGGCATTCGTGTAGAGGTTCGTGGCCTTCATGAAGAGCTCTCTCTTCTTGTCCTTGGACTTCTCGCGATAGGCCTCCTGGACATAGTGGGCGGCCAGCATGTCCAGGGCCCGCATGAGATCCTTGTCCGAGTCGCGATACTCCTTGTTGGCCTCGGGGCCACGAGAGTCCTCCAACAGCGTGACGAAATCATCGGTCTTCTTTTGCTTGTAGTATGCCAGCTGGAAGAGAGCAGAGCGCCATGTGGCCACCATTGGAAGTGGATTCAGCGGATGGGAGGGGATTCCTTTGACTTACCGACACATTCACCCATACATGCAATGGGGCTCGCTCCTGCTTGAGGATACTCAGCACCTCAAGGCAGTCCGGCAGTTGATCGGGATCCACCTCTATGACCTACGAAAATGCGAAACATCTTGGCCTCTGTTGCGAAAATGCAGGTAAGACGCCTCAAAACTCACCTCATCGGTGTCCTGCAAGGGTATTTCAATGCAGTTGGACATGGCTGGATCGGTTTTGGCCTAGAAGCCAACAATCTGAGCACGAGTGACCGGTTTAGTGGCAAAAAATGTGCAGAAAAAAAAAAAAAACTAACTCAATTTTCCATTCCGCGTACTCTTGCTAGAGGTGGCAAAACATGCGGATAGGGCCATTCGATAGCTGAAGAAAAATGCTGCCGACAACGATAGCCATACCTATCGATACTGAGTGCTATCGAAAAGATGGGTAGAGAGAGAAATTGAAAAACCCATAAGAAAAAAAGCAAAACAACAAAACAAAGATAGGAAAAATGTGCAATCTTTTTTAATTTTAGACAATCAATTCGGGCAATAAGATGTGCTAGCGGATAAGATAAAATGCAGGCCTTGGGCAGATCGGGTCACAGTTTGGTGGCCAGTTCCAGCTCGTTTCTGTACGCCACATCAACAAAAACAAACGCACGCACACATAGATGTAGTCGAACAGATGTTTTGTGCCTATTACGTAACTATGCGAATTTGGCGCAAAATTCAATGACGTTTGGAGCCCCAGCTGTATCAGCAGCAATAGCTTCCGCAGCAGTCCCAACACGTGAACGAGTTCCCCAGACGACGCGGCGGCACTTGCACAGTTTTACTGTCCCTAGGTATTCGCGATATTCGGCCAGCACCATCATGACCTCCTACTGCAAGGAGCTGCATCTCAAGCAGTATGACATCATTGGCTTCGACCTGGACGGGACTCTGCTGCGGTACAATCTCACCAATATGTCGGCCCTAATCTACGATGTGCTGAAGCGCTATCTGGTCGAGAACAAAGGCTACTCCGAGACGCTGCTGGAGCTGCCCATGGATCTGGACTTTCTGCAGAAGGGTCTGTTCCTTGATGGCCCGCGTGGCAATATCCTGAAGCTGAGTAGCGAGGCACAGATACTGAGGGCCACCCATGGCACCCGGCAACTGACCAACGAGGAAATCGTGGCCATCTATGGCCCAGAGCGACAGTGGGAGGTTACCACATCCTTTTACAAGGATCCTCTGTCCACCTGGAATGGTGCGGCCTCCGAGCAGATGCGCTCCCTGCTGGACTACTTCGATATGCCCAGTGCATTGGTTTTTGCCCAGGCCGTGGATGTGGTGGACAAGGAGAGCGAGTCCCAGCCGCAGGAGTACGAAGTGTGGCGCGATCTGCAGGCTGGCCTTATGCACATTTTCAGCAGAGATCACTTCTCCAACGACATTAGTCTGTATTTTAAGAGTATGCGGGCGGATCCGCAGAAGTATGTCCTGTGCACGGACAGCAGCGTGATGGACTGGCTGTCGGCTCTGAGGAAATCCGGCAAGAAACTCTTCCTGCTGACGGGCTCCAACATTGATTTTGCCAATCTGACGGCCACTCAGGCGCTGGGCAAGGACTGGCAGCAGTATTTCGACTTTGTGGTGACCTACGCCAAGAAGCCGGGCTTCTTCACCATTCAGCGTCCCTTTCTGCGGGTGGATGTGAAGGGACTGAAAGAGCTGGCCAACACGGAGCTGCCACAGGATGCAGGGGTACTCAAGACGGGAGAGATCTACTCGCAGGGCAACTGGCATCAGCTGCACGAGGCACTCGCCAAGCTGCTAAACAAAGAGACCGCCCAGGCCAAAGCGCTGTACTTTGGCGACAACATCATCCAGGATGTGTACACACCCGTGAAGCATCGCGACTTTGATGCCGTGGCCATTGCCGAGGAGCTGCTGATGGAGGAGAAGAATTATCCGTATTTCGCCGAGCTGGACTCGCAGCTGTGGGGCTCGTACTTTGCCATCGGCTGCCAGCCCACCCTCTGGTCGAACTTTATCAGCAGCTTTGCCCAGATCTGTGTGCCGTCCATGCAGGAGGTGGCCCAGACGGCGCCCGCCCAGCGTATTGTGTGCACCAATCCGCATGGCTTTTTGCCCAAGTTGCCCAAAGAGCTGGAGACGGTGAGTCCGACGAGCTGCTGGCAGGGCGGCACTGGGAGTGGCACGTGATTCCCCACACCACACCCTCCACCTTCCTTATCATCGTCCGCTGGTGACAATAAACGATCTATGAACCCCCAAGGCCTTCGACTCGCAGATAATCAACGCCGCTGCATCTCATCAAAATTCTACAGTCGTACAACAAAATTTGTATTCAGTAATAACAATAAATTGGATGCCAGAAAGATCCGCAGCTCGCAGAGAGGAAATCTACTGTAAACATTTTGCACTCTGGCCGACTATACAGTGTACGTCTTAATGCTAAGCCCTTTGTAATTGAATCATAGACAAAACAAATTGATCATATATGTAATAGAATAGACAACATTTTTTAGCTAAAATTTATACGAATAACCAAACGTATTGCAACTTTTAGAAGAGAATTTTCTATATATATTATACTCCCGAAACGCAGTGTACATGCTAAAATTAACCCATGTTGACCTTCACTTTGTACAAATATTTGCTGCATAAACAAAAGTAACTGCAAAATAAATGGGTTGTGTCTCCCCCCGAAAGATTTCAATTGAGAAAACGCGCGAGGCATTGCAGGAGATTGGCAATTGAAAATTCTGTAAATTGAAACACTTGACAGCTTTTCTAAAATGGATTTTAATTGGCATGGACATAAAATCTATTGTGAAAAAAAACCTGTCGAGGAACACAACTTTATACTTAAGTTGAGAGAACAGACACCGCGAATAATAAATTATATTGAATACTAAGAGAGAGCAGGATAGGATTACATCCATTAGACGGCACGCTCGATGGCCAGGGCAATGCCCATGCCACCACCGATGCACAGAGAAGCGATGCCACGACGACCGCCAGTGCGCTCCAAGGCATAAAGCAGCGTGACCAGCACTCGGGCACCCGATGCACCAATCGGATGACCCAGGGCAATGGCCCCACCATTCACATTCACTTTGGTGGCATCCAACTGCAGATCCTGCAGCACAGCCAGGGATTGGGCAGCAAAGGCTTCGTTCAGCTCATACAGATCGACTTCCTCGCGTTTCCACGAGAGTTTGGTCAACTGAAAGAAGGCAGAATATGAGAAAATGAAAGAAGAAGATGGGTTTTAGGTTTACCAAAGCTTCCACAGCTGTAACCGGTCCCAGACCCATTACCCGTGGCTCTATTCCACTTTGCGTCCAACCCACAATCTTGGCCAGCGGTTTTAGGCCCTTTTTGGCGACCTCCTCGCCGGACATCAGCAGCACAGCAGCAGCGGAATCATTCACACCCGAAGCATTGCCTGCGGTGATGCTGCCGCCCTCTTTGAAGGCTGCTCTCAGCTTCTGCAGACCCTCGACAGTGCTGCCCGCCTTGATGTACTCATCCTTGCTGAAGATCTGTGTGCCCTTTCGATCCTTGATCTCTACGGGGACAATCTCCTTGTCAAAGTAGCCCTTCTGCTGGGCCTCCTCTGCCCGTATCTGTGACTGAACGGCGTACGAGTCCTGGGCCTCGCGACTCAGATTATATTTCTCGGCAATAATCTCTGCGGTGAGGCCCATGGAAATGTTCTCCATGGCATCGGTGAGGCCGTCATGGAGCATCGAATCCACAAGAGTGCCAGGACCCATTTTCACACCCTGCCGCAAATGCATGACATGGGGAGCCAGAGACATGCTCTCCTGGCCGCCAGCAATCACGACATTGGCATCGCCAGAGCGGATGGACTGATAGCCCAGGACAACGGTCCTAAAGAGTTGAAAATGGGCTTAGGAAATGGTTTTCTAAAGGAGAACTCACACCAAACCCACTTGAGACCTGAACCGCAGAGCATATTGATGCCATAGGCTGGCACTTGGATGGGCAGACCCGCCTTGAGAGTGGCCTGACGTGCGGGGTTCTGGCCCTGACCCGCAGTGAGCGCCTGGCAAAGATTTACATAACAAACAATTAAGTAGAAATTCTCTGACGAAGCAAAAACGATAAAAGATAAGCAAATGGGAGTTCGTACCTGACCCATAATGACTTCGTTGACATTTTGGGGCTCCACATTCGCACGCTTGAGCACTTCCTGGATGACCACGCTGCCCAGATCGGAGGCTTTCAGTTTAGAAAGCGTTCCACTGAAGCTACCTGTTGAGTCGTCGGTGCAGCCGAAAGAGAAAGTTACCAATTGGAATTTGGATATCGCATGGCACCTTCTGGCGCGTGTGCTTCGATTTGTTTACCTATGGGCGTGCGGGCTGCGGACACAATGTACACGTCAGACATGGCTGCTGGATACGTAATACCTGGAGTCTATGGACTTACAAATAAGAATTAAAATTTAATATTCGAAATTCGCCTGCAGCACAATCGATAAGTCGTGTAATTTTATAGCACTGGATTTCTGAATATAGTGTGGACAGACTGAGAGAACCGTGGATTCTTTTTATATAAACAATGCAATGCAAAAGAGTTCTGAAAACTAGCCAATCTTGTAGAAAATTGATGTATCTATCGGATAAAATTATTTGGTTAGGGCTGAGAGGACCAACTAGCTAGTAATATCAAACCGAATATCAAAATCGTGGAATAGTAACGCATCTTGTCGTGTCCCTCAGTATATTTACGGTATTTTATGAAAAAGCAAATGTATATTTGGGTATATTTTTGAGGGTCAGACGGTATATTTTGTCGATACATCAGCGGTCACACTGCAGTACACAGAAAATATTAATTTTTTTGAGAAAATTGGGAAATTTAACGCACAAACCGTGAACAAAAGCCATCCCAGCGAAAGGCGCGATTACCACGCGTCGAAAGGACCAAACGGCAACTAAAACAAGTGGTGATATATACGCATTTCGGCCGTCGCAAGCAACAGCCCTCGCCCAAAAACGCCAACCAGCAGCAGCCACCATACAACACCACACCCCCCCGCACAATCAGCAGCAGCCGCACACACAAAGCACAGCACTCCAGCAGCAGCAGCCCCACCACAGAAAATAGTAAATCAACGCAACAAATATGCAGGCGATTAAGTGTGTCGTTGTTGGCGACGGAGCCGTGGGTAAGACCTGCCTGCTGATCAGCTATACGACAAATGCGTTTCCCGGCGAGTACATACCCACCGTGTTCGACAACTACTCGGCCAATGTGATGGTCGATGCCAAGCCCATTAATTTGGGACTGTGGGATACGGCTGGGCAGGAGGACTACGATCGCCTGCGTCCGCTGTCCTATCCACAGACAGATGTCTTCCTCATTTGCTTCTCGCTGGTGAATCCGGCCTCGTTCGAGAACGTGCGCGCCAAGTGGTATCCGGAGGTGCGTCACCACTGCCCCAGCACACCCATCATACTGGTGGGCACCAAGCTGGATTTGCGCGACGACAAGAACACCATCGAGAAGCTGCGCGACAAGAAGCTGGCACCCATCACGTATCCCCAGGGCCTGGCCATGGCCAAGGAGATTGGCGCCGTCAAATATCTGGAGTGCTCGGCGCTGACGCAAAAGGGACTGAAGACGGTGTTCGATGAGGCTATCAGATCGGTGCTCTGCCCAGTGCTGCAGCCCAAGTCGAAGCGCAAGTGCGCCCTGCTCTAAAAGAAGGATGCTGAAGGCAGGAGCAGAAAGGATGGAGGAGCCCAGAGCAAGTGAAGAAGCAACAACACCCACGAAGCATTACACACACACACACACACACACTTCTATTTAAACGTAATATTATTAACGATAAAACAATTATGTAACCGAGGCATTGGCCACCACCCGTCAGTCGGATGTGGTCCATATCCTTCTATGTTACGCTTTTGCGACTAATTTGGGGGAACCCCAAAACGTTCCCAGCCACAACTTCTTGCTTCTGTTTCCGTTTCTGTTTCGCTATCGTTTCCATGTTCGTTTCCGTTTCCATGTTTGTTCTACATATAATTCAAATCTATAATTCTGTTTCTATTGGTAGTTTTCTCCATGTGCATTAATTCGAACTACAAGTTGTCGCCAGATGCGAGATATTTCTAAACGAAAGAAAAAACCAATGGGGAAAATCTGTAACTGTAAACACGTCGTAACTGTATTTTGTATTATTTAATAACCTTTTGTAATTAAAATTAATGTTGTAAAACTGAGGTAAAACCAAAAAAAAAAAAACATAAAAAAGAGAGAATAGTAAAGGAGAGTAGAGGAGGACGAGTTGACGAGAATAGCCGCATAAAGAGCATAAAGAATAGAGTTCGCTTGTTGATTGTCGATCCCTCGGGGGGCATATCTTCGGGGATCAGGATATAGTAGGGTATTTGAGAGTCAGTAAAGTAAACGTTCCATTGCAATTACACTTACATTATTACACACATATTTGTATTTAGATGTTGTTGGATAGAAAAGATTGAGCCCGATTGATCGGCAAATGAGAGAGAAGCAGGTAACAACTTTTTAAACTTTTGCTAAATCCAGGAACTATCAAAATATATATATATATATACATACATATATATATATATATATATACAATATTATACATGTATGTATAAGATGAGGAAGTCCTTCGTATACTATGTACTGAAATTAAAAAATCATCAAAAGAAAACTGAGCAACTTTGAATACTTTGTACTTTAAAAACCACAAAATATTCAACAAAAAAAAAAAAACAACGCAGAAGAGCAAAACCAAGATAATTATATAAATGTGTCTATTTCAATGGAAATCAATAAAGCATACAACAAAACTATCAACATTCTTTGGCTAAAGAATTAAATTTAAATATTACAAAGTATTGATAATAGATGAAAATGTATGGGCAAGAAATTGACATTTTTTTGGGTCTGATATCTCTTCTGGGAGTGGAGTTATTCGTTTTTAAAGTTAGGATCATTTTCCCTACTGAAACATAGATATGTATGCATATATATGTATGAATGTGTGTGCCATGCACTAGTTGATGCTGGATTATCTACAAACCAACAATCCGCTGCTGCACTGACTGCCTTCCCGTTATCGCCAGTCTCCACTGTACTCAACACAATGTTAAGGAGACAGAATTATCAACCCGAAAGTGGAAATATTTGCTTATCTCGGCGAAAGTTGAAACCCAAAAAAGAAATAATCAAAATCAGCTTGAAGCTAAGTAACGGACTCCACTCCCCTCACTCTTTCACTATCATTCTTGATGTATTGTACACAAACAGTGAATGGAAAAAGTCTAGCCACACCCATAAGGATTGACAAAATATCCATTAATGATGTATTCCTTTTAAACATAATATAGAAGGATATATCAGATATTCAATATATTCAACACTATGGGGTGTCCCAAAACATAATCGACTCACTGTATGCTCATATATATTGATGTGTCTGTGGAGTGGAATGTTCTCGCAGCTGGAAATAAATCTGGAAACAACTAAAATCGTTTTATGTTTATGTTACACACAAATACATGCACACATGATTCCGTATCTGTTTGTGCGAGAGAGCGGAGTGAGATGGGGTCAAGTGTCCATGCGTGTGTGCGTGCGAGTGACGTGTCCATTCCATTGAGGAGCGCAGATGATGGACCCAACGCTGACGTGGACGCTTTTTAATTAGGAAAAAATCAAATCAATTAACACCGGAGGGGGGGGTGTGGGATTACTTAAGCAGAAATATTAGTGTTTATGTTTATCCGTTTATAATGCACTTTTGTCTTAGGTCTAAAGAGAGTTTTACAAAATTATTTGGCATTCGAGTTTGGAGATTCTTAAGCTTTCTTTTGTTTTTTTTTCGCATTGGGGGATTAATCTCAGGGATTTGATTTTGCTTTTGATTGTCTAGTCTAGAACTCGTCGTGACGGGCCAGAGCCTCACCGAACTCGGTGGCCTGGGAGCCCACAAAGGCATCGTATTTGTCCAGGACTTCGGCCTTTGTTAGCTTCTCGTCGTGATCCACATCCGCCTCGAAGATCAGATGCTTGGCCTCGCTCTCGGAATGATCGAAGTCTTGGGGCGTGATCCACTGGCGTACTTCCGTCTCAGTGAGATAACCATCGCCGTCGGTGTCGCGATACTTGCCAAAGGCCTCGCGCTCGCTGGCCACCCACTCGGGCTCCTCCTCGTCGGGCTCCGATGGGCGGTACATGTCGCCGATGTACTCATTCTCATTGATTTTTCCATCCTTGTCCTTGTCCAGGTCTTCCACAGTCTCCTGCAGGACAACGTCACGCATGGTGGGATGGTCCTCGGGATGCAGGAAGGCGGTGAACTCCTCGCGGGTCAAGCTATCGTCCAGATTCTGATCGGCCACGGCCCAGCGGCGGCGATCACGCTTCAGCAGTCCCTTGTAGCTGATGCCTGGACGGTGGGATTGATTAAAGATTGTCCACTGTATCCACTGTATCTTGTATCCACTCACCGTTCTCCTCTTGTGCCAGCTCTTCCGCGGACAAATCATTCAGGAAACCATAGACCGCATCCCGGTACGCATCCCAGCTGATGGTGGCATTGTTTTCGGGATTGTGCTGCCTCCAGAGACGACCAGTATCCTCCTCTATGTAGCGCCTCTGCGTGAAGGAGATCCAGTTCTTCAGCTCCGACAGCGTCACCAGACTGTCCTTGTCCTCATCAATGCGGTCGAATATCACGCCCAGCCTCCGCTTGCTCTCCTCCGGCGAGAGGTTGTCGAACTTCTGGGACTCATCTGGCCCCAAAAAGGCTTCGTGGTCGTACTGCGCATTGTGCTCGGCCCCATCAAAGTGCGGCACATGGAGTGAGTCGTGCTCCAGGGGATTGTGAGGCACTTCTGCCGGTATGCTGGATGCACTCGAAACGCTTATCGCGGCGGCGGCCACAAATAGCAGCAACAACATTCTGGTTATGGTTCTCGACATTGCGGCTACGAGTGGGCAGGCGTCCGTTCAATTCGAGTGGCAGCGGAATTCTGATTTCAATTTTGTTTTGGAAAACGCGTGTGTGTGGCTTCGCTGGAGAGTGGGGGCTGGTTCCAATAACTGGGGCTATGTTAACGTTTAACATTGGAGCACTGGAGCTATGTTAACGCATAACATTGGGGGTGCTGCAAGGCGGCAGAAGCTTATCGGAAAACGCGCGCCTCGCTGCTAATTCGAAAGTTATCGCTACTAGTCGATTGAAATTTATTTAGGCGTCGCGTCTGTTTGTTTTGTTTCCTGTAAAGCTATTTAAATATCGTACAAATAAATATGTGCCAATTGTTGAATTGAAACGAGCTATGCTATGGGCTAACTACATCATATATCTATTTACATCTCTGTTGTACGTGCAGGGTAGGGTAAGGAGTCGAACGATCCTCCAGCTATTTGTGTCCCTCAGCCGGCCCGGTGTCGTGGCCCAGCGAACTGAAGTCCCCCGTGTTGCAAGAGATGCTGGGAATTTCGAAATTCGAAAATCCCCGATAGTTGGCCACCTCCGGTTTCAGGGGCGAGGGTAGCGAGACGCAAGTGCCGGGCACATCGCTGTCGATCAGGCTGTCCATAGTGTTGTCCAGCAGGCTCGTCTCGGGTTCTATTGCAGCGCTGCGCTGCGCCAGGGGATCAAATTCATCGAGATTCAACTTGGACTCCTCCGCCGTGCTGTTCTCGCCACTCTGGTCGGACAGATCAAAGTCGTAATTGATGTTCGTTAGGCCGCCCTGTAGCTCTGCGCCCAGCATCAGGACATCTGCACTGCCGCCAGACGAGGGCTCCTCCAACAGAGACACTGCATCGAAGGCCGCATAATTGAAGATGGGAGAGGCAAAGAGATTGTCGGGCTGCTGATGATTAGGCAGCGGCGACAGGCGTCCAATGGAGCTGATGCTGGTATCCTTCAGGGCCAGGCCGGACTCTTCCGCTGGAACAGAGGCCTTTACCTTGCCGCTGTGCACTGTCAGGGATTGGGCGCCACTCAATACATTCGCTTGATAATGACCCGCTTCGCCCTCCTGCATCTCCTGCAGCAGCTGGGAGCGTGCCTGGCCGATGAGAAAGGCGGGCGTCTTGATGGGCAACAGCGTCAGCGGTGCCTTCGCCATGACCGTGTCCACCCGCTCAAAGACTTCGCGCTGGAACTCAATCAACTCCTTTTCAAATGTTGCTATCCCTGAACTGATGTCCGCATTCTTCTTCTGCAGCCTTTCCATTTGTTTCATGTTCTCCGAAATCAGATGCAGACTCTCGCAGGCCATCAGAGCACTCTCCCAGGGGGTGCTAAAGGGCTGCTGGCCGGATATAAGCGCATCAAACTCCTCCTTGCTGATGCCCAGACTCTCGCCGTTCAGGTTCTCGATGAAGGCAATGGCCGAGCAGAGATTGGTGAAATAGTAGCCACCCTCGCCGCTCATCACGCGCGACGCGTTTGTGAAGCGCGTCACAAAGTTGATGTTGCTGTGCAGCCGCACCGGATTGGCCTTGAGCACCACAAAGATCAGGGCGGGCAGGAAGTCATCGGCACTGGCAGGGCCCCCCGTGGCACGCTTGAGCAGTTCGAAAATGTGACGACAACAGCGGACGGTGCACTGGAGTTTCTCCTGCGGCGAATAGTAGGAATCGATGCCCACCAGCTCCGAGATGGCATTGTAGACCAGATCCCTGGCCTCGGCATTCACCTCATCAATGCTGCAGTCCAGATGCTTGGACGTTATCCAGCTCAGCTGGCGTATGCGCTTCTGCACCTTCATGTCGCTCTCCTCGTCCGTTGTGAAGTAGGGACTAAAGAGAAATCTGCAAAAAGAGTTTTCCCCCGCGCATTGTTTTGATAACTGCCAGAATGAATGGGTTCTGCGATGGCGATGACTCACTTGTGGTTCTGCGTCATCACGACCTTCTCAAAGAAGTCTATGGCACTCTCGCGATCCTCATTGCTGGCGATCTCAAAGCGCGGATCATTGTGCACAATGTCCGCCACCTTTGTGTAGGCATTTTGCACCGTATCCGAGAGCTCGTCAACGTTCTTGCTGCTGTGACTGTTCATATACTTCCGTATCTCATTGTCCAGTCGCTGGATTTCGTTCTTCAGCTTGCGCTTGCCATCGTCGGGAATGCGTAGCATTTGCAGCTGCTTCACGAACTGACTTTCGGTGGGATCGGGCACATATCCACGCTGCTGGGCGACTACATATACAGGCGAATTCGTATCATTAGTACTTTTGATTAATCAAGGTGATTTTCCTCATACTTTTTTGTGCCCCCGCCTGAAGGGTCTTCTGCAGCACCGTCGTGAATTTCTTCTTCTGCAGCGTCGAGGTATCCGGCTCCTTGTCCACTTGCTTCTTGGGGGCTTCCCGCAGATGAAAATGCTGCGGCGACGTGCGCTCGATTGCTCCGCCAGCGGAAACGGACGCGTGACTGTGGCTGCTGCTGCTGCCACCGATGATGGGCTGCATGTCGCCAGCCTTCACTGTAAAGCGCAACTTCATGACTAAAGGCTCGACTGGAGATTAAGCTGGACTTACGCATTTTACGCTGCTTATCGTTGCGTTCGCGAAAACATTTCGAGCAGAGGCCATCGTTCTGCGGAGTTCCATAGTAGCCACAGCCCCCCCTGCATTTCAGATCTTGCTGCCCCAACCGCAACGAGGGTGGGCGTGCGGCCGTTGACATGTTGGAGTATAAGCAACGCAACCTTTGATTTGATAATTCCTATCAGCCAATTGATTGACAACAACAAACGGCAGGGGGATCAAAATTGGAAATTTGGAAAAACTTGCTTAATTTGTCCCAGCTGTGCAGTGTGGATGTATCGATCAAATATACTGCAAGACCCTATGATATATACCGAAATATACCTTATCATTTTCGTAATATACCGAAGAGTATATAAAATACCGTAAAACGAATATGCGGTTGCGGCCCCCACTGATTTGAATTTAAATTGGCTGATTTACTTTTTGTTCCACTAAAATTGGATTTTAGCATATTTTATTCAAAAACGAAAAACATTCAAACTGCAACTCAGGGGAATTTGCACAATTTTGGGTTGGAATACATTTAGTAAAATCGAAGTGCCATAGGAAACATTTTTTAACACACATTCAAAGTTTGGATGCACACAAACACTTTTAAAAATCAGTTTACTCTTAGATATTTAGTTTTTAGCAAGTTGATACAGTTTTTTTTACATTTAGGACGGTTATACACATACAGACGAAGAATGCAAGTTCTGGTAGGGTAGGCTCTCAGTGGGGGATGGGGATTAATCCCCACAAATGAAAGCCAAACATTTGTTTTGTTCACAACAACAATTTGACAAAGCTCTGAAAACACACATACTCGTAAAATTACCATACCATATTGTAGTTAATACCTAAGACTAGACTGTCCTAACTGCTCTGCTCCGCTCCACTCCACTCCGCTGCTACTCGATGCCAATTACATTTTTGTTCCCAATGAAAAATCGAATTTTGTAGTCTGTAAAATTAACCAAAAAAAATGAACCCAGCTTAATTGACGCTCTCCACAAAATGCCTTTCAGATCTACACTATCAAATACTTTACCAACTCGTCTAGCTCTACCTCTAGCTCTAGATCTATTCCTATTTTCTAATTTTTCTAAATTTGTTTCTCTTTCTCTTTTCTAACAGTACAAAGATTTGAAAAAACCATTTTGTTGTCGTTTGTTTGTGTGTTTTGGGGGATAAGTCTTAAAAATTGCTAATATTATTTATTCTGCCTGCTCTACTGTTACTATCATCAAAATGCAACCTTGCTTTTACCGTGCGCTCAAACTACAGAGTATAATTCGATAGTTACCGTTACGTTACGTATACTTAACATGATCAATCCGTTCAATTTCATTATGCAATTCAACCGTGTGTTCTGTTTCGAAAAGTCTCGTGTATAGTTTTAAACTTGAATGTAAACACTACTTATGCGATGTCTCTTTGGCTTCTCTTCTGTTTTGCTTTTTTTTGTTCAACTCTTACAGCTACAAAAATGTAATAACCGATAACACACACACGTTTTAAACAGTTATGCTGCTCTCTTTTGGTTTTTTTTTTTTGATTAAACATTCTTTGGTTTTTTTTTTTGATTTAGTATTCCTCCCATTCCGTTCCTTGCTTTATGTTTCAATTCGCTACAAAAGATTTGCATTGGTAAAAAATTCAAGTCTAACGATTTGCGTCAATAAATTCCTTGGAATCAGTTGGCTGATGGTTCTGGTTCTTCCCCTTTTGATTTTACACATTAAATAACTTTAAAATATGAGTACTTTGGTTAGGGTTTACACAAGTGGAGGAGGGGGCCTAACGCGCTGGGACCCTCTATAAATGTCCGTTGGTTCCGCCCATTGAGGGGCATGCATGCTGTAGGTTGATCAGCGAACTGGTTAACTAAAATACTTAAGGCCAGCAATAAGCATGAACTTTTCAATGAACAACTCCGAGTCCAGGACTGCTATGTGTGCGGCTCTGCCAATCAGCGTATTGGCGGTGTGTGGCAGCGCATGGTGCACATCAAAGCGGGCCAGCGTCAGTTCGGGTCTGGCCAATATCGGAGCAATTACATTGTGCACCATTTCCCTGCAAGAACGAGTGTGATGAAATTTGGCATTGATTTGCCATTGATTTGTGTTGCACACGCACCTGTAGATGGTGCCCAGTGTGGAGCTGTCCCTCATGGCTGCCTTGCACAGCTCCAGGCGTGCCGAGTGCGCCGGCACATAGCGATCCTGACTGGAACCGCACAGCAGGATGTTCTTGAAATGATGCAGCGTGCTCCTTTGACTCAGGCGATAGAGGAAACTGTTGCGCATATCCGTGGTATCGCGCATGCAGAGCTGCAGCAAAGATCCCGACTTTTTCCACTTTTGCATGAACCACATGCCTGTTGGGAGAGCAATCCCGCAAGAGTGAGTTAGGAATCAAAAAGGGCATTCCACTAGACACTCACCCATATTAACCAGTCCGCTGGTGTTGTAGAGCGTGCCCAGATGCGGTCCGGAGAGCGAGAGGAAGGTGTGCAGTCGTGGCAGCAGTGGGCGCATCTGTGGACGGGCCAGGGCACTGCGCACAATGATGGTGCCCAAAGAGTGGGCCACAAACGAGATGCGTGCTGGATTCAGGGCGCAGCTATCGATATGGTAGAGTATCTCGGTTACCAGCCTGCAAAAAAACAAATCAATGGATCAACTTGGTTAGGAAACCATTTTCTGGACGCATTCTCACACTCACCGATCAGTCATGGTGTCAAAGTCCGAGAAGGTGTCGCCCTGATTCCTCTCTGACATGAGAAACTCCAGATTTACGCCTGGCAGACCCAGCTCCAGATATGTGCGCACCAGCCTCAGGTCAGCGGAATTGCCATCCAATCCGTGAACGCAGATGACCAAGTGCATGCCGTTCGGGGAGAACGCGCGATACTCGTCGCTGATGTAGAAGTAGGGCAGCTCCGAGGCCAGCTGCACGTAGTCCGAGTAGATGGTGCCCTGGTACTTGATTTGCTTGCGGAACTCCTCGCGGTACTTCTCAAACTCCAACAGGGAGATGCTTGGCGGCGCCTCCTGCAAGGCAGCTGATGGCTGTCCCTTGCGCTTGTGCTTCGTGCTGGTGTTTGTGCCCACCGTTGAGGTTTTGCCGCGCACCGGGGGCCCGTGCGAGTGGGCGTTCTCCTTGTTCTCATCCTGTTCGGCGGCATCCAATCCGTTCTCCTGCCCATGATGCGTCTTGCACTGAACATTGGGTGGTGGATTCTGAAGGTTCTGCGGACGCTTCAGCTCTGCCAGGCTGTGGGACTTCAGAACGGGCTTGTTGCTGAAGATGGCCGGCGTGGAGATGGGACGCAGTGACTCGTAGATGTGGTACACCGGATTATCGATGGCCCCCACCGGTTGGCGCTCCTTCAGCGGCGGCGCTGCTACCAGTTTGGTTCTGGGCGCAGGAAGTGGTGTGGCAGTTAGAGCCGGAATTGGAATTGGAATCGGAATGGGAATGGGAGCGGCCACATGAGCTGTGGTTGGAGCTGGCTCTGGCGGCGGATCTCGGAACTCATCGGGTGGCGGGGGAGCCAGCGTTAGGGCCAGGGCTAACACCTCCTGCTCCTGATCCTGGAACTGCTGCGGCGGTGGCAGGCAAACGGCATCCAGCGGCTGCATATCCTTCAGGCTGGTGATATCGAAATCCGACTTGGACTTCTCGTACTTGTTCGCATGCCTGGGGCGATTGCGTCGCGGCGGTGGCTCCATTTCCTCCATCTCCGTGGACTCGCCGTTGGGCAGATGACGCAGTCGATCCAACTGGAAGCGAGAGCGCTCCCTCTTGATGGTTACCGTCACCGAGGAGGTCTTCTTGTGCATCTCCTGCTGCTGCTGCTGCTGCTGGCGTGCAGGCGTTCGACTCTGACTGCTGGAACCCGCTCCTCCGGCCGCCTGCCGCTTGCGTGTCTTGTGGGGATGTTGCTGCTGTTGCTGTTCCAGGACCTTCTGCAGTCGCAGACGCAGCTGCTCCCCATTCAAACGCGTCTCCATGGCCATGCCCATGCCCAGATTGAGCTGTGTGTGCCGCTGTCGCGTGGTCAGGCCCGTGCTGGTAATGGTATCGGGACTGGAGGCTGCAAGCGAACTCCTCCGGCTGCTCACCCAGCCGCTCTCCTCGCTCAGCGACGAGGTGGAGTTGCTGCGCTGCCGTCGTCGCAGCGAGTCCGAATCGAACTCTGGCGGAGGTGCCAGATTGGGCAGAGATTCGCTGAATCCGCTCGTATTCGGATCGCTGCTGGTGGTGTTGTTGTTGCTGGTGCCATTGCCATTGCCATTGCCATTCCCATTGCCACTCCCATTCGTTGTTATTGTTGTGGTGGTGGCGTCCAGGCGGTACGGCACACTGTTGGAGGAGAGCATTTGGAGCTTCTGCATGATGTCGCTCTCGGAGCTGCTGGACTCCTTGCGCAGCTGTCCCTGACGCAGCATCTCCTTGATGTCCGACACGCGCACGCGAGCGATCTCCACGGCACGGGGTATCTGCGAGGAGCTGCTCCTGGGCATCGTTGTGTGCTGCGTGGGCGGTGGCGGTGGGTAGGAGTTGCGCGGCGGCACCATCGACTTGGGCAGGGAATTGTACGCCCCCGGCTGCTGCTGCTGCTGCTGGTGCTGCTTGGGAGGATTCAGCAGCTTAATCTCGTGCAGATAGTCGATCTTTCCGTAGCGTTGCCGAAATTCGCAAATGTTCCGCATGAGATCGTCCGCCTGGAGGCGTGGCAGAGTGCTGTGGCTGGCAGGGGGCGCTGGAGCAGCCTCACAGCCATCCAGTTGATCAAGGGACTTGCTATGTCTGGCCTGTGGCACACTGGCGGCATCCAGATCAAGATCTTCCAGCAGCCCGGTGACCGAGTGCCTCGACAGATTGTGACGCATGGCGGCGGTTGGTGGCGGCGCCGCCACGGCGGGGAGCTCCTTGGAGGGTGCAATCGTGAGACTGGCCTGGAGCACCTCTCCGCCGAGGGCGAAGCGTGGCGTGACCACACACTTGGCATGCGGATGGGCCGGCCCTGGGCCATTCATCTGCGGATAATCGTAGTCAAAGTGGCACGCGAGGCAGTCCTTGATCCCGTTCAGACTGCTGCTGGAGTGCGTTTTGTCCGCCTTCTTCTTCTGCGGTCCCATGGAAGTCTCCTCCAGCTGCGGTTCACTGCCGGAACGACGACGGGAGTAGCTGCTCCCCGGCGTAACATAGCGATCCTCGAAGATCAGTGGCAGCGAGGCGGCATCCCCATCGATGGGTGTACAGTGCACTGGAAGGGGCGGCAACGACTGAAGGTAGCGACTCCGACGGGCCAACTCCGCAATGGCCACGTACCCGTGACAGTGTCCCGGCGAGGGACTGCCATTGGCCTGCTCCTGGCAACCGGCGGCCGCCGCATGACGCGGCTGTTCCAGCACAAAGAAACCCTCGGCGAAGCGACGCACTCGCAGGATGTGATGCTTCCGCGCCAGCAGCGTGTGCACCGCCGTGGAGGAGCGCGAGGCCAGCAGCACGCGACGCCACCAGAAAATGCTCTCCGCACACAGCTGGGCAATGTCCGAATTGGCCCTGATGGCAAAGTCCTCCTCCGCCTCCAGGAGCTTGGCCTGATCCAAGAGCAGCTGCAGCCGCTCCCCCGTATCGTTCTCCCTCAGCGGCGGCGATCCAATCTGCGAATTGATGCTCGGCGGCAGAACGCTGCTGAATTCATTCAGAGTCGCCTTCAGCTGCTCCACGGCACCCAGCAGGAGGCAGCAGATCTCCTTGTGTATGGCCCGCGACTGGAGGAGTCTGCCAGCGGGACCGCCACTGCATTTGGTGGTGCCACCGATTTGTGGGCCAAAGAACACAGCCTCCAGGGGTCCCGGCGAGGTGTTGCCCCGGCAACTAAGTTTTCCCGCACTCCAGGGCTTCGAACTGCGCGGGGCGCTGCAAGAGGAGAAGGGAAATGGGATTGAGACTGAAGTATAATGGATCCAAGGATAATCAACTACCAGAGATACACACAGAAAGATACAGACAAAGACACAGATACGAATACGAATACGAATGCGGATACGGACAGACGACACAGAGGAGAACTCTGGCCACAGAACTACACCGAACTACGTGGAACCGATCAGTGGAGCAGAGCGAGCACCGATTATACATGAATTACGTACGGGAATGTGGATTGGATTTGGATTCTTACCAGAACTTCATATATGAGAACATGCTTTTCCTGCGGCAGTTATTGTGTGTTTGGTTTCCATTTATTATATGATATGTGGATATATTATATATATTTTGTATTTATTGGTGGAATTGGATTCGATATCGTTGGAGCGCAAAAAATGAGATAAATGAATTGGAGATTATAGAAAATAATTAAAACTGTGGATACATCCGGGAAACGAGGAGTTTTATACGACGAGTGGCATTAACTAAGGTAATGTGTGGAAGTGTGTAGAGGATGCAAAGGAACGGAAGGATGGAAACCAAGAGAACCTAAAGCAAAGCAAAGCAAAGCAGAGGATTAAAGAATACATTGATGAAGCATCTGTGCACTCGGTTCAGCTTACACTCTCATTCTCTTCGTTAGAATTCGTTGCCTGCGTGTTCTATATTATCTGGTAAAAGTCAAGGAGGTCTGGAAAAGTTCTAGGTTTAAAAGTGCTTCCGAAAATTCTAGGGACTTGTAGAGTGATTCTTCGAAAGGAAAAATATTCTATCTTTTATGATGACAGCAAAGAAAAACTCAAGAATTTAATGGAATATATATTGTCCACAAAAACATAAGAAGCTTGCAAATTATTTTGAACAATACGGATGCTTAAAATAAAAAAAAAAGCTTAAGAACTAATGGAATTCCCATCATTCAGGATGATAAACTTTTAAAATTGCATTAGGACAACCTAAATAGACGCAGTCGGAACAAAGAAATTTCAAATATTAAGGAACGCAAAGCTTAACGAATTAATAACCAAATGAATTGCTATCCGGAAAAGGCAATCCTGAAACAGTTTAAGCCTTCCCGTTTTAAAGTCTCTGCGCCTTAAACTTTCCCACTCTTCAGACTCCAGATTCAACTCGTGCCATGAATGGTCGTTTCTGTCCTGTGGAGATAAACATCGCTGCTGTGAGCTGGAACTGCGGGAACTTGGGGGCGGTGTAATCAGCATGAATATCCACATCGGGGGCGGCACAGGCAAGGCCAAGGTCAACAAGGAATTCCAAAACCCACTGAGATGATATTTTATTCATACGAAAGAGATGGACAGAGGAGCACAGCATCCTCCCTGATTTGAAATTCCGTTTCATATATTTTTCCGATGCCATTCCAATTCCGATGCCAGTCCACCCCGCACGAGGACTACAAATTGCTACTAGAAATCCAACTAGAAATTTGGGGAAGGCGCGCTCGAAAATCGCCGACAGCTTTATAGCAATACAAAACAGATTAAAGTCTAAAGGAGAACTTTCTGTCAGGGAAATTGGTTGAGCAAATGCTGGGGAGATCCTTCTGTTATGGCGGGATACGAACTTGTGTTGAATCAAACGGCGTAAAAATTGAGTTTGTCCAATGATAAAGTTGAAGTTCTCCCCAGATCTTCCGACGGCCATGCTGCCTCTCCTCCTCTTCTCAAGGTTCGGTTCTTTCATTTCATTTTTTGTTTTTCGTTGCAGCATTTTCCCCGTGTTGCAGAGCAGGACAATGGCACTGCGAGAGTCATTAAAATTTATGCCACAACGTATTATTTGTATGACCGCGCTACTCGAAGGGTACACAGGGCTATACTCCAGTCGTGTAAATGAATGTAATAGGCGGAAGAAATTCTTAAATTTCGTATTTGAATGCTGGGTACCGGGTATCTTGATGTCGAGTCACATTTGCCTCGATATAAAACATTCCAACTGGTTTTTTTTGTTTGTTCATCTTTTCTCTTGTTGTATGCACAGTGGGTGAGGAGGAGGCTGGACAGTGGGCGTGGGTGGGTGTGTGGTGGGGAAAGTCTGTGTGCAATTTTAATGAGTTGGAAATGATTTGTGCGGGTAACTGGCCTCCAGTTACCGCTGCTACACACCCATTACCCACCCAATGCTGATGCTGCAATGACAGTGGGGAGGCGCAACGCAACGCCTGCTGCCTAGCAACCACAACCGCCCACCTTGTCGGGGGCTCAATTTACTGGAAAAAATATGACTATATTCCACGCTGACATTAGAGATCAAGTTGTCATCTCCTGCGCTACTGCAGCAGCAGCACTCCCCAGCAGCATCCATCCCACACCATTACTCACTTGATATAGGGCTGATGGAGGGCAACCAGACTGGCATGAATGCCCACACTGATGGCCGCCAAATGGAAATAGTCGAAGAGCACCGGCAGATGATAATGAAGGCCGCGCCCCGGATGAAAGTTCAGCTGCAGAGTCCTTGTGGAGGCCAAAGTGAGGCAGGAACCAGAGCCGGAGTTGATGAAGCTGCTGGTGCCATTCTGTTCCGCAAACCAGAGCTCCAACTGCAGCGAGAACTCTGCCCGTTCAATGGATTCCTTCAGGTGGCGGCTGTCAACTGCAAAGAGAGAGAGAGAGAGAGGGAAAATATGTAGAAGGATGTCTTGAGGTTGAGTGAACTGCAAATCGCCAGGGATTAATGTGGTAGGTAGAAAATCCTGCATGCAAACAAGTTTTGCCACCTCCGCTCGAGAGTGTCTGCTGTCGATTTCAGTTCATTCTTCGGTTTATTTGTTCTCGTATTGATTTTCGTTTAGGCTTTTCCATGTGGGCGATGTGTTGGCAGTGGGAACGGTTTAATGACTCTGTGGTTGTGCAGGTCCCCAAAGACAAATCAAAAATTCATAGAAAACGGAATGGAAATTCCAGAAAATAGATGGATTAAATGCAGTTTTTTTTACCCTCAATTTCATATTTCTGTGGTGCAAATTCTAGTTTTAAACTTGGGCAAACTAATTTCATTGTTTAATCCACTTTAGCATCAATATGAGTGTGTAGTTCTCTGAGTCATTCATTAGTTTATAAGAATGCAAAAGAACATTGTATACGAATCCTCAATCTGTGTTGTTTCAGTGCTTAAAAGTTGGTCATATCTGTTCAAAGAACGCGGGAGTATTTCCCGCTTTAAAGGATGCCTTTTTTTTTTTTGATTTGGGTTACCAAAGTTTTCCCATCTTTGTTGAAGTTGAATCTAACTTATTTCTTCTGTCAATAACTTCGATTATTACACCTGCCAGTCCATAAAAATAACCATAACAGTTTCCCCGAATCCACAATTCCTCTGCCTCGGCGGGAAGTGTTAATCAAATTCAATTTGCTTCAGATGTCGATACAGCGCTACTCAGGCGTCGTTTCTCCCATCCATTGCCTAATCCTCCCGCTACTCCTCCATCCATCCATGTGTCTCCCTCAAGCGTGTGTGGCCATAAAACTCATTTGTTTTCATAAAATAAGGATTTATCCATTGGGGGCGCACAAATGGCAATAAAAGGGGAAGGAATCGCGCTGGAGGTTCTCACTCTGCCCCGTTGAGATTTACTTGGTCTCTCGCATCACTCGTGGTGTGGTGGTGGTGTTGGTCCTTCGGTCGGTGCTCTCCATCGCCTGCCATCGTCCTGGTGACAATTGCTTTTGGGCAGAATATTTTAAATGCCGAGGATTTTCAAGAGTCTCTATCTCCTCTTCACGACACAGTTTATTTTATTGTCTGCGGTGCAGTCGTCACCCAAAAACCCACACACTACGGTCGTCCTGCTCTGGCCCACACTGTGTATCTTCCCATCCGCCGCAGGATGCCAGCGAGTGAAAGAAATAAATTGAACAGTTAGTGCCAAGGCAAGGTAAATTACTGGGAAGATGAGGGGCCGCCAAGCACTAATAAATACAATCTCACATGCGTATGCTGATACGCGTAATATAATTAAATCTAATGAGAAAGAGTACCGAAAGATCATGATAGTCATACCTTCTATTTAATATACCCTGGTTAGGGTGAAGGAGAGTGAGAACAAGAGCAGCCAAAACACACACACACACCCGCATGGGCACGAACACATCAAAAACAGTGAAAAGTTACTTGTGTTGTTTCACTTTGTTTTTGTTTCTGGTTTCTGGCTTTGGTTTTTGTTTTACTCGTATTCCTGCGGCTTTTTTCTAGATTCCGTCCACACATGCCGCTCACATGCCTTCTAGTGGAAACTTGTCCAAATGAATTAATCACTTTAGTCAGCAGCAGCCAAGTGGATGATGTGTCTATTGTTGCTGCTGACAGGCGGCCCAGCGCAGAGGATATACAAGAAAAGGCTCAAAGCAGAAGAAGAAACAATAAGAAAGCAACTTGAGTGGATGGGAGGCAGGGCGGAAGGGATAGCAGTCTGTCAAGAGCTCATCATTCTAACACTCCTACAAACCGCCAGAGCGTGGGTGGAACAAAGACAGAGAGAGGGAGCGTGATGCCAACACCTTGAAAACAGTTTTTCGTTTTTATTTCATTACACAATTCATATAAAAATATCTCTTTATATATTTTTATACATTTTTCATTTGTTGCTTGTGTGTATATATTTTTATGAGCACGCCGCACAGCCATCATCACAGCTCCCCCTGCTCCCCAGGGCTTGTTACTTGACAAAATTTACTTTCAATTTGCGTTTTTTCCTTTTCGTTTTTTATGCCTGGTTAAGTTTTATGAGATTTTCATAGTCTTTTATGCGCTTGGTACCGTGTAAAGCGTAAGCGCTTAAACTATGAAGAGTCCACAAAGCGTATGCAGCATTTTCCCCTCTCTCGGCAAACAACACTTACATTTTCCATGGTAAGCAGATCTCCTTCAACATCTAAGGGGCAGCACCAATTCGATCTCACCCACAAACTAGCGATAGACGATTTGTTTACTTTTTATTTTACTTTGTGCTTGGCCTTTTTCTTGTGTGTTTCCGCCTTATAGACGATGATAAGAATGCCCGCCTCTTTGGAAAGTGGGTCAATGTGTATGTGTTGGCCAAGACTTTGCTTCTTTCAGCAGAAAACTAGATGAGAGGATGAATGAGAGGAAGCAGAAGCAGGAACAGGAGCGAGTCTCCTTAAAGAAGCTGCCAACTTTTCCGTAATTTCATTGCACTAAAAAATCCCTTTTAGTTGCAGATTGCAATAAATGCAATTACGTGGAAATTTTCAAAGCAAAGTTTAAAGCGGAGCCCATGCATCTTCGGCATCTGTCGCGTGTGGTCATCATCAACTCCATCCGCACTGGGGCATGGCATTCCATTCCCAGGGCTCAAAACTTTCGGCCCCAAACCAAGAAACTTGGTCCGCACTCTGACAATTTGATTTATATTTCCAATTGAACAGTAAACTCATTTCAGGTTGCAAAAGTTTCTCCGTCCGCCCCCCACCGCTAACTGAGAGAGTGATCTGGTGTTTGGTTACCAGCTGGCTCCCGGGCCACCAATGCGGCAGTGGAATGGATAGCAGTGCAAATTCTTGGCACACGACAAAGTGCAAATTTCTTTTGTTGGCCTTCTAGTCGTGCCGGCCCGGTCGGCCACTCACCCAGTAAATGGCTGCGAAAGTGGATGACATCGCGCAAGGGCACTTCCTCGTTGCGGTAGAGTATCTGAAAGATACGCGAGGCGCCGCTTCCATTGATTACGGTGGCCCCCGGCGCATCCCCTGGCGACAGCTGTTCCGCGCGGTCGCTATCGCTGCTGCCATGGTCCGTGGAATTACCGTTCTGCTGCTTGCTGGCGCCACTCGCTTCCGGGATGCTCGTTTCCACCTGAACGGGAAGACGGGGTGAAACGCGCAGGCCACAACGCACCTGGTAGAGCCTGAAATGGCGAAAAATATAATTAATTCAGAATTTCAATTCATTGATAGTGTACACGGCATTCGTAGGGGCATATTTTGTTGAAAAACTTTAAAGATTACAAGTCCTCAATTTTCTATCGACTGCTGACACCTCCGTTCAACGTCATTCGCAGTGACAACAGAAAAACAAAGGAAAATCACAGAAAAACATTCTGCCCAAAACAATTGCTTTATTTGCACCGCACCTCTCTCTCTCACTCGTGTATATTTTTGCGCACATTTCATGCGAGCGTCGGATTTTTTATGTATTTTTAACACACGAGCTGCCGTCCCGGCCATAGCCCTCCTGTCCCACACTCGACGCATTGCATCCGTCCATCTTCAAGGGCCCGTCCGGCAGCAGCAAAATTGAAACCCCATAAACACTTGGCTGACAATTTACTCGATGCTACGCCACTATTCCCCCTCTTTCGCTCTTTACCATTCCCATCAACATGTTGTTGCTGGCTGTTGTGCAGTTCATTTTTTATTTGCTTATTTCCACTGCATTCCGTTTTGTTTACCCAACACTTCAAAGTGTATGTGTGTGCATGTGTGAGAAATTGGAGAGAAATTAACAGCTTTATTTGCGTTATTTCTACAGAAAGAGCAATAAATTGCTTGGCTGGCAAAGGTGCAAAGGAGACTTTGTTGACCTGAATTTATTTTATGTATGCTTTTAATTGCAATTTGCCGCCTACACAAACACATATCGATAGTTGCATGAGTAAACGATCGATACTATTGATCAGTTCGATAGCCAAACCGTGCCAATATCGCAAAACGCAAACTTCGCGTGTTTTTCTCCGACCGGCCTGTTTATATTTGCGAAATTGAAGTGTTGAAAGTGTTTTAATCGTGTGTGAAGGTGCGCGTGTGTTTCCCCGCTTGTGATTGTGCTTTAAACTTACCCGCGCTGAAACAAATCCACATTGAAGAACTTGTGCAGCTCCACAGAGAATTCAATGGTGGCTTGCAGGTCGCCCATTGTGTTCCTTGACGGGCCCTGCAGCGTCCTGTCCTCCTCCTGCGCTCGGCGCTTCAAGTTGTCATTAAGTTCATTGGCTTTTCACGTGCCGGAGTCCTGGGGCTGATTTCGTGTGCGAGTGGCGGATCGCTGCTGGATCCTAAATGAGCGGGGTAAGCAAAGAAAGGAGAAGCATTAAGTACCGTTTTTTTTTGGCTGTGACTGCAGTTTGCAGTTTGGGTGTGTGCGCTTATTGCCTTTTCCCTCTTGCTGGTAATCCCGTTGGCTTTGCCAAGTTCGATTACAGTGCTCTCAATAAATTTATTGCCCAACAACTATTGACAGCTTGAAGCAATTGATGGCCCAGTAATTGTGCGGAGAAACTGTGCCAAGTGGAGGATTTTTACCGCGGGCTGAATGTATTGCTGACTGCCACTGTGGGTGGCTCTGTGTGGGCGAGTGTTTGTCTATGTGTATGTGTGTATTATGTTCTGAGGTTAGCGGGTCAGGCCTCAGCAGCAATAGCAGCAGCAGCGACGAACAGAGTGAAAGCGGAATAAGGGAAGCCCGCGACGATGTCACGACGAATGAGGGCAAAAGCGAAAGGAAACCAACAACAACAATAACAACAAACAGTTACAGCAACTTTTAATCGCCCAAACAACAAAAGCTCCTTTCTTGATTCTCATGCGGCGGCGGCTGCTGCCTTGCCTGCTGCCTGCTGCTGTTGTCAGACAGAGAGAGACAGACAGACAGTCAGTCGCCTGTGAAACCCACGCCTACAATAACTGTAATGTGCTGCAGTTAATGCCACCCACTCGCACCCGGCCCACTCGTGACCCCGCTTGTTGACACAATGGAAGCAAGGCAGGAAAACTGCCGTTGTTGCTGATGATGCTCCTTCTTCTTCTCCTTGTTAGTTCTTCTTCTGCTGCTGCTGCTTCTGCACCTTCTGTTGTTGTTGCTGTTGAATGAAAGAGTTCTTCGTGTGGATTTTTAAGGATAGAAGGGAAACGGAAAGGGAACAACAAGTCAGCCTTTCTCGCTTGCTCTGTCTCTCTCTCTCTCTCTCTCTTGCTTGTTAACTGTCTGTCTGTTTGTCTTCTTCTGTCTGCTGTTTGCCTCATTGTCAATGTGGGTTAACCTAAGTGAGCCAAGCAGTGGGTGGGTGGGTAGGTGTTTGGAGGATACACTGCGTGACGAAACTCTAAGAATTGAAAATGATAATCAGATCTTTAGCTTGGCTCATTTGATACTTTATTCCATACCGATTGCATTAATTGATGTGTATTGCTATTCCCCATAATAATGCGCATTTGTCCTAGGTTTATTTTATAATAAACAGTACATATTTAAAGGAACTCTTATCAAAAACGGGATACACTACTTTCAATACTTAAATCTGACAATTTTGTATACTTATTCGACACCTTTTTTCGATGAAAATCGTACAACATAAGAAGTGGAATTACAGCTAATTAACACATCCTTCTATCTTCCTTTGGAGTAAAAAAACATCTTTATCTTGAATTCACCCTACGACTTATAGTGCTCTACCGCACTGTCCCTCTGTATGGGGCTGTGGGTGCAGCCCCCGACAAAGTGAAAGTGATGATGCCATTTGTTAGCAAAGTCCTTAAACCGCTCGCATTTTGCTATTCTTGCGAATGGCCTTCCCCTTTTGTATCCCCGCTGCTTTTTATCCCCCATGTGATGTATGGAGCAAATGTTGTCGTATCTACATTTTGACTTACTTTGCCATTAAATGTATTGCCCACACCACCCTATATCCCCTCTCTCTGCATCTGTACATATATTTGTGTTCATGAATTTTAAATGTGCTCTATAAAAATTGGGGGGAATTTACGGCTTTGGATTTGGGGAAAATTAAAAGCAAATTTTTTCGTTAGTTTCACAAATGAATATTTAACTTTTAGCACACATTACGCATACGCCACGTTGTCTGAGTGAATTTTCAAATAAAAATGTTTTTGGGAAAATGGCCAAGGGAAGAGGGGAAAACTAGGTCAGCGATAAAGTTCACGATTTGTGAAAAGTGCCAACACAATGAAACCACAAGGAAAGAGAAATGGGAAGCGGAAACTTTTATAAAGCCACAAACCTCCGAAAAAAAACATATTTGTGCAGTGGATAAAGTGCTGGAAAGCCGTCGACGGAATGGATTAACACAATGGAAAAGCTAGAGCGTAATGAGGATTTTGTTCGCCAAAAACTTAGGGAGCCACAAAAGAAAAATGAAAAGCATTTAACAAGTTTTCAATTAGAAAACTGAAAGAAATAATAGCCACATTCAATCGCAAAACAAAATCGTGTGAGGGGGAAAAAGCGTTAGCCATAAAAAATAAAGCACCAAAAGCCACTTGAGTCCTCAGTTATCGAAACAAAACAAAACCCAAACAAACACTTGGCACAAAGGCACTCACATTTCCGATCCTAAGAATCCCCTTTCCCCCCTTTCTGCTTTATATAGACGAGGGTATATGTATCTGTTAGCCAAAACAGCTGTCGATGACAACGGCCTCATAAACGAGGAGGAAAAATCAAATCGCTCGTGCTTATCATCATAATGATTATCCTTAATGTCCCTTGAAAGGAAGAGAAGAAGATTTCCGCGAAAAGGAAATGAAAGAAAGATAGGACGGACCCATACCCGGACCCTTACCCGGACCCTTACCCGGACCCCGAATCCCGAACCTTAAGTATCCCATGGAATATATTTCAGTCTCCGCACTTCTATCGTTTTACGTTACGTGTGCCCCAAATTATCATCGTTGTCTGGCTTAAGTCCAAGTAGAAGGACAAACGAGGACGGGTCAGGACGGTTGGCCAACGCACGGGCCCGTCAATGGCAGACAAACGAGGAATGGGTCTGTAATGGAGATAAGTTGGTGACCCCAACACGATTCGTGTTTTCTCTTTTTTGTTTGTGTTGTTTGTTAGGCTTCGTTGCCTGCCCACAGGCCTCCACAACAAATGTTGCTTCTTTTACTTGTCTACATATACCTTTATATACAAATACATACATACATACCTTTATTTCTGTGTAAATGTGTTAATGTCTGAGGTCTTTCAATTTCACTTCTTTCTTGATTTCAATTAATTTTCAACCAAAAGCTTAATTAAAAATGTTTTAAAATGCTTAAATTCTGTCGCAGATCAAAGGGATTTCATTACTAAAAAGTTCTCCCTTGAAGCATCTGAATTTTCATGCACTTTAACCTCTGAACAATATGTATTGCCTACTTGTGGGCGCGTTGTTGGGAAAGTTTTCAACATTTTGGGGAGAGAATGGAATATCTTTTCTTGAATGTAATCTGAAACGTGGCAAAGTCAAAGTTGATTGTTATCTTTGTTGGCGCCACAAAAAACAGAAAAAAGCTTTTTCAATTTGCTTGTCCTGTAATTTTTTTTTTTGGGCAACAGGAAACACCAGGAGAAGATCTCCTGCCTCCGTTTTCGTTCCGTTTCGTTCCGCTCCGACGGAAAGCCGGAAATAGGCAATTTTCATACCAGACATTTTCCAGCCACCGATTTCTTTCCTGACTTCTGGCTAAAAGTACATACTGGAATATGCGAGTGAGTTTTCCCATTTAAATTATTCATTCATTTCATTGAAGTTCCAAAGTTATACAAAAGGTTCTCGCTCTCGTTCCTGCAACGAATGGAGCGCCAACATTTTCCCAGGGCATCTCATAAAAAATGCCCTCAAGTGCCGACGACTTCGTCTTCGTCCGTGAGCATGAAAATTATTTACCGCCTTTTCACTCACCTCTTGCCTTTTACTGTGTGTTGCAACAATAAGAAAAAAAATTGCCAACAGTTGCAGCTGACGGCAGAGAGCAGGCTGCGAAAAGGGACGCCAGAAGGCGGCTGGTTATCTTGGCCAAGTGCATCGCGTGCTTAGGGGCCGGGCCTGATGCCAGGGGCGTCTGGGCGGCCACTTGCTCACGTTCACGTGTCGAGGCCCGCAAGAGGCCAAAGTCGGCAACGACACAACTCTGCCCCACAACGAGAGAAGAGAAGAAAAGAAACAATAAAGGGCATGCGATACACACAACGCTCAAGTGCAACAACAAGAGGCGGCAACGATGGTGGGGCACGCGATTGGTAGGAAGCGGGGAAAGCTTCAACGAGCAAGCAAGCGGCAGGAATTGGTCAACATTTCGACTGGCTTCAAGAATTACAGGGTATATTAACGTTTAGGTGCATCTATACGCAGAGTCCGGAATGCCACGGGGGCAGGATTGACTGTAGACTATAGAGCAGGGGCATATTACCCTTACCTTCGATTTAATGTACCTTGCTTATGAAGACACGTGGACGCATTTTGAGTGAGGAGGAACTTGTGGAAAGGAATGAGTAGGTGAGGAGTGGAAGATGGCAATAGCTTAGGAATGGGTAGAAGAGAAACGAAAGATGCAAACAGCTGAGCAAACGAGACAGAGAGGAGGAGAGGTAGAGACAGACAGACAGAAGGAGAGGCCTAGGCAAAAGCTTATGGCATATCAAATGGAATTGAATGGAAAAAATGCACGATGGACAAATGAAAAGAATATTTAGCCGTGGCTCAAAAGAGCTTTGCGAAATGAAATGGAATTGAAAAGAAGAAGCTGCAGTATAGCAATAAGAAGATCACAAGAAAACGAGTAGAACAAACAAGAGAACAGAAAAGCTGGACAACTAAACAGAAAAGATTTTTAAGCGATTGGAGGAAATATTCAATAAATATTGTGGAATATAATGGAATATTATAGGAACTTCCAAGTACTTCAAATAAATGGAAGATGAAAATATTGAAAGGATTTATTGGAAGTTTGAATATTGAAAATGGAAAAAAAAGCTTGGGACTTGAAAGGAAAACTGTACGCAGGTTGAATGTTAAGAGTTTGGAAGAATTCGAGGAGAGGAAGGATTGGATAGGAAGTGGAAGTGGAAGAAGTAGGCATGAGGAGAAGAACTGAAATGGGTGTGAAACATTGGAATGGCTTGACAGAGCTTTCTGGAATCTCAAAATTAAAAAAAGTGTTACAGTTACCTGATATACTGAGCATCAGAAGTGCCACACGGGAGGAGCGAATGATGTATGAGGACAACTATGTGTTTCGTTACATCATAATTTACTAAACATTCCGCAAACATTTCCATGCATGAAACAAGACTCGATCGACGCCCCATGCCACCTGCCCCATGCTACACATCGCCCACCGGATGACTTAATTATATGCAGCGAGCACCTGCTTCCTCTGTGGCACTCTCCTCCACTTGGACTACAACTCCAAAAACAAAGCCCCAACGTAGTAAGTGGGTTGTGCATTGTGGAAAGCGAGGAAAGAGCACGACAGCGGGATTGGGTGGAGTACACCTGAAGGACCTTCTCTAGGGCTTGGACTCTACTCCTAATGAAAATGGAAACTTGAATTGCCAGCAGACCGAAACGGAGCATTGGTAGGGGCTGGGGCCAAAGTTGTAAAGGGGAGAAATTGAATTGAGCCTTTTTATGCGACTAGACTGCGATGACTACGGTATGGGGTTGGGGATGGGGTGCCACGAGGTTGCACGTGGTGGCACGATGTGGAGGCGGAACAGGATATTTCATTACATTTAAGCATGCATGGATGAATGGGAAATGGGAAATGTGCAAAGGGAAGGATAGGGTAGACAGGGTGACGCCCACATGGAACAAAAAATGGCAACATTGTGGAAATGTGCAAATATTGGCTCAAGTGACGGGCAATAAAAGAGTCAACAGGGGGAGGGGGGAGTGCCCATCAGCCAGCCCATCAGCCTCGAGGATGTGTCTGCCCTGCGATTTTCCATATCCGTATCCCACCTGACTCCAACCTTTTAGCAATTTATGTCCCTTTAGTGTTACATATCTCACGGATTGTCGACTGCAATTTCAATTTCCATTGATTGACAACTAGAACCCAAAAACCGAACCCCAACTCATACTCGGAACTTGAACCCCGAAAACCTGAACTCAGTCATGCCTCCATTTTGCATAATTGCCGTGCTTTTGCGGCACAAAATGTAACCCTTATTGGCCATTTGCAGGGCTATATGACATGTATTAAGGATAACTGGCCATCTGTATACAAAGTTTCATAGATTCAACCACTCTCAAATTTTTGTTCGATGCTCACTGGACATTATTTTGTTCATTTTGACTCAAATATCCGATTTCAGAACAGAATTTTGTAGCAACTAGATCTTTTAGATCATTGCATTTCACTCTCACATTATTCTGCAGTCTGTTTACAGTGAATTTTCTGCTCGGAGTCATAAATTCGAGTAGCTTTACATAAAATAAAACCCCTTAGATTGTAGGAGTAGAAGAACCCACAGAAAGACAAACGCTTAGCCCCGTGTCTGGCTGTACCACTAGTGTCCTGTGTCCCTGCTCCTGTCACAGACTCTCATATTATTATCCTTGTCTCCGCTGCGGTTTGGTGCGGTTCAGTGCGGTTCAGTGTTCGGTTATGTTATTTTTCGACTGCCAGCCTTTTTTTTTTGTGTGTGGCTGTTGCTGCTGCTGCTTTGCGTTATGCGGCGGCAGTTAACTGTGTCGTGACATGTGGCAAGCATAAAAGAACCGTAAAATGTCATGTTTGTTGGCGGCCGAACATGACGTGAAGTGGCGGAGGACGGAGACGACAGAGCGACAGAACGATGACGACTCTCACAGTTGGCTGACATGTGACTCACGCATTTGGTGGCACAGTGGGGTGGGCCATGGGAGGCGGCAGAGCCTAATAGGTGGCCATGTCAACACATAGCCCAAATTACACTAGACACGCAGGCAGCGGAACCGCTATAAATTCTGGAGTTAGCTCTGGCTAAGAACTCTGGTTTTTGATGAACTTGCCAGCGGAAATTGAGTTGTGCGGAAGCAGGTTTCGGGCACAAGGAAAGGGTTGTTGTACTGCTATAAATCGATTCTGTTACTTAATTTATTGTTTCGGTTAACGATGCAATAATAAAGTAGATATTTTGTATACAAAAAATTTACCTTAATTAAAACTTTGAAAGTCAATTGGACACATGTTGAACATTTATCTATCGATTATGGTCGATTATAGTCCATCTGTACCGCTGAAATGTGATATATATTTTTGTAGACTTTGTAGCACAGTGTTGTGGGCGCCACAAGACCCTCTTTGGTCCCTTTTTTTGTTTGTTTGACCATCAAATTTGCAAGCCAATCTCCCCGTTATTCTCCTTATTCGGGCAACCTATCCATCGTTCCTTTTAATTAAATGCAACATAAATTTGCTCAAATTTTAGGGGAAAAGAAAGAGAATGAAAAGTGTCGAACTGACTTGTCACACAATTTCGCATAATATATTTTCAATTCCCCACCATTTCCCTGCCATTTTCATTTACATTCACATTTTCTCTTTTGGTTGGTGCCATTTTTTGTTGGTGTTTTCTTTTTGTATTTTTATCCATTTCTTTTTTTTTGGTTTCTTTCTGAGTTTTTTGCCCTACGATGACAGTTTTTGTGGCCATGAAAAATGTGAAAGATTATTTTTAAATGTTGTGTGTGTTTTTCTGTATGTTTTCTGAATGCAAATGTGTTTGCAATTTAAAAATAATTAGACCCAAAACGCATTGCTGAGGGGGTTTAATACTCATTTTTATGTGATATTTAGATATATGCTCGAGGCATGGCAATCGGTGAGGGAAGTCACGCACTCTGGTGAGTGTAACAGGAGCCATTTGAAATTAATTAGGCTGCGACAACGAGGAGGGAAACACTTTAAAGCCAAGAGGGCAGTGGGAGGCGGTCAAGTGGTGGGAGTGGCACAGTAGCACACACACATACACAGGAGTTGAACGAGCGCATGACCCTCTTGTCTCTCCTCTCTGAAGCAGCATCAGCAGCAGGATTTTGCCCTAATTTTACTTTCTGCGATTTTATCAGGACACACAAACAGTGACAGAGGAACCACCCACACACACACACACACACACACACACACACAAAAAACACAAAGCTTCGCTACATTCTTTTTTTTTTTGTTTAAACTCGGCTACTCTCTCTCTTTCTCTTCCTCTCTCTTGCTCCCTCCTCCCGCAAGATGTCATAATTTACGCACTTCTTCATTTGCCTTTTGATTATTTGCACTGCTTCCACATTTGCCTCTCTTTCTGGCACACACTCTCACACTGTCTCTTTCTCTCTCTCTCTCTCTGTCTCTCTGTATGGCGAGGGGGTCGGTCCGTCGGGCTAATGAAATTAAAGTGCGAGACACCGAAAACCGCAGAAACCGAATAAACGGAATGGGAAAGGAATTACTGGTAGTACTTTTTTTTGTCCCCGTCACTCGTTTGGGTCGTGTGCCTCGAAAGCGGTTCAAAACGGTTTACCGGTAAACGCACGTCCGCGCCGGGAAAATGTCTACAGCGAACTAACGGTGCCGTGCCTGCCTCGGAGATGCTTTAGTCCGGAGAACAACCCAACCGTTCGTTTGTGCCCTGCCATGCCGTGCCGTACCGTTCATCCACGGAATGCGTCGTCGTCGTCGTCGTCGTCAGCGTCAGCGTCGGTGAGTGTTTGGTTCCTCGTGCCAACGATTGCCGTGTTTTGGCTTGGATTCTATGCTTCTGGCTAAAAAGCGAGAGAGAGAACGAAAAGAGAATATGCGTTGCTTGCCCAAGAACTTTCTCTTGCTCTTGGGGGACTTTTTTTTAATGTGAATCGGTATGCTAGACGCAAGCTGTTTGATGGAAAACTGTGAGATTTGGGCTATGATCAAAGTACTTCGAGAATTTTCCACTTATCATGAAAAGTAATGAGGGACAGAGAAAATATAGCACCAAAAAAACCATAAAAGTTGAGAGATTCTTGAGAGCAGTAGAGTGGTGTATATTTTATTGTATATTTATTTATTTATTTTTATTTATTTATTAAGAGATCATTTACCAATCAACTACGGAGGATACCTCACGGGATCCATCAGCTGTTTTCTCTTAACTCCGTTAACAAAATGTCTCTTTAAACATGCCCTGCGCATGTCCTGGCTCTCTCCCTTCGCACTGCGCTCTCTGCTCTCTCAGCAGGAGGAGTCATCGTGTGTGCACGTTTTGTCGGTGTCCTCTGGGGCCGTGACTAGCCCTTGCCGGTGGCTATAGGGTGGCAACGACTATCTGGGTAATCGAGGGAGGGGGAATCCAGCAAAACAGCTGGACACGAGGACAGATAAAGAGGACATAAGGACAGCGGGACTGGCTGTCGACTAAAGTCGCTTCGTCCTCGTTGCTTGTCGCTGGAGCAGAACAAAGTAAATCATGGATGGAAATCCGAGTCCTTTGCTGCAGTGGCAAAGTCAGTGGCATCTTCATCGCCTTCGCACAGAGATGCCAGCAACAGCAGCAGCTGATTATTTTATCAGCATTAGTTTGGTTTTGTGTTTAGTTGCCGCAACACAGACACACACACACAGACGACAGGTGGCTGCATCCCCAGAGGCAGAGAGAGAGACAGAGAGGGAGAGAGGAGAAATGTTGCAATAAGAACGTGTGGGTGTAGTGTCAGGTGGGAAAGGAAGGGAACCTCCCGCCGACAGGCACTTTCAATTTTATTTGCGCGCATTATGGCAAAACATCCTGATTATCAGGGGGATGGCGAGAGGAAAAGAGGAGGCAAAATTAGAGGATGGATGGATGGTTTGTGGAGGAGTTTCTCTCTTCAAAATATATTGCTCATACGCACCGTTGCACCCCATGGGAGAACCGATGATGAAATGATGAACATAATTCCAAGGAAAAACAGCTTCCATGCTTCGAAATTTGTGTAATGGAAAAAATACACTCCAATTGATGCTCTCAAAATTATAGGATAGGGGGACGGAGGCAGGACATAAATCTAATTGAATATTTTCTGATTTTAGTGGCGCAATTTTGATAGATTTTGATTTGTATGAATGCTGAGTGCGGATTGAAAGCTGATATTAATTAATGGAATTTAAAAGCGCGCAGCTAGCTCATTGAATTCTCGTAGCTATGTGGGGAGGGGGGAGAGTTGTGTACGAGATGTGTACTTTATAGTTACATTGATGTTAATATCAACTTTTTAATACATTTTTCTTTTGTTATCAGATTGAATTTACCTTAAATTATTATCAAAAATTGAAAATAAATATTTTATCATACATTTTTATTTGTATTTTTTTTTGTATATCAGATTTACATGAGAAGACAGACGGAGAGAATTCTAATTATAATTTAATTACGCCTACTATCTAATTATCAACAAGAATTTTATACACTTAGATTACATACATAAAACCCTACTTTCTCTCACTGTTTTTCTTCCACTTCCACTTTCACTTGTAACTTTCACTTCAACCTGGGGGTCAAAGCACTTTAACCCCCTGTTAATGTTAACCTTTGATCACTAATCTTTATATGCCTAAAATGGATGTGTGTGTGTGTGTGTGTGCGCGCTCTGTGTGGTGTGGCGCCTCCTAATTCGGTTGCACCTCACAAACGAAATATGTCTCGAAGCTGCAGGGGGAGTCGTTCCACTTGAGGCCCTTGCCATCGCGATTCCACAGCTCCAGGCAGTTCTCCTCCTCCCCGTTCTCGTAACGGAAATTGTTCGGCTCCCCGGCATTCCAGTTAGTGAATGTAATCGGACGACCGGTGGCCATCCAGAAGAAGTTGCCCTCGTCGGCCAGATCCGTGCCGGAAATCCAGAAATGTTCGTGGCCCAGGCCTGTGTGGCGTTTAAATGTGAAAAAAGTTGATTAAATGAAAGTCACAAATGTATTTATATGTTGCAAAAAAAATATACGATTAAAAGGGAACGAGAGTGTGTGTTGACTCGTGAAAATGTATCTAAGGGAAAGGGTAAAGGGAAGCTCTTACGATCCTGAATGCGCACTTTACTCTTCGTTTGTGATTTGATATTTGAAATGTTGTTGATTGTGTTGTACTTTTGTCTGTCAGGGAAATGTTTATTGGTATTTACAAGTGTACCGAAAGCATACAATTATATACCTAAATACCGGAAATCCTCCTAATTTGATGCTGTTGTGTCTACAACTGTAGAAATATTGGGTTCAAAATTCATAAGTTTATCTTTAATACGAGTATCTGCCAAACTATCTACTAAAATTCATCCCAGCCGGAACATTCCACAATATTCTTACCTAGAGGGTATCCCCATAGTCTTTGCATTTCCAAAAAAACCCTATTTTAATGTCTCGTGTCTCTCTTTCAGAGAGTAATTGTGGGCGCGCGCTTTGCCCATGGCCCTGCAGCCGTTGCAGCTTACAACATTCAACATTCCGGTATGTAACAATGTGCAACATTCACTTTTAGCAATAACTGTAGCTGTGGCTGTTTTTTTAGGCTGCTCCCTCTAGAGATTTATGCAATGTTGTAGGAGTTCGTTAGCTCCATCATCTACCATCTCACCCACTCGCTTAACCTCTGCTGTTGCATATCTCTGTTCCCTTTTCTGTTGCACGTTTATTGCTGTTGGCTGGTGTTGGGGTTGGTTTTCGGTTACCAACTTCCGTGTATTATGCCACATACGTAGAGCAATAGTGCTCGAAAGTCGAATGCCACTGACCAGTCGACAAAAATTGCTTTTGTTTGCCGGTGCGGTGTCTCATGTCTATTGTCATATTGATCGGCTTTTCTAGTGATTTAAGTTGCATGTTGCACGGTCCCATGTCTCTCTTTCCCCACCATCTGTTGTGTCAATGGTTTGACAGAGTTGTGGATAAAGTTTTCATGGTGTCTGTCTCTTGTGTCTCTTATTTCACTTACCAAAGTCACGTATGTGCTTCTCCAGTCTATCGTTCTCTTCCTGTGATGAAATGCTCGCCAAATGCATGCCATGGTAGCGGCAGTATTGTGTGGCTTTGAACCAGTTTGCCTGCAAACAGAGAAAACCAAAGGAAAATGTTAGAGATGAATGGAAAGCCAAAGCGTTGGGAGATTATATAATTGTGTGACATAGTTTCCCCCCACCACACACACCTATAGCCTGCCAGATATACGTAGATCCATATCCAGCAGTCACCAAAAACAGTCGCTGAAAAGTTTGTGTCAATAAAAGTCAAATGGGGCGTTGAATGGAGTTATATACATATATGTTCACATATATCTATGGAAATTGAATGTATCTCTCGGATGCCAATTAGTGTTTTTGTGATGCTGTTTTTGTGGCGTGGGGATTGGGCCTTCTAAAATGTTATTCTGAATCGAAATTGACAGTCAAATCGGAATCAATTTCAATCTATAACCATATCCTCTGTCCGAACTACATATTCAATTAACTCTAATGGACTTTGGCCCCTCGTGTCATTAGTCAGTGGTATAGAAAAAAAGCGAAGAGAAAGTGCCAGGGAAAGAAGAGACAGAGAGAGAGAGAGTGAAGAAGAGTATCTCCTGTTGATTGCGCGCATCTCCTTTCCCCTTTTATTCCTTTCTGCCTCTTGCGGTTGCTGTTGCTGCGAGGCAGCTCTCTGATGTGCACATAAATCGATTACACAACTATCCATCCTGTCACCCGGCACACCCATTCCTGCCCCACATCCTCACTCATCGCTAGCCACATCCTTTGGCCCATTCCATGCCCCATTCTGACCCACCTGTAACCCCATTACTTGCCCATAATTGTATTAGCCGTAATTGTGCGCGAATAAAGCGAGGTATTCCTCCTCCTGCTGCTACTTTTGCCGCTGCTTCTGTGAACATACAGCGTGCATGCCACATGTGGCACACAACGTGCACAGAAGGTGCTGAAATTCTCTTCTTCTTTGGGGGAGCCTCTCGGAGTGAAAGCGTTTATTGGGTTGTAAAAACGTTCATCTCTCGCTCTGCGCCAAGAAGTCAATTAGTTTTTGTTGTGTGGCAGGTATGAGTGAGGGGGTGAGTGAGAGGAAGAGTACTTTTAGTGGTTTCGGATGTCGGTTTAGGCAGCAGGAGATGACAGAGTCAGGTGAATGGTTTGTCAGAGGAATTGGATCTGATTTTTCGGTTAGAGAAAATCATTCTTACAGATGAACAGATGAAGGAGGGAAGGGAAAGCAACCTGTTCAGGAATTTCATCTAAGAATGAATTATGGGTTAAGATATTTCCACAAAAAAATATCTTAAATCTGTTTTAAATTGCAATAAGACTCCCATGAGGGGTACATTCATGGGAAAATGTCCCTATCGATTTCTCTACGGTTTTCTCTTTCATTTAATTTAATTTTTGCAACAGCACACAAAATTCTATTACCACAAAATGTTGCATGAAATGGAAGGAAGGTTGGAAAGAGGGATCAAATTGGAGTACGGACGACCAATCAACCGAATGAAGTTTTACACGAAACTCAATTAAGTGGCAAACAAAATGTGGGACATGTTGTTAATGTCATTAGCATGGCCAACACTCTACAGCTCCATACCTCCCTCCTATCCTCTGGCTCTCAATTAAATTTTAGATTTGATTTGCGCCTGCGTAAACGCGTGTGCAACGAGAGACCCCCTGCTGCTGCCCCCTGCGTGTTCCACTGTGTCGCCGGTTGTCAGGCCTTAATTTCCCCCCCAAAAAACGAATACAGAAATATAATATAATTTAATTGCTTCATTTGCATATTTACACACGAAATAAAATTCGTATTAAATTGCTCATAATATAATTGCATTGCATAATATTTCACATCGCTACCGAAAAAGCAACACAAACACTGAATGAATTTCGAGTTTTCAAAAATATTTGAAAATGAAATATTAGGCAGAACTCTTAATTAGTGAAGTCCCCATAAATATTCGGAAAACACTTTTGGCAAACCAAATGTGATAATTAATGCAGAAATTTAAAAAAGAATTTAAGAAAACCAAAGCAGAACCATTAAAAATAAGTATATTTCAATGTTAATTTGTGGCTAACGCTTAAATGGCTATGCTCTACAAAATATGGGATAAAATAAAGATTAGAATGAAATCTAGAAATTCGCTATAAATGTAAAGGGATATTTTTAGCGATTCAGATACTGAATATAGTAAGTTACTATATTTATGGGATATTTGGAATTTAGGAATTATTTAAAAAAAAAGAAAATTTCTAGGGAGGGAAATCAACAAGTTTTTTCATGAAACGGAGCACCGTTTATTTTAAGGATGATGGAGTGAAAAGAAAAGATGTTTAAGAGTATTTTCTGTTGTTAGCACACTTCTTCTTAAAGTGTATACCCTTTAGAGTCTAGGGTATACTCGTATTCAAATAAAAACAATTAAAAATTAAAACCAAATTAAAATGCCAATGTTCTGAGCTTACGAGATGCTTAAAATTTTAATCGCTTTGACAATTGCCTGAATTTCGAATTAGAGACAAAGGCAGAAAGGGAGTGGGGAGAGTGAAGGAAAGATACAAATGTGTGAGGAGGTACCGTTAGCAGGCAAATTTCGGATAAATTTATGACTTTCTTTCTGTTTTCTGTTTATATGTATATAAATTTGTATTTGAATGTTTTTTGGGTGGTATTCCCTATCTTTTGGCTAATCAGCGAATGAGAAACAGGTGCAGATTGTGGGGGGAATGAGAATCGTTGTTTAATTAATGACCTTATAATGTATTCTCAATCCCCGCTGTTTATCTGGCGGCATACTCCAAATGGAATTGTGTTTTATTTACACAAAGCTCTTCGTGAATCGAGTTGGGAATCAGGGGCTTTAGGGGGAGCAAATAAACGTTCATAAACCGAAAATATGCAACGAAATTTGATTAAATATTTACTTGTTTGTGTTTTTGATTGAGTTTTTACTGCAATCAAAGCGTTGAAATGTCGCATTTAAACTGCAGAGATTTATTTGTCGGCAACAAACTTAACAATTTAATTCTGTTTGGTGACATAATGTGCGGGGGGGATTGCAAAGAGGAGAGGATTAAATGGGATGATAGAAAGAAAGCTAAGCTGAAATATTCTTCTGCGGAAAGTTTTTAATGGGATTCCAAAGTAAGCAAAGGAATTATTGTAGCAGAGTGTTTCAAACCCTCTCTTTTAAATCTTTCCAAGAAATTCCTATGGGAAAAAACCATAAAAGAACTGCATCTCAAGGATATCACTGAAATATTTCGATAAAATTCGATTAAAATTCATTCCGAGGCTGGTAAACTCAATCAATCTTAGATTAACAGATTCTCTGAGTCATTCGAAGATTATTTCCAATGAATATTGATGCTTCCAAAATTGGAATCTCATGCACTTTGGTTGCTCCATCAATCCTCAAATCCGACCTTTGCTTGTCAGTGGCTTGATCCATTACTGGTGGCCCTCCGTTTCCTCATTTAATTTTTGAATGAAAATACAATGAATACTCCGTTTGCATACGATTTGCTTTACAATGGCCAAAGCTCTTCCAATTCGATGGCTCTTCGGCTTTGCCTTTGGCTTTAAAGTTCAAGGAGAATGTTGTGGTGCTGCTGCTACCCAATGAAATATAATTCAGTCTGTGACGCACATTTGCATACTGCTTAGTACCAAACCACACCTATCCATTCGATCGAGTGATGCCAATGACTCGAGCGTTTTCTTGGCTCTTTTGACTAATTTGTTTTTAATATGAATATCATAACGCATATTTATCCATCTAGATAAACATAAGGTTGGAGATCTGTTATTCGATTTACGTGCGTGCTATGATGCGTGGCCAAGCACGCGCCTCTTTTTTTTTCGATATGATATGATACACTACTTTTGATGAAGCGACCCTCAAGGTAGCAGACTGACATTGAGCGCAGTTCTAAGGCTGTTTTGTTAATGTAAGCGTTGTATAATCGATATCTCATGGAAGGCCGAGAACTGTACCGAAACGTAGCTATGATTGAATGAATGAAATGATTGGAGTACTGAAGGAAAGTCTTTAAAAATAATCTGTTGAACAGTAGTTCGAAGGCTGTTTGTATCGAAATTCAATGGAAAAAGGAACAGTAACTACTTGAAGCAGGCCCTAGTTTTATTAACTTTTAAGCTTTCTTGATCACTTCAATAGTTCCTCAAGGAACTCAAGGAATTCGTTGATAACATTGTTCTATCCAAAGAATTAAAGCTTAAGACATTTTAATTTCTGGATTTTTCTCGGTTTCTGTATTTCTATAAAACCCACAAAACCCGTAGCTCAGTGTAAAGTAAAGCTGGTTCTTCTGCTGCTGCTGTAAATATTCCATATGCCATCATCCTCTTGCAATCAGCAGCGGCAAAGGCAACGGCAGACGGCAGCTGCTGCCCCAAGTCCCCACTCGAGAGACGACGACCCATCAAACCGGACTTGTAAACCGTTGTCTCAACCGATGGCTGAACCGTCTGGACAGTTGCACTTTTGGTTGGTTATTTTGTTGGTTACTTTATTGGCCACATTACGAGTATGGGCCAACGTATGGGGCATCGTGCGGAATGCCGCTTACCTTGAAGAAGATGCCCAGGTAATAGCGCTTCTCCCCGAGCTTCAGCAGCGGCATTGTCCATTTGTTCGGCGTGTACTGTGACTCGTCCACGCAGTTCGGGCAGTCTATAAATAAAGATCAAAAACAGGCATAAGGATACAGATTCGAACGAAAAGATGCAACAAAATAAAAGAAAAAAAGAAGAGCCTGGTAAAAAATGTGGGTAGGAGACATGTAGGATGATGTATGCGACGGTTATAAACGTTTTCTGTCGGTAATAATAATTGCATGTTTATGAAATTATGGAATATATGTATTTATAAGAATGTTTCAAGAAATTAAAACCTAATTTAGGATATTCAAATGAAAGAACTTTAGATATTTTTTTTATGTATCACTACGTGCAAAAGGAACTTCGAACTAAATATAACTTAACTTTTGAATGATATTCACTTGAAACAACCTCAGATGAACCTTAGTTCTTTGACTTTTCGTATGATAATCATTAGGATTATCTACATCTACATATAAAACGATATGCATGATAATTAGAAGCCATTTTTTGCCATCGTGGCGACTGGTTCTTTTAGGGAATACGAGTACGAGTATGAATGATGTATAATGATGCATCTGCAGGTCCCGTCTCCTACTGCTGCTGCTGCTTGAGTCATCATTTGATGGGCAGCACATGGACACCACCACAGCTTAATTAACTAACTCTTCGATGGCCCATAAAAAGCATCGTAAATCTTAAATCTTAAATGCCGTTGCCCACCATAAACGGATATTTTATAGAACAAAAAATTGATGATTCGCGGACTAATTGCGGATCAGAGACAAGAGAAAGAAATTGAATTATGAACGACGCCCCGCTGGATAAAAGTCACAAGGAAACAACAGATTCTGGTTTAAGTTTTGAGTTTTAGGAACTGGTTCCCCTCATAAGAATAAGAATAAGAATACGAATACTCGCACTACAATCAAGAACACGTTCGACTCGTCTGAAACGGCTGCAAATGTTTCGATGTGGCCTAATCCCAAATGACGTGATGGAGATTCGGGCTTGAACCAGATAGAACTTTACTCTTTATTCTCTTTATTGTTGGAATGTGAATCAAGGCCGGGGCTTTTGTTTCGATTTGTGGCCCCAAGTATGTGAAGGTCACTTACGGAGGGCGGCACAGCACATTCCTTCTAAATATATGAGAGAAAATGAAAGCCAAATGGTTTCCCTTTTGTTTCGTAATAGAGTTTGTTTTTTTTTCGCTAATGTTTGTTAATTAATCATCCAAAATGTGCGGCCCATTCATTTGAAGGTTGCCTCCGCCAAATGTTTTGCTGAAACTCTGATGATGATGATGTTGAATGTTGTATGTTTGTTGGGGGCGTCTCATTCCGCCAAAAAATATAAAGAAATATATTCAACAATGAACGTACAACGGGTCATCAAGCCAAGTCCGTGTGAAAACATGGCCAAAAAGCAGTTAACATTTTGACTTTTTCGCCTGAAAACAAAAGCAAAGAAGAGGCTGAAACAATGCCAGACTCTGACTCTGAAAGGTCTTGAGACCTGGGCTTTTAATCAATGGCAATGTTTTATTCAGACACCTTTTATAAGGTGTTTTTTTATTAGGTGTTTTGGGGTAATTTATATTAGACGGCGGTGGTAGTAAATCTTTGTTGTCTTGAATTTTGGAAAATTTCTCACCTTAAGAATAGATTTATCGCCGTTATTTAAGTTCTTGGAGTTCCTTAAAGTAAATTAAAAACTACTATAAGTTTCCATCTCCAAAATTAAAAACTTCCCCCCATATTTTGCCCTCTAAATGGTATTCCTGCAATTCTTCTGATCGGCTGATCGTCCGATGTGTCTGCCCCGCCTGTTGCATCATTGAATTAAAACAGTTTTGCTAATTATATACAATCTTGAAGCCACAGAGCGACCATAAATGCAAACCAGTTGGGATGGCTCTCCTGCTGTGTGTGACGCGATGCCGAACGAACAAACATCTTCCATCTTTTCCGACAGACAAACAGACAGACACAGACATGCAGCAAATTAAAGGTGCAAAATTGATTAAGACCTGGTGTGTGGTGGGGGGGGGTAGGACAAACATATAATTTGCAATCCACTAACCGATACGAAAACGGTAAATTGAATATATTCATTAATTGCTTGTTAAACTTTTAAGCAAACATTTGATGCATTTTGCACGAGGATTATGGCTTAGAGTTTCTAAAAGGCCGAAACCGTCGAGTGTTTGTATGATTTATTAGCCGCAAGAGAATCATAAACGAGTTTGCGAAGTACGAAAAGTCAATGTCAATTTGTTGGATACCTCGTTAAGCGGTGGATAAACCCTGATCTGATCGCCTGATTCCAGCAATTAAATTTATATTTATACCACAAGATGTCGACCTTCGTTGAAACACCCGAAAAATCAAGAAAAAAAGAACCCATAAAAGGAGAAATATGTGCATGAAACATCTGCATCATCAACCAGACATTCAACAATATACGAGTATATGTACATATATGTACATATGTATGTATATAAATATCTTTTATATATCCATCTCTTCCTGCCATATATTTTATAGAAGAACATTTTTGTGTGTTTTATGCAAATTTCCGTTTTATGTTTGACGTAAGACAAAACAAAAGAATTTCTGAATATTTAAATTCGGTTCTTTTTTTTGTGTATGCTTATTTTCTGTGTTTATGATTATGTTTTGACTTTTATAAATATTATTAATTAATTTGTGTGTGCTTGAGCGATGCAATTTTTTAACAGAAAAAGAGATTGTGGATTGGACATGGGATTCGGGGATTAAGCGGAAATTAATTCAATGCTTTAAAAATGTAGATTTAATCTGATAGAAAAGCAATAAAAGATGAGTATGAGATATAGAGGGAATACTGGTTAATTCTGATAAAATTTTATGTTTAAAATCAATACAATGATGGGTGTCCTGCTATAGGAAATGTCCCTAGAAACGAGGAGCACAGCCGGTCAGACTTAACACCAATTTGAACTTTAATCCTCAGCAGATGGCTGAAATCCCACTGTAATTATTGTAAGAATTATTCAATACTCTTTGCCTTCACTTTATTTTCAATCAATTTTAATCTTTGACTGACCCTGAACTTCATTTTAAATTTTGAAACCCATTTAGGGCACATTTTCCACTGATTAATGGGGATTTCGCATGTCAACCAAATGGTTTGTTTTATTACAAACATTTCAACAGCCACACAAAAAAGGTGCACAAGCTCTTGATTAATTTGGATTTTTAGAGCATGTTTTATACGGGTAAAATAAATCGAATTTGGGCCAATGAGCTGCAGCAGGCAGAGAGTGACAGATGAATGCATGGACATGGCCTAAACAGTAGCCCCAATCTGGCCATAAACTATGGCTTTAGTCTCCCTAATTAAGAAGCCATCCACTTCACACATTCCCATCCATAGACACAGTCCAGTCAGAGTCAGTCATCCATCTATCCAGCGATCCATCTGTTCATCCAATCCCCCGAATCAAGAAAAGTGAAAGTGAATTTTGAATCTGTTTTTTGTTTATTCCAGTTTTCTTTTTAAGTAGGATTCCCGTCATGGGAAACCGTGAATCGTGAATGAGAGAGTCTTATGCAATGAGAGAGTTTAAGAGAGGCGTGGACACATACCCGTTACAGGACCCTGAACAGCTCCTTTGCTTTGTGGCGTTGCCATTGCCAATGTCCTCGTGTCCAGGCTGCCCAGCAGCTGAACCGAGATTATCACAGACAAAATATAATAATTCTGCATGTTTTCAATCGTTAAATTATACCAAACAAAATATGAATATATTTTTGGTTACACACTTCCGCAAAAAACACACTTTTACCCTGAAAAATGCCGTATAATATTTATGAAAAAAGTTTCGCTTTTGTGTGGTATGTGGATTCAACGCATATTTTGTTTATTGAGATTTTATTGGGGTTATTGATTGTTTTCGTTCGATTTATGAATTATTTTGAATAATATACAGATGCTTATCGGAGCTGTGCGGAATCGGCGTGGAATTGAAATGAAATCGAAAGTTGGTTACAAATAAAATACTCGCGAGTGAATAAAATATTGTGAGATATGTGCGCAGGCGCGCGCCCAAACTGAATGTCGGCTGTCGAAGAACTAAAGATTTTGGTTGGCTTCGGTTCAAACCAAGGCAGAATCCCTCCCCATGAAAGAGAGAGAGGGAGAGATCTCCGAAGAGAAGAGAGAGGCAGACAGAGGCTCTTTGAGAGAGTTGAAAGACTGGTTTGAGAGTGAGAGAGAGCGAGAGAGAGAGAGAGAGATCACAATGCTCGAAGACGAACTTGTTCCGTAACGAAACTCGAAAGATTAACATCAGAGCGAGAGATCCCATGTATGGCACAGCACCGCTCGACCAGCGGACACTTGTGGCTCTGGCCTGGTCTGCTCTGACTGTTTGTCAAACACTTGACGCTAGCCTCAGCCTCGACAGAGCTGTAGGAGATGCTGTATATCAAGATTGAAGCTGAAGCCGAAGCCTCACCAAGGTCCAAGCTATCACCGAAGCGTGGACGTGTGTGACGCCTGAAACAAACACCAAAGTCGTACGCCCCGAAGTTATTCTGGTTTCGATTCTCTGCGGTTTCGAAATGAAACAAAGATCCAAACAAGAAGAATGTTCTCTGATTACATCACATACCCCTAGATGGAGGGATGCATTCCCTGAGCTTGGTCTCCAAATTTGCTCTAAACTTTACTTCTAACTGTCGGCTAACTGATTTTCACATTCTGCAGCGAATCAATGACCTTGATGTCTTGCTGCTGATGAACTAGTTTTTCGTTTCATTTTCATTCGATTGAAGAGGGCTTTGAAGTGCGCTTTATGTATGGCCCACTGTCAACCCATGCGTGTGCGTGATATTTGTTTAGACATCAACAAGATATGGAACCCACAAGAGACACTACGGTGGGTCGAAATTAAGATGTTTGATAGAGCAGGAGGGGAATGTACGACAGGGTATTGGGTATTTGAATGGTTTAAATTTCTCATAGATATGTATTTCTGAAGAGTAATTATACAGGTGCTACGTGATCTCTCTGTATATTGTGCATCTACTCGATTTCCTGATTCTAGTTATTTAAATCTCCGATTCGTTATTTATCAATTAATAGTTGATAGATTGCTAGAGAATGAAAAACAAGGGACAAACTACAGATAGAGGCCTTGAAATGTGTCTGAAATGCTGGAATTCCTTGTTGTATTCCTCTCAATTCCCATCAATCATCCAAAGGATCTCCATTGAAGATGTCACTCCATTAAGAACTGCAAACATTTTCCGATTAAAGTTTTCAAAAGTTTTTTTTTTCTGAATTCCGATAATCCGATTGGGTTTATAAAAACATATATCTATGTATCGTGCGAGTGTACGGGACTGGGTGTACGATTGTGCCACCAATTAAGACTCGGTCATAAAAATTGATTTTGCAGCAAAGACTATTGACAACTTTTTTGTGGGGCCAAAAAGTCAACAGCAGATTGTCGGGGATGGGGGAGAAGAGCGATGCGATGCGGGGTGAAGAGAGTAGGAATGGAATTGGAATCCCATCTGCAATGGCCGCAATTTGTGAGGAAATACGAAAACCAAAATCGCACCAAAACGAACCGAACGGAGTGGAGTGCTGGGGCGAGGAGAGGAGGCAGAAGTGGCAGCCACTTGTTGCACTTGTTGGTGTTGCCGCTGCCACTGTTGAAGCACGAGTATTTTTTTTCTTGTATCTTTTGCATAAAAATCAACTTCTGCGGCTACCTTTTTTTTGTTGCCGCTCTTGTCGCTCTTTTTTTACGTGCTTTTTTTTTGGTTGAATTTTTCGTTCATTTTGTGGTATCTTGTAAGTGCGGCATCGCCTTCAAGATTCGCTACAGATTTCGTGGCCGTTCTTCTCCCACTCCGCACGGGGGGAGCCCGAACTAATTAATTAATTGGGAAAACAAGAAACAAGATTTCGTAAACTTAATGCGTGTTTTATTTCGATTTGCCTTAAGATTTAATTTCCATTCAGACAAAAAAACGAAACCAGATTAGAGACCAGTAAAAAATATATAAGGCAAATACTATAAGTAGGTATATAAGACGGCAGAGTTCATTGCTTTCTGAAGGCTTATGGAGTGATCAAAATAAAAAACTTCTTTAGCATAAAATATCTTTATCTACATATTTAAGCAAGTATCTATCAATAGTATCTTCTGCTGGGGGAATCACTCGCGGCATAGAACAATCGGAATTGACTGAATATCAACAATTAAAACCGAATTAATTTGACGGATATTACAGGAAATTATAAAACCATTAAAAGGTTGTTGAATGTTGAATGATATTTATAGCTACCATTTTTATTAATAACTCTATAGTTATTTCTTGACTCTTTTTTCCTCTTACTGGTAAGCCTTCTTTCCTCGCTTCTTGGAACCCAGTGATTCCCTTAAAAAAACCTTCAAACTAATGTGAATCAATCCCCACACAAACATCAACCTGCAAACCTCAAATCTACGCAAGTGTTGGTCTTTGATGGATATTCAAACTAAAAGTTTGTTTCAATGCAAAATAGATACAAGTTTAGCTTTATGCTAATTTGGTGTGATTTCTGTGGCAGTTGCCAAGCTGTTTGTTGCTTTGTTTGGTTTAATAATTTGGATGTTTGTTAGATTTAGGAGAACATCTACGGGCAGCCTCATAAAAAACGATACAGCAAAATGAATTTAAGGAAGGAAAATGCCAGAAGAAACGCGTGAAATGTTAGATGATTTTTTCTCCCAAAAGAAACCATAAAACGAAAAGAATATGAAAGAAGAATATTTGAAGGCAATTCTTCGCGAATTTCCTGATTCGTTGTTGTCAAAAGAAACCATAAATTATATTTAATTTATTTTTAATACCATCCATTCGATACCCAATTCTTATCTCAATCGTCTGTCGCATTCGATTTAGGGGAATTGCTAAGAGAATCATTTCAAAATCCCCAACAAGTTCTGGCGATGCTTCCAATCGTGGGTGCAATGCCTCCTCTAAACTGAAGCTCAAACTGACATTCAATTCCATTTTTATGGCTCAACCTCTTTTGTTTCACAGTCGTCGTTCGGGTTTGTGTGCTGTGTGTATTTTGTGGCGTGTGGTCTATAAATTTCAATGGATTGACGTTTAAGTAAAATAAAAATCTCGTCATCGAACTACTTCTAAAAATCGATTTCAACATCGATTCGTTGCGATGCCACCAGATTCGCCTGCAGGTCGTAAATTTCGAACAGTTCCGCAGATTTTCTGCTCAGGGCCACAAACGAAGGAGAAGGGTGTGGAGGCAACCCTGGGGCCAAGTGAAATAAAACTTAATATATTTGCCAATTTTTTCGCCTTAAAATTGTGCAAATAGCCGCTGAAAAAAAACGATGCTTGCGGCTTATGTAAACTACGGATCGAGGGCTCGAGGGCATTCATCATACGCACTGGTGGCCCCGCAAATCGGCAAACGGAGGCGCCAAAGCATTCAATGCTAATAAAACTTAAAGAAATGTCAATAATGAAATGGGAAAAGTAATGCTTGAAATGGAATGGTAATTGAAAAGAAAAACAAACAAAAATTGAAGAATAATTAGATGTGGAACAGAGAAGAATGAATGTAGAGGCAAACAGCAATGGAACACTAATTGGATGGAGCATATGAGTAGGGAATGAATTGAAAGCCAAACAAAAATGGAGAAATATAATATCAATATAATTTTAAAATGAATTGGCTTAATGTTCAATTATTCGTAAAGCGTTCAAAAGATGGCAAGGAAACGTCGAGGATAATTAAATGGAATGCACAGCAGGACGCAGAAAATGCCCTGCAATGATAATTGCAATTTGTATAAGGTACGGAATGAATGAAATGGAATGACAACTGCAGTTTAGGTAATGGAATGATGGCAACAGCTTCAGGCAGAGAAAAGGAATGCCCTAAAAATCCACTGTAAATTTAAATAGTTTTATGGTTTTTGGCTTTAATTTGTGTAAAGATAATGATGTTTAAAGGCGAAAGGGAACTACCACTAAGTGGAACTAATTTACTTAGCGACTACTTGTACGAGATTGATGGATGGATCAGCATGGCTAAATGCATAGCTATAGAAATGAAGCGATCGAAGGCTGATCACTCTATCTGTTGTATGATTGATTGTAGGGGGAACTGGACTCACCCGCATCGATCTCATTCTCGCTGGGATCCCGATGGAATATGTTGCCATAGTACTGATCATGCTGCTCCGATTCCACGCTCTGCAACGACTCCTGGACATCGTCATCGAAGTCCTCCTGATTGGCGGCAGCCTGCGGCTGTTGGTCCTCCTCCTGCTGTTGCTCCTCCTCGAAGCCTCGATTCTTTTGGGAGTTGCTTGTCTGCCGCTTGGCCGCCGCTGCTGCCAGACGATTCCGCTGTGCCCCACCGCCGCTCCGCTTGAGACCACCATCGTTGGCCGCAAAGCCACGGGGACGAGGCCTGGCCGATGGCTTTGGCTTCGGGAGGATGTCCGCAATGGTGGGAATCTTTTGGTTGGCACTGCGATTCGGAAACAGTCGCCGCTCCAAATAGTTGGCGAATATCTGTTGGGTTATCTGATTCTGCCGCTGGAGTTCGCTTTGATCCAACTGGAAGCCGGGCGTCGCATTGGCATTTGCTGCCGCCTGATTTGTGCCTGAAATATGTGGCACGATTAATCACAAATCAATCACGAATCATTGTGGGTCAAAAGAGTTGTGTAACCCACTGATATTTTTGGGATGGTAATTACATAAAGTGCGGGACAACATACATACATACGTCCCATACACACATGAGGTGTGGAAAATAAAGTAATTAAAACAAAAAACCAATAAACTCTGGCCAGAAAATCAACGAAGTTTTGGTTACTCTTTTAATGGAGATTTAATGGAACCAAAAACCTGTTTATGATCTGTTTCTGTGTGTGAATGGATGTTAGGGCATCAACTCTGAGTGTCTTTTGATGCATTTTTGATTACATCGTTTCTGTTTCTCAAGTGACACACATCCATCAAAAGCAGCCAGCGATGAGGTCTGTCTCTGGGCATCAGAGGAATACCCCTTATGCCCTTTTAGAGTGTGGTGTGCAGACGAAATATGGTAATACCGAAGTGAGAGATCACTGAGAGATGGTGCGAGTGGAAGCTGAAGAAATTTGAGAGTCATTTCGATTCCAAGAAAGGGGAATATGTAAAGAGAACGAGTATTTCTTTTTGGATGTACCCTCTGTTTGGGGATCCATTTGCAACGTTCCAAAAATAAACATAAATAAAACTGTGTCAAGGCCACGCCAGTGAAGAGGCGCTTTTACAGCCCCTCAGTTAAGCGGATTGCGGATCCGTTTATTTCCCGGTTTATGTCGCCCTTTGGGAATTGCCTAATAATTGATGTACATAAGCTGCCGATTGTAAATGCTAAACACCTAATGAGGCATTAGGTGCACGCCCCGCCCTTAGCCCATAATTTGAGTGGCATTTTAGACACAACTTTATGCGTTATTTCAGGGGGCATACACGTATATCTTCCCTCATTCAACCGATGAGAGGAGAAATACCCCGAAACATAAAGTAAAATTTATTATGCAATTAAATGTAATTGTTTTTAATATTTTTTTAATAATTTTTTTGTACTCTTTTTGAGTCTCTTTTGGATGATGGTTTATCATCAGTTAAGAGCGCGCAAATTAAAAAAAAAAAAGAGTTGAAAATTCCGCCCTGACATTTGTGTCGGTGATTGAGTGCCGCTTATGTGGGTAGGGTGGGGGGTTGCCTGGTGTCTGGTGCCAGTGCCAGTGCCAGTGCCCCAGATGTCAGGTGAAACATTATGTGGCAGATTGACTGTGGAAACAAGGCCTCCGTGCTATGGCACTCGGGGGCTTATCCGATGGCATTCGCTTAATGAATCGCCAAAAGAAACACTTCATACGCTCAGTCTCGTACTCGTACGAGAAATCATCAATGAGATCTTTTAATGGGATGAGATCTTTATGGCAGATCTGAGCAGTTGTGCGATGGAAAGTGGTTATGGCTTATGGCTGTTGGTAGTAATTGGAGAGCTATTGAAAATGCTTGTTAATGGAAAGTAAAATGGGGATATATCAAAAAAATGTAAGAGGAAATTAAGTGGTATCGGTTTTGGGAGGTTATGATTCATTTTCCAAAGGAAAGAAGCGGAATTGGAGATGGACATTTTTAACAATGTCTTAAGAAAGACAAGATGAAAGAGTAAAAGAGAAAATAGGTAAATAGTGTATTTATCTATCGCTTCTAAATGGGACCTTCTAATTTGGGGAAACTTAATCAGTCGCCTCAATGAATCTAAAGTGATTCAATCTCTCATTAGCAACTGCAAATCTATTTATTCCAAAATTTGTAAGTGATTTTCAATTGGAATACAGAGCGGATGTTGAAATTTTCATTAAAAATCCATGGAATGCCACAGTCCAAGTGAAAAAGCCAAGTCATTGAACAAGAGTCTACCTTTTTGTGGCAGTAATTACCAAAATGAAACCGAAATTAGTGTGTGAGAGGGGGGATTCGGTATCTTTGAAAAACGTAAGAGGAGGAGAAACAAGGGAGAACAAAGGCAAGTTTTAGCTACGCACTCGACAAGTATTCGGAATAATTATTCTATTATCGAGTGATTGTTCTGAAACGAAAGCCTTGACTGGTTATTGGAGCCCCATTATGAGCTCTAATTTACGTGCCATTGTTGGGAGCTGACCAATCGAAAATTGTACTCCAAAATATGACACAAACAGTCACAAATGGCCAGTCGTGATGGCCTAAATGCCTGACTTTGTTGGATGTTAAATGCAGTTTGTCTGTCGATAGTTTGCTGGGGCACGCAACAGAAGGAAGGGGTGCACGACGACGATTCGGTGACCCAGTTATCTGTCAGTTTCCACTCCGATACGTATATCTGTGTATCTGTATCTCTATCTCCTCTGTATATCGGTGTGCAACAACTGTAGCAGATACTTGGCTAATTGTCGTTTGCACAGGCCACCGCATAAATCATGACAACTCGCCGAGGATGTTGAACGTGGGGACTGCCGCCGGCGAATGCCTTGAGAAAAACTACTGCGAAACTGAACCTATCCGTAAGCCGTAAATCATTTTGACTAGCATCTGCGGCTAAGAACCTCTCTCTGTTAATGTATCTGCAACAGAAGTTACAGTGCAACTTGAGGGCCGTACAATTGCCGCTTCGGTGGAAAGAGGTCAAATTAGCAGCGCCATTGCATTCATTCATGAGGGGAGTTTGCTGTGGTGGCACTGTGGCACTGCTGCACAGTTGCACTACGAAAACAAAAGCATATTTCGCCATAGCTGCTCCGCTAAATGTTTGCTCGGACTACGGACGGACCACAGCATACCATACTAAAAGATACATTTTTTTTTGTCTTGCGTAATCTTCTTGTATCTGTTTTTCCCCCGCCCCGCTCCGTGTATGTAATTACACGAACTGCCAGGCGCATGAGGCGTATACGTTACGCAGCCACCAAAAGCCAAGTCTTTGATTGACGCACCAACACTCAACGGCTGTTTGTCTCTTGAGAATCGGTTTCTGAATTCAACTTCGACTCCGACATATTGTCTGCTTAGATCATAATTAAGTTAAGTCTCGGTGGTTCGTTTCAATGTCAAGCCAAAACTAGAAAAAGATTTGTTAAATTAACTTTGAAAATGTTGTGTGTATTTTTACAGGCGTGTGTGGTGCTCTGTCGAAAAGAGTTCTTTGGATTCTTGAGAGGAGTTTGTTTTCGATTGCAAATATATGATTTTGAAGCCTATTTGTCATCGCTATCTAAAAGGTAAGTCAATAAAACTTTTTTTGTTGTATATAATTATAAATAGATTTATAGAATTTTTAGATTTCTTTTCCTGAGTGGTTTCTATGGTTTCTACTCTAAAAATCTTATCATATTTTAATATTTCTTATCTATTATCAGATATATCTATTATTTATGATCCCAGAATCATATCTGTAAGTGAATTCCTACAATTTACTTATTATGTATTTTATATTGATAGAGTACTACTGTCAGTCGTCTCTTCCAACAAAAACCATCATCACAAACCTTATCTTGACAAATTACCAATCTTAAGTTCTTAGGTTGTAGGCTCAAAGAGCCTCAAGCCCCAAAATATTTGATTTTTTTTTGGAGATTTGTTCACATTTAAATAGAAAAATTAACATATTATTTGTTGGTTAAAACTTTCAGCTTATTTCGATTGGAATTTCCAATGCAAATCAAATCGAATATCAAAGTATATTATTGGCATAATACCCAGCAATTAGCGATGATGTCTTCTACGACTTGAGAGGTGGATGAACTCTTCTCCAACAAAGTGGTAGACCCATCAATCTTCGGACATGTTTTTTTGGGAGAGGAAAGAAGCATAGGCCACGTGTCTCATCTGGCGTCGGCGGCTCCTTGGCTTTTGTTCTCAATTTCTATCTATCTGCTCGCTTAAATGTCACAAGGTGAAAGACCAGCAAATTTTGTGTGTGTGGACAGCACTCCCCATAATTCTTTCGTTTTTAATTTCGCGTTTTGCATAAAATTTCATTTTATGTGTTTCTGCTTGGCGTCGTCGTCGTAGCTGTTTCTATATTTTGTTGTTGTTTGTTTTCTTCTACTCTTCTGAAATAATTCATTTAATATTCTGAGGTCATCAGCATTCCGGCATTCGAAATGCAGTCAGAAAATCAAAATCGAACTCGAAATCGGTATCACAGTTTCGGTGAAAAATAAACTTCAAACTGGATCGTTGAATATTTATGCATCGAGAAGATGGGCATTGAACGCACCTGCCTCTTACTCTTACCTCTACAATAAGTATGTGTATTATAAAAACATAGGTACATCTACCTATATTCTATATACATATAGCAAATAACAGTGGGGGAGAAGCCATGCTGTGAGAGTCTTTTTGATCTGACGATTAGCTTCGATTCGGTTTGATTCGGTTCGATTGTGTCCAAAGTAGAACTCTCATTTTAACGAAATATCAAAAGTTGCACGGGGTGGAAATAAAGGCATATGTATAACGGTAACTAGCTTTATGGCAGAGAGAAATGTGAAATGTTTGTTGCTATCCATGTATGGAAATCACAAGAGGAGACCTGTTCTGTTGCTGCACTAGGGCAAATTTGAGCATTTGAATGTGCTAGAAGCGAATTGATAGACTCGCTTTCTTTATTTTGTTTTAAAAACTTCTGGATTATTCTGGATGATTGTTCTATGGGAAATATTTAGTTTAATTCTTATTCAAATATATTTTAAATGTCTCATAATCTATATAGGGCGATATCCTTTTAGAATCTTGATTATGAATTCCCATTTTTAATACGAAAATTGAATTCCTTTTATTCCTTAAAGATTCTGCCATAATATTCGCATGAATTTCCAATTTCCAAATAAATCAATCGAAAACCCTAGACAATCCCCAATTAAAATCACAAACACCTACATGGAATTACCATGGAAATAAGCCCTTAAAATTGATCCACAAAAGGCAATCTGTTTAAGTGCAATTGTTAATATTTGCCAATCAATTGACACACAGACAAACAGACAGACAGACAGACCCCCACCAAACCCTCAATGACTGACCCTGACACGGATTTAGAGACAATCGAGAAGACACTTGTGCCTTGTGCCCCACCCCCCCCTGGCCACACTCGAGAAGTACTACTTACCTCGCTTGTCACGGAGGCCATTGGAGACGACCTCCTCAGGGGTAGCCCCTGGGGCTGGAGTCTCCTCTCTTCTGGCGTTGACTGGAATATTTCCTCTACTGCTGCTGTTGCTGTTGCCATTGTGGCTGTGTTGATGATGATGGAAATTGTGCGGCACATTGCCCGTTGCGGGTGGAGGATGAATGGAAGCGGCTGCTACCGATGCTATGGCGGGATATGGTGCTTTGTTACCGGAATCGACACAGACCAGCGGCATGAGCACTATCAAGAGCGTGAAGCGTATCATTATCACCGCTTTTTGCTTTTTGCGGTCTAGACACCAGGTATAATGTTGCAAGTGCACTTTACTTTAACTTTGAAGCACAATCCACAGACAATTTGAACGCGTTGCTGCAGGAGAAAGCCTCAAGGTAGAGCCACGACCCCGGACTGTAACTGAAAGCAAACTGTGGATGGGTCCACGATCACCGCAATGGGAGAGTGTCGCTGTGGATGTCCAGATCTAGTTGCCTATTTGGTATGCAGCTTCGCTTTCTAAATTATCAATGATAATATGGTATCGATAGCTGGTTAGATCTCTGGGTCGCTGGCCTTTTTGTCTTTGTCCCCTCAAAAAAAAAAACTTTTGTTTTCTCCTCCCAAAAGCTGTCATCGGGGGGAGGGAGAGGCGGGTGTAGAGGCGCCTCTGGCTGGTGTGGCCGTTGAATGCTGGAACGCGGAACGTGGATTAAGTAATCGCTTTACTTTCTTTCCGCTTTTCGAATCAAGAAAGAGAAAAATGAATGATCGGGAGAGCAAACGATCGACCGCTCCGCTCGTGCTCTTTTTGTTATTTGTTACTCTCACTTTTTCGGCTTAGACTTGACCGATCTGAAAAGTGGTCCGCACTCGATGCTGGACCCTCGAACCGTGCACACACTTCGGCTTTACTTCGGTTGTCTTTCTGTCCAGCTTTCAGCTTTCCTTGCGATCGAAGCGAGACTTACAGACTAAAGCGTTTGAACGCAACTAAAACACGTTCCGTCGCTCGATTCCTCTCCGAGCTAGCTGCTGCAGATCGTTGCCGGAGCGTTGGAGCCAGCTGCTGTCTCGATCGGCGGTCAGCAGAGACCACAAATCGAGTCGAGTCGAGTCGAATCTCTCTCTCTTCCTCTCTGCCTCTCGCGATCTCTTCAGCTTTCTTGTCTGTCTGTCGTGTGCCTGTGCAACTCGTTTTGCGATGACCAGCCTCTGCATTGGTTGCACCTCTTCCACCCATCGTTGAAGATCTCTGCCGGAGATGGGGTTTATGGTGTCGTTTAATTACAGGTGTGCCAATAGATGAAGATGGTCATGGGATGGGTCTCAGATGCCTGGGATGATTATTCTGCTGCTGCTGCTGTAAGCCTGTTTAGTAAGAGATCCATGAAGAATCGTTTATTTTTAGATGCAAAATCGCTTCGGCCTTCGGTTTATAAATAGCCTGAGGGCTTAAGACAAAACCAAAGCACTTATGGATGCAGTTTCTCTGTAAGGATTTGTAACAGAGTTCAGTGGAATGTTCAATGGAACTTTGGGAATGTTAAACAGGGGATATAAAATGGAAAAGCAAAAGCAAAAGCAGAACATGCTACCCAGGAATATTTATAGCTCTTTCCCCTCTTTACCCATTTAAATTCCCATATTTTAATTCTAAAGTTCACATTTATTGTTTAATTCTTTTCCGAAATATGAATGCCAAAAGAAAATGTGAGTAGAGTGGAATGTTTTTGGGATGCCAAATTGAAAACTGGAAATTGAAATTGGAAAAAGCTGCTGGAATTTTGAATGGGAATCTCTCTGGTGTGTGTGTGTGTGTGTGTGTGGGATGATCCTTCAAAAAGGTTGTCAATCCTGTAGATCTGGTCAAGTCCGGTTGAGTTGGGTTGCAGATAGGATTCCATCTACTTCTTCTTTTTCCCTTTGCCTTTGCCCTTTCCCTTGCCCTTGCCCTTCTTGCCACCGCCGGCATTCAGTAGCTCCTCGGTGACATAGGTCTCGGCGGTGACCTTATTGCTGGGCAGGATCACTGGCTGCTTTGGTGTACGCAGCTCAATCTCGATGACGTTCTTCTTGTGGCGCGACTTGGCTTTGCTGCCGAGTTTCACGAGGAACACATCGCTGTCCGTCTCGTCGCAGGTCTTGTAGCACACCTGTAAAATGTGAACAGAAAAGGAAAGGCTTTTCAGAGTGTGCCACAATTGGAGCTGTTTTGTTGTGTTGTGCAACAACAGTTGCATCAGCAGCAGTTTTGTGTTTGCAGCCGTTGCACAGGCAAGTCACGACACCATAAAAAACAAAACGGTCACACATTCCTCATAACCATGGAGGAGCACAGGAATGCGGAATACACAGAGCCACAAAGCCACAGATCTACAGATCTACAGATGAATTCACCACTCACCTCGATACCCTTCTTTTTGGTATCCATATTCACGCCCTTCATTGTCTGCTGTATGTCCTTGTGGTCCACCTGCATGCAGCAGCTCCTTTGGTTCTGTGAGGGCGGACAGGCGGGCACCATGGGCGGCCCACCACCGCAGAGTCGCTGACGATAGCATTCCCTGCGATCGTCCTGGAAGTCGCAGGCCTCCTTGATCTTCGAGAAGGGCACATAATAGTTGTCCGTCTCGCAGGCATCGTTGCCCGAATACTTGATGTTCGCCCGCACCTTGGGGATCTTGGGGTGATTGATGATCTTGCCCCCCGTTCGGCGTCTTATGTGGTTCCGGGCAAAGGCGCTACGCTGCAGGAGCTCGTGCAGGCAGGGGTCCTTCTTCGGTTCGCAGTCGTCGATGCTGTTGCGGTAGCAGGGATCATCGTCGGCACCCAGATCGGGATTGAAGTTGCTGCCATCGTCCACGGTCTCCACCTTGTGGGTGTCCTTGAGGACGCGAATGGTCAGGCCGCTGCCATTGAGGCAGGCCTCGAACTCTTCATAGGCCTCGGGTCCCGGTTCGGCGCGACGCGGTTGCAGGAAGCACGGCGCAATCTCCGGACTGCAGTCACAATCGCACACGCACTCACACTGACAGCAGCCATCGCAATCATCCATTACTAAAGGATCAATCAATCCATTAAGAGAGGAATCTCCCCTGGAGGAGCAATGGACACTCACCTGGGGGAGTCATGGGTTGCTGGAGCATCGCATCGGTGATTGGCAGCTTGCAATCGACCTTGCCCTTTTTGCCCTTCTTTCCCTTCTTCCCCTTCTTCTTGGCCATATTTTAGTCTGTAGTTTCTGTTTTATCTGATGCTCAAATTTCAATTTGGATACGGGAGAATATCCCGAGAGATTTACTCAATTTGGATGTTGTACTTAACCAGCAAATGGCGCAATTTCCTTAGTGCTCGTTTCCGCGCTACCAAGAAAAGATAAAGAAACGAATATTAAGTTGTATTTTCTTCAGATATTAACTACTAAATATCGTCTACAAGTATCATTCTATTTTTTAATTTGAAAATTGAAGCGGAAGCCTTACGAACAAATTGAATTTTGTATTTCTACGGCAAAGAAAATTTCCCCATTTGTGGAAACAAAACTGAACACTGGAATAATTCTAATATAACTGAATGATTGAAGTTTTACCCGATGCCAACTTTTGTGTTGCTGTCTGTGGCTAAGTTTTGACTAACGATTTTCTAGAGAGTTGTATTTAAAGGTCCACCTACTATGTTTACGATTCGAAGATTGCTTTTACTTTAGGGTGGGGGATTATGATAGGTTCTACTAACTAAAAGAAAGTATCTAGAACAGATATAACTATTTTTCTTAAGGCTGAACCTAAAAGAGACTCCATTCTATCTTGGAGAGAGGGAAAGTTCTTGAGCTTCAGTCATTGCTATTCATAGAAGACTTCACACGCCAACTGAAGTTTACACCATTCCTTTCATATAGAGAAAAGGGAGGGAGTATGTGTATAACTTGGAGACACAAAGATAATGCTGATTTGGTTGAAAAAGTAAACGATATGGATATGCGGTTGGATGCAAAAAGGAAAAGGGACACAGAAGGCAACGCAGTTTAACAAAGAAAATGAGAGCGTAAACTTCTTGGATTTTGTGTTCGTGCTTACATTCAGATAACGCAAGTGTAGCAGTGGTATAATCAATGAATGATCAGCTAGGGAATACCAATCACCAATCGTCTGTATTCTCATCTTCTTTATACAAAAAAAAAACGCCAATTTAAGGTAGAAGAAATCTTTTAAGAATAAAAACATCCAAAGATCATCTGGAGGTCATCTTTTACTCACCCGCATCGCAACAGGCCTCGTACTGTGGACAGCAGGCTTCACATGGACTGCAATTATGCGACTTCCGTTGGTCGAGTCCCATAGAGAGCGATTGGCCGCCAGTGCCCCATGTGTCGTAGACAGTGGAGGGTCCAGGACCATCATTCTCGCAGAAGAAGCCGCCGCCCGATTGCCGCTTCTTGTCCTTTTTGCCCTTGCCCTTGGCATCCTTTGCCTCCTTTTTGTCCTTTTCGGCTTGTAAGTCCTTGTCCTTGGCCAGGGCCTCGGCTTCGGCCTTTTTCTGCTCCTGGACATAGCGTGGATACGCGGGAATACCACCGCAAGGGCCGCAGGTCTGCAGGCGCTGCTCAATAACGGACTTGGGGCGACCCTTGCAGGTGACAGTGGGGCATTCTATGGGGAGTAAAGGATGGCGCATAAAGGAGGGTGAGCAGCAGGGGGAGCAAGTTTGTCTTACGCCTGTCAAACTCATCCTCGCAGTAATCGCAGGGGCACTGCTTGTCCAAGTTGCAGGCATAGTAGCGCAGGCACTTGGGACGATCCAAATCGTTCCGCGCACACGGATCGGGCATCTGGCAGGGCCTGGGACACGGTGGACATCCACCGCCGCGACACCCGCCGCTCTTCTTGTCCATGGGTCCTCCGGTGGCGCTGGTCGGCGGACAGGAGCCGCAAGCAGCGCAGGGATCGGCCTCACTGCCACACGGAGGCGGAGACGGCGATCCACAGGGCGGCGGACACTTGGGGTTCCGCGAGCAGACCCTTGAGAACGGAAAGGAGGATACAATGGCCGGACCGTTGCACACCAACCGCATGATCAGGACAATGTTGCCGGTCTGCATATTGCAGAGATTGAAAAGCGGCAGCAGGCGCTTCGACAGCTCCGATGTGGGGCACCACTGCTCCCGACGCCCGGAGTGCGGCTCGTAGCAGTGGCAGTCGTCCTGCGGCGCCTCCTTGTTGGGGGAGCGCAGCTTGGGCATCTTCTGGAGATGCAACTGCAGGGCCTTGCTCCAATTGGGATTCTCCGCATCGAAGGACTCGTTCACGCGATCGAAGATCGGCTTGGCCGCAAAATCGGACAGACCAATCAAGAACTTACAGCTCTCCGTGCGCTTCTTATAGACATGCACCTGGATGCGATCCTTATCGGTCACCGGCGACTCCAGCGTGAAGAGGCAGCACTTGCCGCACTTGGGGCCGCACGGATTCACGCACGTCCCGTACTCACGATCGCAGACGGAGAGAAACACCGAAGACCGGAACGAGATCTCCGTGCAGGTGGGATACTCCTCGGGGGCGCACAGATTCTGCCGCGTGATCAGCAGATCATCGACCACGAACTCGAACATGTAGAGGAATGAATTTTTGCCAGGCATTTTTCCGAAAGTATTTACCAAATATATTTTCCCTAATAGAATTTAGAACTGAATTTTGAGAATCTGTGCTACGATTTTGATGGCAGGCCGAACAGTAATGGAAAGGGAGGGATTGGCATGAAAAGTTGCATGGAATTCTCAAGGCATGCTCTTCTGAGGGTTATGTCAAAGAATTCTTATATTGTCTTTGGTTATGTTATCGAAAGGGCGTTACCACACTCGAATTTTTAAAGGTTGAATACAAATTTCAGTTAAGATTAAATTGTGATTTCCACAGTTCCCACAGATTTCCATATGCTGGACACCAGCAGCTCCTTCTGCGTCGAGTTGACTTCTTTTTACTTGTACAAAGGGACCATGCTAGTAATTTTCCACTGCCCACTCGCAAGACTTTCCATCTCCGCCTTGCGGGTAGTGACAGGTTACACTCTGCATATATATAAGGAGTTTCCTTCCCGATTCGCTCTTTTCCATTTAGCATGGAATACTTGCAATACTTCCATCATATACTCGTATGTATATACATGCGTATACTATAGCCTCCAAAGATCCATCTCCAATTTCTAGCAATGCGTAAAATACTTTATTCAACGTCACGTTAAATGGTTCTACAAAAGATTGATCGATTGATTGATTGATTGAACTACTTTGCACTTAAAAACATACAATAGCTACAAAGCGGATCGGATCACCCAGTCCGAAAATGTATCTACAATTCCTGCAGGAGGAGGAGGAGGCTTGTCTTAAGATCTACCATAAAGTCGATTGCTAAATGCCAGAGGAAAAGTGAAGGGTGCGAAACCCAACAGAAAACAGAAGACGGAACACAGAGCGAGGAATCGATAGAATCATCGTATTACAGGAATTTACAGGAGTGTTTACAGGATTTGGAGTAGGAGCAGGATGCTGCGTGTGTGTGTGTGTGGAGTGGAGTGGAGTCCAGAGTGTGGAAGCGTCTTGTGTGCTGCTGCAGAGGTAGTAGATCCTGGTAGATCCTTCCTAGACGACACTAACGTCAGGCGCCGCGAAAGGCCACCGGCGGAAAGAGCCGCGGCCATTGCACAAACTCCACGCCGTAGTGGAGGATACCCGTGGCACTCACAGCAATCATGGCGCCCCAGAAGAGCATGAAGAGCAGGTTCTCCGTGTTGAACTCCGCGGGATATGTGAGGGTGATCATGAACATGGCCATGGCCATCAGCAGCACCGATGGGAAGGCAAAGAACCTCCAGCCCCGTCGCCACTCCAGCGGCGATGGTAGGGCCCCGCCCTCGTTATCGTTGATCAAATAATGTCCAAGGAACAGATCGATACCGTCCTGCCGCTGCCCATCCGCAAAGTTATTCAAATAGTAGCGAATCATCGAATTCTTGCCGTCCTGCAGGGCGCCCGCTTTGGTTCGCTTTCCGGTGCGCGTGAAGTCCGTCTTTAGCGCACCCGTGCCAGAGTACTGCAGCGAGATGAGGTCCGCATTGTCCGCCCAGACGCCCTTGAAGAGATCCTCGAAGCCACGCGATGCCTGCTCCACGGGCTGGCCAACATGTAGGACGCCCAGCTTCTGGAGGACGGACGTGAGGGAGCGTCGCGCGAGCATGCTCTGGACGACATTCGTGCGATCCAAGCAATCGATGCAGTTGGTGCGGAACACCCCCGTCTGCGTGGACACCAGCCGGCCGTCGTCGAAGCTGTGATAGAAAGCGAACCTCTCCGTATCGTGGGCTAGCCGATCGATAAGGATGTTCAGCCGATCCCAGCGCATCTTCCGGCACTCGTGATGGAAGTCGAAGGCCTCGTACTTGACCAACGGATTGCCCAACTCCCTGACGAGCCGCGCGAACGTAGCCTCTAGCTCACCCTCGGCGCCCTTTTGATCCACCAGATTGACGGCCACCTGGGCGCCGTAGCGCTTCACCTGATCCTGGAAATGGGCGGCACAGGCTGCCAGGTGATCCTTGCCGGGGATCAGCCTCGGACGGGGCTTGTACCGCAGATTCGGCAGCTGGTGCCAGTGGAAGGGCATGCTGCCGCGCGTCTGGACGAAGCTCGTGTGTTGTCCGTTGAACTCGACGATCTGCTCCGTTTCCACAAAGTTCGCCACATGCCCCTCGTCGTTGATGCCGCGGCAGAAGAGGCGCGTGCCCGCCCGCTGGACAGACCGGCGCGTGACGATGCTCCAGAAGAAGGTCTGGCCGTTGATCTGCACCTGGTTGACGGAGACAAAGCCGTGGATCAGCGGCAGCTGGAATCTCTGCATCTTGTCGCATTGGAACTGCTGAAGCACGTGGCCGTTCCACACGAACCGGGGATCGGCTCGTTGCAGCAGGCCCTGCCGCACGGTTTGGCCCTTCAGCTCCCGCCGCCGTTGCATCGTGTGGGTTAGGTCGTAGCGGTACGAGAAGTAGAAGTACTTGGTGTCCAGCGTCATGCGCAGCATCTGCAGATACGTCTCGTTCTCCTTCCGCTGAATGGCATTCGGAATGTACGGAATTATGTCGTATCCGGCCAGTCGCCACACAATCGATCCGTTCAGCACGCCCACGAACAGGCGGTGGGTGGCCACCAGCAGATAGTCGCAGCTGAGCAAGTGAATCGTGCCGAGGACACCGCAGATGCGTCGAGTGGGCCGCAGGTTCGCCAGCTGCCCGCCCGTTGGCTGCACTCGCGTGACCTTGTCGTGTCGGCCGATAATCAATACCTCCCCGCTGCCATTTGGCTCCACAATGAAGCTCTCGGGGGTGATGTAGAGGTTCATGTCATCGTACACCTCGTTGTCGTCCTCCATGCTGCTGCTCCTTATTGGTATCAAAGGGGGTTTATTCCGATCTTCGGGATCTACAGAGGGAAGATACGCCTTTTATTAGTTTACTTTTCCATTTACTTTGTGGCTGGGGGTGTGTTTCTTTTTTGTGTCTTACTGTTATTTTTTATGGCCAAGAATTTTTTATTTATCTTGCGACTGCAGGCAGAGGCACACGAACACACATGCAGCAGCAACAGCAGCAGCGACAGCGACAGAACTCTTATTATTATCTTCTTCTTGTTGCACCTGCTGCCACCCACCGACAGCCCGCCTACAAATGTCAATCGAGTTTATAGTTAAAACACAACACACAAAACAAATTATCTACTTAATCTCTACGTGTCGTGTTCTCTTTTATGGGTTAATCCTATGCTAACTTCTTATTGTTATTGTCTTTTCTTTTTGCCAATACGTGTGGGTGGTGTTCGTGTGGCCGCTGCGTTTTTCTGCAAAAAAAACCTACTAGAATTCCAGTATTATTTATGTGCGGTGCTGCCAACCCATTGTTTCTGGTATTCTGGTGGTATTAATGTGATTGTGTCTCGTGGTATTTTTGGTGTGTCTGTGCGGCCTGCCAACTCACACGGTCTTCGCGTGTTTCGGTGACGGATCAAAGAAATCCAAGAAAGCATTTTATGGCTTTGTACACATGCTAATTTAGTTAAAATTTACACATTTTTGTGTCTAATAAAATTGTGACAGGTGCTTAAAAAAAGTAACTCGAGAGTTCTAAGCAAGTTGGCAGCGCTCTAGGGCTGCAAAACCATACAATATATCGAACAATTTTAATATTATTAAAAAAAAAACTACGAACTGATACAAAATTACTCATCTGTCATATTGTGGTTGGAGTTTCTCATTAAGAGCTTGATTTTTATATCCTTTATTTGCGCTTAACTCTTACGCTAAACCTTAAACAATTCCAAAAACCAACAATACTATCGATAGTGCCATCTGTGGTTGTGCAGCAGCGTGACCGTTTGTGGTATTTTAAATACCTTATGGTATTTTTTAATGACAAAATTGAGTATTTTTTTTGTGTGCATCATTTTGAAAACTGAACGGACGACGCGGCGACCGACGCTGTGGCTTGCTGTGGAATTTCATTGAATTTTAAGTTCCTCCAAGGCTTTATTTTGCTGTACAAAAGTTGAACCGAGTGAAAAGTGTAGTTTTTCGATTGCTGGGTGGAAAAGTTTCACGTAAACACACACACGCACACACCATCTTTCGGGTGGCATCATTTTACGCGCTAAAAAGTGAATTTAGAGAGAATTTCTGCAGCACAATGGACACATCGAATGGGACCAGCATGCGCCAGCAGCAGGCACGCAAATCGAATCAGAACATTCAGGTCTATGTGCGCGTTAGGTGAGTCCCATCAGTGGGTAGATTGGATCCCTCCATCATGCTTAGATTTCCGTCACCGCAGGCCACTGAATGCACGCGAACGTTGCATACGCTCCGCAGAGGTTGTGGATGTGCTCAATCCACGCGAGATCCTCACACGGCACACCCTGGACTCGAAGCTGACGAAGAAGTTTACGTTCGATCGGAGTTTCGGCCCCGATTCCAAGCAATGCGATGTCTATGCGGTGGTGGTGTCTCCTCTGATCGAGGAGGTGCTCTGCGGCTACAACTGCACGGTGTTCGCGTACGGGCAGACGGGCACTGGCAAGACGCACACGATGGTGGGGAATGAGACCGCCGAACTGAAGTCCTCATGGGAAGATGTGAGTAAAAGCGAACCTGTTTTCTAATTCCTAGAAACGGGGGAAGGTTCAAACGTTAATTGCTGCTACCTGCCTTTGCATTTTGGCCCTTTTGTAGGACTCTGATGTGGGCATCATACCGCGTGCCCTCAGTCACCTTTTCGACGAGCTGCGCATGATGGAAGTGGAGTTTACGATGCGCATCTCCTACCTGGAGCTGTACAACGAGGAGCTGTGCGACCTCCTCTCCACCGATGACACCACAAAGATACGCATCTTCGATGACACCACCAAGAAGGGTTCGGTGATCATCCAGGGCCTGGAGGAGATCACCGTGCAGAGCAAGGACGATGTCTACAAGCTGCTGGAGAAGGGCAAGGAGCGACGCAAGACCGCGACCACCCTGATGAATGCCCAGTCCTCGCGCAGCCACACCGTCTTCTCCATCGTGGTGCACATTCGGGAGAACGGCATCGATGGTGAGGATATGCTGAAGATCGGAAAACTCAATTTGGTGGATCTGGCAGGCAGCGAGAACGTCTCCAAGGCGGGTAATGAGAAGGGAATACGTGTCCGCGAGACGGTGAACATAAACCAGAGCCTCCTGACGCTGGGGCGTGTGATCACAGCTCTGGTGGATCGAGCCCCACACGTGCCGTACCGCGAATCGAAACTGACCCGCCTGCTGCAGGAGTCGCTGGGCGGCAGGACAAAGACCTCGATCATTGCCACCATCTCGCCAGGGCACAAGGACATTGACGAGACGCTCAGCACGCTGGAGTATGCGCATCGTGCGAAGAATATCCAGAATAAGCCAGAAGTCAACCAGAAGCTTACCAAGAAGACCGTCCTCAAGGAGTACACCGAGGAGATTGACAAACTAAAGCGAGATCTCCTCGCGGCAAGGGACAAGAACGGCATCTATCTGGCGGAGGAGACCTACGGGGAGATGACCATGAAAATGGAGTCCCAGAATCGAGAGCTCAATGAGAAAATGTTGCTGCTGAAGGCCCTGAAGGATGAGCTGCAGTCGAAGGAGAAGATCTTCAACGAGGTGAGCATGAGTCTCGTGGAGAAGACCCAGGAGCTGAAGAAAACGGAGCAGCATTTAACCGACACCAAGGGGAGTCTGCTGCTGACAAAGAAGGTCCTCACAAAGACCAAGCGTCGCTACAAGGAGAAGAAGCAGCTGGTGGCCTCGCACATGAAAACAGAGGAGGCCCTCACCACGCAGGCACACAAGATCCTGGCCGTTGCAGATCTGGCCACCAATGAAACGGAGCAGCTGCATGGTACCATCGAACGGCGACGGGATACGGACGAAAAGATACGCAGTGCCTGCGATCAGTTCAAGGATCGAATGCAGGACAATTTGGAGGTGATTGGCGGTAGCCTGAATCTCTATTTGGAGCAGCAGGCGGCCTCCAAGCAGCACTTGAGCGAGGAATTGGGTGAGCCACAACCTAGAACAACCTATCCCTCTCTGCCACTATTCCACTTACTTCTGCCTCTTTTTGTTGCCTAGAAAACTCAAATGGCGTGGTCCAACGCTTGACTTCGAATGCAAGCAAAAGCATTGACATGCTCAAGGGGATATGCAGCCAATCGTTGAAGGATCAGGAGCAGCTCCAGGCGAAACTAGTGGCTGGTTTATCGGAGAGCTGCGATCGACATACGAAGGAGTTGGTCGAGGGACTGCTGACTCAACTGCAGCAGCGGGAGAAGCAGATGAGTGAGGATATCCAGCTGCAGGTGCTGGCGCTGGAGGAGAACAACCACAGCCACAGGGCCATGCTGGAGTCCATGCAGGAGCGCTTCTCCTCTATCATCGCGAACAATGCCGAGTCGCTGGAGAAGCATGTGACAGAGGTGCAGCAGCAGCTGGAGCTGCTCAGTGAACTGTCTCTGCCCGATGCGCAGCAACTGCAGCAGCTGCAGGCGGAGGTGGCCAACGAGCGGGCACTGGCCCACCAGGAGGAGGCCCTAATCGATTCGCTGATGATGCAAATGGAGCAGATCAAGCAGCTAAGGGCGAAGAACAGCCAGAGCATGTCCGAACGCCTCGTCCAAATGGAGGAAAATCGTCTGCAAAAGATCAAAAAAGTGGAAAAGACCAAGGCCAGTGTGCAGGCCTACCAGATAGAGGGATCCGCCGCCTCGCAGGCGGCCCAGGCAGAGCTCTCCTCCCAAATGGACAGCGGCATGCAGTGCGTGGACCAGGGCGTGGCCAAGTGCTCGATGCTGCAGGCTCACCTGACGAATCTCTGCCAGGAGTTCGTTAAACACACAAATCTGAATGTCGCAGTGTGTCGCAATCACCTTGCGGACGTGAAGTGTCTGTGCCTGGAGAATAGCAAGCAGCGGGAGACTTTCCAAGAGAAACAGCAAAAGGAACTGCAAATGCTTTGTGAGGAGCGGCAGCAGCTGGGAACAGAGGAGCGCCAGCGATTCATTGGACACTCGGCCGTTGCCAGTGACCTTGTGGAGGTGCTCAAGCAACAAACGAAAGAACATGAGGCCCTGCAGCGCCAACAGCTACAGAACTGCGAGCAGGATGTCATTCGCTTCCAACAGAACGAACTGAAGACCTATGCCCCAACGGGTACAACGCCCTCGAAAAGGGATTTCGTGTATCCACGCGCGCTGGTGGCCACGTCGCCCCATCAGGAGATAGTAAGGCGTTACCGTCAGGAGCAGGATTGGTCGGATCTGGATACCACAGCCACCATAGATGAGGTAGAACCACATAGATGAAACTCCTCTTAAAAGTTGGTTTTTTAAATCTTGTATCCTTTTAGTGCAGCGAGGGTGAGCAGGAGGACTCATTGAACTGCGTTCAGGAGCTCTCCGAAACGGAGACCATCATGAACTCCACGCCTATCGAAGGCTCGTCATCGGGCATCAACATGAAACGCGGCTGCGGCACCACACGCAGCATGAACTCGAATGCTTTGAAGCCTCCTCGAAGCAGCTCGCTGTCCCGCTCTCTGACGCCGCGCAAAAATTCACCGCGTGGATCTCCAGCCTTTAAGAGAGTGAGTAATTGTTGCTAATGATTCAATAAATAATGCGAATACTCTCCCTTTTTGCAGGAAAAAAACAAAGAGAACGTGGCCTGAATCGATCGTTGGGGATCGATGGCACACATATAGCTATATCGATATCTACTACTCGCCCCAGTACTCCACTCACCTTTCATTCGCCTTCAAATCCACTGGAGGGTCTCGTTTTATTCCTGTATATTGCACAATTATATAATTAAATAAACTTAATGATAAGCAAACCCCTTGCTATGGACCTTGGGTATACCACTTTACACTCAAATATTCGCTAAAAAAAAATTTGTGCAAACTGATGATGGAAACGTCTTGTTTGCGACCTTGAGAGTTCAATTTGAGGTTGAAGGAAGCTTATTTGTTTAGGTTTCAATGCAAATTTCCAGAATGAAGTGTGTTTTGCTTGTAAGTTTAAGCTTAATCATATGTAAAATGTATCAAACCCCTTGAGGTATTTACTTTAATTTCAATATTTGTAGCAAAACGTGTGTAAATTTAAAGAAACTTATTGTTTACGATCTTTGGGGTTTTAATTGAACTGAATTGAGTATTTGCTTTGAGTATTGCTCTGGCACTGAGGAAACTTCATGATATTTAATTTAAGCTCTAATCAAAGATATAGGAGATATATCCTAAGAAGAGTGTACACATTGCTATGAAAAGTGTGTAAATTATAGTACTGCATGAATCTACAGACAAAGGAAACATTTTGGAAACGAAGTCTTCAAATGTTTCGAGACATTCGAATCATTTCTTGCTTTAAAAGTGAATAGAAAGAATTCGACTGCAGTTAAGGATTCCTAGGCACATTCCGTAGTGCTAAAAATACTTAGCTTGTCAGAGTAAACCCAACTAATCCTCATCGCGATCCTCATCATCATCTTTGAGTATGCCCAGACGACGTGCCACCTCCTTGACATTCGCTATGAACTCCTCCTGGACCAAATTAAAGCTCATGGCCAAGAGGGCGATGCCAAAGAGCAGATACAACGAGCAATAGGCAATGGACTGCTCCGACTCATCCTTGACGCCCTTGGCAGGCACAAAGTCACCAAATCCTATAGAGAAATGTAAATAGTAAATAGAATCAACTGAGGGAAGAAAGATCTCCGGGAATGCTGCCCTACCAATTGTTGTCAGCGTGATGAAGCAGAAGTATGCGGAGTCCAGGAAGGACCAGTTCTCCCAGTGGGCAAACAGAGCGGCGCCTCCCAGGATGTAGCTGACGACCAGGAAAACGCACAGCCAGATGGGCACGGGACGATCCTTGGGCAGGAGATCACCATAGTCACCGTAATCCTCCCCATACATGGAGTCATCCTCATCGTATTCGTAGCTGGGACGACGGCGGATCTGCCGCTGGACAGGGAAACCCATGGGTGACATGATACGTGGCGAGGGGGGCAGACGCTCGGCACGCTCTCTGCGACGATGATTGCGTCGGGGTTCGCGACTCCTCGACTTGCTCTGAACGGGCGGATAGTCCTCGTAGTGGCCGCCATCCAAAAGGGACCCCTCATCGAAGCTCTCCTCCACATAATCCTCGTAGTTGCGCGGTGAGCGGCCACGCCGCTCCCTGCGATGCTCCCTGGAAGAGCCCGGTGGCGGAGCATCGTAGTCGGGCAGCTCCAAATGATTGCCGTAGCGTGAGGATTGGCGTCCCAGGCTGCCAGCGCGTCGTCCTGCGTTCCGCGGAGGCTGTGGAGAGCGTTCCCTTTCGCGATCCCTCTGTCGCTGCCGCTGGTGGGCAGATCGGGGCATTGATTGACTCCGTGGAGTCGCATGCCTCGCCCGCTGGTGGCCTCCTCCGCCTCCGAAGTCATCCAAAGCATATCGATTGGGTATAATCGGAGTCTTGCGCACCACATCCTCATCAACGTCTTCGTAGTGCTGCGAGGAGACATGCCGCGGATCCACGGACTTGGCCCGCGCCCCGCGTCCTGGAGCGGAGTGCAGGCGATGCAGCTCGCGCGATGCCTTGGACTCCTGATGATGTGGCGAGCGGACAGAACGGACGCTGGCGGCTCTCTTTGCTGGCGGCTGCAGATCACTGAAATCCTCCATGGATCCCGCATCAAAATCGTGCCGATAGCGTTCCCGCTCCACCGTGTGGCGATCCCGCATCCGATCCCTCTGCCTCTGGCGGCTGCTGTAGCGATTGCCACGATTCAGGGTCTGCGTCTGCATCTCGTACTCATCCCCGTAGATGGTGTGCCGCTGCTGGCGGGGCTGTGCCGCATTCTGCTGGTGCTGGTGCTGATGCTGCTGCTGGTACCGATTGCGTCCTCCACTGCTCCGGTGGCCAAACTCGCGATCATCGTAGCCGCCACCTCGCCCCACGGTTCGCAGTTCTGGATCGGATTGGGCATGTCCCATGGAGGGACCAAACCCGGAGTCATTGCCCGAACGCTGTGTCATCTTCATGGATCGCCGGAACGAGGGCGGCGGCTGGGAGCGGGCTTGCCGCTGTCCCCTTACCGAACGCTGCCTGGAGCGGGCATTCCGCGGCCGCTTGGCTGTACGCGTGCACACATAGCAGCAGATGCGCCAGTAGAGGAAACTGTGAATGGAAGAACCCCAATTACTGGAGGAGTCACGCAACTGTGGAGATGTCAGAGGCAGGCGGCAGACTCACCGGAATGACGTGGCCATCACATCCCCAATGTTTGACAGGCAGATGAGCATCAGGGGGATGCCAACGATGGCATAGAAAATCGTTGTCACCTTGCCCCAGTCGGTGCGCGGTGATATGTGGCCATAGCCTGTGACCCAACAAACAAACAAAAAAACGAGTACATACAGACAATGATGTATTAGAAGCTACTTAAACATGGCAAGCGATTCCGTTCCGAACAGGGAGTGTCTTTTGTCTTGTTCCTCGTGTCTTACCTTCAACTCTTCCAAAAAAAAAAAACCCCCAAAAGTTCTTGAAATGCTAATGAGGTCGGGTCTCTCGGGTCTAATCTCAGGTTGTACTTGTCGCTCCCAAAAAAAAAAATAAAAACTCCAAAAACCATTACCACAAATGGCATTTCAAGTCTGCCGCCGCCGCTTTTGGCATTTACGGAAATGCGATTATCTCTCAATAGAATTCTATGACTACGACTACGACTATCTGCTATGCTTAATGGGCGTGTGGGTCAGTAAACCCCAGAGTTAAAATCTAACCGAAAGCCGAACAGCATAAATCCATATCGGGAAATTGTGCAAAAGGCAAAAAACCAAATAAAACCCAAAAAATTCCCATCATTAAATTCTAAACAATGAACTACACTCGAAGAAAATAATTTGGAGAATAAATAATAATAAAATTAAAAATAATTCACATTTTGACATTGTCTTGCATGGCTAAGGATTCTTCCAAAAAGATCTTATAGCTGTTATTTTTATGCGAATCCCTTAAAAATACTGAACAGATTGTGCTAAGCATCCTGCATTATCCTGTAAAAACGCTTCTGCGCTATTTTGACTATCATTTCCAAAGCTGGTTAAATTCTTGCTGAGGAAACAACTGAGGAACTTGCGGGTTGAAATCACTTTATCGACAGCTTCCGTAGCAAGTAACTCTGGAAATTCTCTCTTGTTCTCTTCTGCTCTTTGTTTTCCCCCAGTGTAAACTCTCATCACGATCGGTCGTTCGTTTGGTCGGTCAGTCGCGTTTGACCTTGCCGTTGCTTTGACTACAGCTACAGTCGTAATAATTCCACTTTTGATTTCATTTGACACGCTCCACCCTCCACCCTGCAGCCTGCGCACCTGCCCCAATGGGTATGGGGAATGGAACCCCGTTTTTAGAGGTCATTCACGTGTGCGGTGTGTGCAACAAACTGTGGCGGCAGAGTGGCCCCAGTGACCTATGACTTTTGACTGATGATCTAGGAGTAGTAGGAGTAGGGGAGTACGCTGCGATCTGTTATCATGGTACCATGGGTGTGGGATGGCTGCTCTGCAATCTGTGATCTCGAGGGTGGAAGAGCCTTGGGAGTCCCTTTAGGCATCATGCCAAGTCATTATAAGTTCCAGGAAAACATTTGGTTGTGCGTGAAAATTGGCTTTGCCGTGACATAAATTCATGTGAGTAATTGCCAAATGATTGACGATCGTTTGGTTGCGATTGATGTGATTTCAACGTGATCATTGAATGGACATAATCGGTTGTCGGATTGCAGCAGTTCCTGGGCGTTCCTCCGCCAGTCGTGCCACGCTTCTTTGCGGTTTCGCTTCAACGTGAATCAACAATCCATACCGATCCGATCCGAGACGATACGCTGCGATACGTGGGCCCTAGCACCAAAAAGATCTGTGCTGCGGCAGTGTCTGGCACGACAAATGTCTGCTGCTGCCTCTGCTCCAATGTTTGCGTTGATTCATTGGCTTCGTACCCACCTGCTGCTGGCTCCCTGCCTGCCTGTCGGATGGCGGTGCCCTCGCCGGTTGACTGAGTTTTTGTGCGTCGTCACCATCTGCGCCCATCGGCTGCTCCCCATCGGTGGTTGGTGGTTCGTTCTCTGGTTATTGTTTGTTATATAAGTAGCATGCGTTGGTGGCATTGCCGAATCATTCTGTTGGGGCATCTCGTGGCGAACAAGCCGCAATAAACGGGTCAGAAAACCAACCAAAACAAAAGCCATGCGAAGTGATTGCCTAATTCTGGCTTTGGGCCTGCTGCTGGTGGGATTTGTGGCTGGAAAGTCATCGCCTGCATCCGATGGGGATCGCGATCGCGATCAGTGGGTGTGGCACTCCTACAACCGACAGCAGCGATCCTTTCGGGGCGGAGACATTGGCAGGAGTCGAAGTGCTGCCATAAGTAATTCCTACGACAACAAGCTGAGGCGAGAGCCCACCACACGCAGACCTCTGCCTGGAGAGCCAGAGAACGATGAGATCGAGGACTATGCGGATGTGGTGGATCCCACCAGGACATCGCAGGACACTACTCCGAAGGTGGGCACGCGGCAGTACAATCCGTACGGGGGACAACCGAATGCTGGGCAATTTGGAGGCTCAGGACTCTCCGGCGGATATGGCGGCAGTCCGGGCGTTCTTGTGGGCCCAGGAGGACCCACTGGAATCATTGGAAGGCAGCCACTGTATCCGACGCCCTATCAGCCCGGCTATGGGGGATTCAACGGCGCACAGAATGGCATTGGCGGATATCCTGGCGGAATCTATGGCGGAGCATCGGGAGCAGGCCTCCAGGGCTATCCAGGAGCCGCTGGAGCAGGCGCTGGCTATCCTGGTGGCGCTCTCGGAGGAGGTTTTGGCGGCTATCCCAGCAATGGACTGGGCGTCGGGCAGTTCGCTGGCGTGGGACAGCAATTCCCAAGCGCTGGACAATTCTCTGGCGTTGGTCAGCAGTTCCCTGGCGCTAGCCAATTCCCTGGCGCTGGCGGCCAATATCCCTTCGGCGGATCCTATCCAGGGGGAGACTTCAGTGGCAACCAGTTTGCAGGACAATACCCTGGCATTGGAGGACAGCAGTTTCCCGCGAATCAGTTTGGCGGCGGACCGCAATACACCGAGGGCTATGGTCTGGCCGGAGGAGCGGGTCTGGGACAGCAGCTGGGTCTCGGCGGAGGAGGCCCCTACGGTGGGGGAAACTTTGGCTTCGATGAAAAATCAGCCACTCCGGTGGTGGCCGAAGGCAAGAGCGCCAAGAGCGTGTTAGCGGCGCCCAGGAACGTGAACGATAAGCTAAGCAAGAAGGTCTAGGATTAAGGATGCTGGACCAGGAGATCCCTTAGACGTACTCCCACCCCGCCCCCTCAGTTGTATATAGAAGCCTAATTAACTTATGTATATGTAGATCCTATCTAGACCTAGAAACGAATCGAATAAATCTTTAGAAAGCCAGAGGCCAAGACCACCCACCTATCGTTGTGATCACAATGATCGAGTAGAAGAGGGAGCCGGCAAAGGTCCATTGCGACTTGCGCAGATCCTCATCCCCATCCCAGCCATCCGCCTTGATGGCCGTGAGAATTTGCTTCTCGAAATTGGCCAAATGTTTGCTCACATTCGCCATCCAGTCGCTTTCCCTCAGGACCAAAGCATCGTCCGACAGAAGCCAAATGTTCTCCGTGAGATTGAAGCGAAGATTCTGAATGTCGCGCTTGACCTGAAGGTGGTAGAAAATGGAGGTTCGATCAATGGAGGGGATTAGCAGGATGTATTAAAGGGTTCTACCTCCAATTCGTGTGGTCGCTCCAAATGCTGAAAGAGATACGCCCCACCCACACAGTAGGAGACCACCAGAAGGACGAGCAGCACATGCGACACAATGCAGGTGATGATCTTCCATGACAAACAGATGGCCGTCACACAGCGTCCGCGTTCGGGTTTTGCCGGCTCCAACATGTGCGGCGGCAGTGATTGGGCTCGTCTGCCCGACATGGCTGCACCGCTTGGAACCCTCCTCTTGGCCTAATTTATCGCTTGGCTGATCGTAAATTATGTGTGGAAAAGAAACGAAAACGAAAACCAAATTAAGGACAAGAAACCGCAGAAGCAGACGGAGACGCAGACGCTCGATTATTTGTCTAAATAAATATTTATTTTTGTGGGTTGTTGGGTTTGTTTGGGGGCAAGGCCGAAGAAGAGCGGAAAGAGAGATAGAGAGAGAGAGAGAGAGAGAGGCAGAGGCATGGAGCGGAGCGGAGAGGCGACTCCATGGAAAACTATTTTCGTACACCGGGAGGGGAATGCCCCCTCATCTCAGCATCCAAAAACGCGAGCACACGTCTCTAGAGAACTACTCTTTCGAGTCGGTTTTTTTCTGCTTTCTTTCTGCCTATGCGATGCAGAGACTACATAACAATTTCCGTGCAATTATTAACTTCGATTCTAGATTCGATTTATGGGTCCCTGACCTCCCATTTGAATGGAGAATGGCTGTGGATATGGCTTGCCCCACTAATGATGATTACCGAACACGTACATATGTATGTATGTATGTATGTATGTTATGTAGGTACCTACGCACGGGGTAATTGCAATCTCAATCGCGATGGGAAATTCTGTTTAGTTTTCAATTTTCCATTCCATGCTGTGTTACCACCACCACCCTCTGCTTCCAATAAGAACAAAACAAAACACTGCCTCGACGACGAATCCGCGCAGAAAGAACCGACACACCGATCCGTACTGAACCGTACGACTCTCCAACGTTTACTGAGGAGGCAGCCACTGGCTGAGGGATGGATCTCAGATCTCAGATCTCAATCTCTCTCTCTCTCTCTCTCTTGATCTACGGTTTTATTTTTGGTCTTACTCGAAGCTCTCTTTTGTTTTTCTTTTTTGGAAAATGTTCTTGTTCTGTTTTGTTTGGTTTACTCATGTGGATGATCAGTCGGTGGATCGGTGGATCGTTGGATCGTTGGATCAGGTGGAATTCGGTCGGACTTTTGGCGGGGTCTCCCGAAATTACTTTTACCCAAAAGAGCAGACGAATTCGGGCGTGTTCTTGATTTCAATTTCGCTGACAATAAACGGCTGCTTCTTGGAAAAACTAAGTTGAAAGTGAAATTGGAAAGGACTAACGATGGATTGCTGTATTGGCAACTTAATGGATGATATACAGCTCATAGAAAAGTACCATAAAGCAAAAATTCTATATAATTACCGTTCAAAGAAATAACAACCTTTTAGGGGAACTACTTTCTCGTCGCTTTGGGCATCTTCCAGTTCAAGAAGAGGCATTGGATGTGCTTATAAAAATGAATCCATAAATATCTGCAAAAAAAACTGTTTGTATCTGTGATATAAAAAGTTAAATTTAAATTGATTCTACTGCACAAATAAAGAGAGAAATCACTATAACTCTATAAGCCCATTTTCTAAATGAATCTATGAAATTAATTTAAAATTTGTAAGCTTAATCAATGCTTCATTCAATTCATTAAATTACAAATTATATTTTTATAATTTCAGTATTTAAATTAAGGAATTTCCCCTCTTAATCTTTACAGATTGCCATACATTTTCCAGTTGGTTGTACTTTGGTGAGTACTTTGTTCCTTTACTTTGTTTCACATCGTATCTTGCTTATCTATTATAACCATTTATGGTCAATCGACTTGCTAGCGTTGTGCTACATCATCGTTACTTAAGATAAGAGTGGAGTGGAGTGGAGTGAACTGCAGTTTGTGCGACTATATTTAGTGCCACATTTATAGGGTGTAGAGCAGGCCTTAGTCAACATTCAGTTGCCTGAACGAACCCTGCAGCCCGAATAGGTTCTCGAAATCGATAGCTTTGCCCGGTCGCAGGCTCTCGTCGGTGCCGTAGTTTTCCTCCTCCGCCCAGAAGCTTCGGTAGGCGAGGATGCGTTGCTCCCATTCGGCTATAATCTCCGGAATGGAACCGTTCTCCCCGCCGTACTCGATGGGCAGGTACTTTTTGGGCACTTGCTCGTAGAGGGCATCCCACTTGCTGCCATGGACATACAGCTAAAGAAAGAGATAGAAATCGATTGAGAATCGATTGGATTTTGACTATAGATCAGAGACTTACGCGTCCCTGCTGCTTCTTGGAGAGCATAGGCTTAACCATGTTAAAGATGGTCTCAAAACCCGCAGGAGTGTTGATGAAATGCACGCCCTGGGGCCGCAGGGGCAGTGCCTCCTCCTGGAAGACGGTCATCTTCTTGGCAAACGATGGTGTCATGTGCAGAAAGTGGCCCGTGGTGACATTCGCCATATCCAATATGGAGACCATGCCATTGACAATGGCCACATCGTCCTCGTTCAGCATGATCTGTTGCATGAGTCCTGCGGCATGATTCACCTCCTGAAAGGTGTACACACTCGGATCGTACATGGCCTGACGCAGGAGCGCTATGCGAGGACCATTGTCGTTCAGGGGACGCGGCAGTAGGATAATAGCTCTGGAGAGGGAGATCGATGAATACCTTCCCCGGGGTTTCCTTTGCAGCACTCACCCCAATCGAAAGATCTGCAGCAACTTGTCCACATCCACTTTGTGGGCCGCATAGAAATCCGGGTACTTGGTGCGCAGCGTATAGAATCGATCAATCTTGGACTTGGTTCGCTCCAGACTGTACTTGCAGCCGCGTAGGAAATTCACCAGCGTCTGATCGTCTGTGCGTGCCTTCAGGTGCGGCTGCTGGCGGATCCACTCCCTCAGCGCGGCGATGTCATCCTCAATCTTCTCGGGAATCTCATTCAGCTTCTCCACGGCAATTTTCTGCAGCTCGGGGCTCAGCGGACGGATGGCAGGCGGCATCTTGGGGGAGCGAACGATTCGATTGATCGGCGACCGAATGTCGAGTGGCGTCGACGCGTCGGCCCTGGCCTTTGTGTGCCTCAAATGGGTAATCGAAAGGCTATCTTGGATGGACGATTGAAAGAGTCAAGCGAGTCGCAAAGAAAGAGTGTATCAGCGCTTATCAGCAATCATTTATTATCGGTTTATGGGGCAGATACTCGTACTACGGCAAGGCGAGGGGTTGGTCTCAGTCGATGGCCAGCAGGCGGAAGGAGCCATCCACACCAAAGTGACTCTCGTGGCTGTTGCCGGGCGAGCGTTGTTCCACCCGTAGCTGCTCATCGATGCCAAAGATCTGAGTGCCTTCGAAGTAGTCTCGATAGCCTTCCAGCTGGGCTTCCATATCCTCTATCAAATCCTGAATGGAGCCCTTGGTGCCGCCATATTCCACTGGTAAATACGCACGAGAGACGCGCTCAAAGATGGCCTCTGGATCAGAGCTAACAGATACCTAAAAAGTACATAAAATTATGTGAAATTTAATGCCTAATTCAAGTCTGGGACTCACCCTCTCTCTGATCTTTCCGGGAAACCAGGAGAGCAGCGATTTGAAGCCCGTTTCAAAGGCTTTGGGCACATTGATGAAGTGAATGCCCTTCTGTCGCGTGGGCATCGCCTCATCGGCGTAGGCCGAGAATTTGCTTAGCAGCTGCGGCTGTAGGGCAAAGAGATTGGCAGCCGTCACACCCGTCATGTCCATGATCTCCAGATAGCCACTGACAGTGGCATTGTCATCCTCCAGCATCACGATCTCGCCGAACATGGAGCCCACGCGAATGATGTCCTGGAACTTGAATTTCTGAGTATCGTAGGAGCCCACACGAATTATTGTCACCGCAGGGCCAGTGTCCTCTTTGTCCAGGGGTATGCGCAAGATTACACTGCAAGGAGAGGGCGTTCTTTGGGGAAACCTTTTCTCTTAAATGCCGAATGTAATTTACCCCATTCGAATGATCTCCAGCACCTGAGGATCATCCACCAGGCGGTGCTCATTGAAGACCTCTGGTATCACCGCCTGCAGCGTGTAGAATCGATCGATCTTCTGTTTGGCCTTCTCCAAACTGAACTTTGATCCGCGCAGAAAACTAAGGAGAAACTGATCCTCCATGCAGGCAGAAAGATGTGGCTGCTTCTGCAGCCATGTCCTCAATGCGGATATGTCCGATTCCACGCGATCGGGCACCTCATTGAGCTCCTCGATGGCAATCTTTTGCAGGCCCGCCGGCAAGGGTCGAAGGAATGTCATGCTGACTATCGCGCTATCGATTGCAGACTGCCCAAAAAATGTTCCAAAACAAATTACTAATTTCGTTAATGCACTTCCAATGCTCCCCACTCCACACTCGACAGTATGTTTATTCAAAGCTATAGCCGATAAGATCGGACTAATCTAACGATTAGCTGCGGTCTGGCTAGGTTTTTGCTGTGTGACTTCTGAGGCACGAAAGGCAGGCCCACTGAAGGTGTATGATCTCTGCTGCAGATTATGGCCATGATTGCCATACAAAAATGGCACTTCTGAAGAGTTTGGGAGGAAAGTTCGGAGTTAGCACTTCGTGGGAGTTTGTGGCGGGAAATCGTAGAATATATTTAAGGGTTTATCCACCATTGAAGCATATTGAAGCAGAGCACTGGGTGCCCAGTGTTTTAGCCAAACTTCTGCTGTTCTCAGCTGGGGAATAGGTCTTCATTTTAAAGCAGAACAGACCCAATTAATCGATGCACATTGTTCTTTCTTAAGGATCCTCCAGTTTACAGGAATATGTCTTGTGGGTTGAGACAACTTTTGCGGTTCACAAATGGAAACAAATCTTATATTATTATGCATAATTCAATACAGCAAAGTACGAGTAGAAGTTCTAGTTCCAGACACTCGCCAAGTTGTTTATGTGCTCGAATTTCTTATCATAATAAACCCCTCTAAAAAGTACAGATAAAGATAACCCCACAGATTGGGCTTCCTTCCATAGATAGCGTATTGGCATCGGCGCGAGTACGAGTACAAGTACAAGTACGAGTATATATAGTTTATTTATTTGTATTGGTAGCAAAAGAAACATATATACGTATATAGGAGTAGAAGTTCGCTTAAATCTACGCTACTTATCGGCTATGAACCCGCGGTTGAAGCTGCCACCGTAACTACAATTGATCATGAGATATGCGATATATATATATATGTATGTATATATACGAACGATAGTTATATGAATAGTTCTATAAATACGATCTGCTCTATTCTGATCCGATCTGATGGGTGTTTCTGTCGTAACCTAAGTGTGTGGCTTGCTATTGCACAGGAGGAGCGGGAATCATAGAGAGAATCATTTATTCGAGAGAGAATCTGAGGATCAGTAGAGGCCACATGGAAGATCCGTCACCTTGGACATCGATCCCTGGGTGTAGGAGCGCGTGCGCGATGCAGGGCTCTGTCCGGGCATCGTCACCGCCACCGGTGGCTCCTGGTGCATCCTCATGGCCGGATTGCTGCTGAAGTAGATCTGCTGGTTGCTGCGCGACTTCTCCCTGCCGTTGATGGCTGCCTCATTGAGTGCCTCGTGGGCGCCGCCGCTGGAGGAGGAGGCAAAGGCCGCCTCCAGTCGCTCCACATTCTTGGTGACGCGACGGGCCTGCAGGGCGGCCGTGATGTCGGGCTTTGGGTACCGCTGTGGCGTGTTCATTCCCGTCATGAAGAAGACGCCATTGAACTGTTGGGCCGGTGGGGCAGGCGGTGCCGGTGCTGGGGGTTTCATCTTGTGCGGCACCACCACCTGCACCTGCACCTGGGCCACATCCTGGGCGCTCTTGCGCAGGGCCTGCATCGTGGGATCGTGCTCGTCGTGCCGTGCATTCATAATGACATCCAAGAGCTCCCGATTGGTGCTGGCATTGTAGGCCGTGGCGGTGGCATTGGCCTCCGGCATATCGGGGGATGGGGAGTCCATGGCATAGCTCGACGGATGATCCGTCTCGGGCGCATCGTAGTCGGCCTCATCGAAGAATGTTTGCATGGCGGCCAGTCGCTCCGCTGCCGCTGGATCACCCGGATGATGCACCAGCATCCCGTAGTCGGAGCCGCCCTCCTGCTCGGAACAGTCGGTGCGGGGCACGAGGTGCGCCAGGGAGCGCGATTTCCTGGGAGGCTGCGGCACAATGTTCACCGGGACAATGTCCTGCTCCACGGGCGGACGATGGCGCGAGGGGTGGTGGCTGCTGATCTGCTTCTCAGCCTCGCTGACGATGTTGTCCAGCTCCTCGATGACATCCTCAATGGTGGCCGCATCGTCCTCGTCATCGTCCACGGGGATTTTCAGCGACTTGTGATGCTGATTCTTCGCCGCCTTCGAGGGCAGCACCAGGATGGGCACTGGACTGAGCGAAGCGCCCGTCTCGGAACTACTGATGCCCTCATCCTCGTGCTCCGAACAGCTCTGCTTCGTGGTCTTGCCCGGCGGTGGCACCTGGCGGGGCAGTGCCACCGGCTGATGCGCCTCCACCGGCTTGAAGTTGGAATCCTGCTGTGCTCCCTGCAAGCGGAAGATCTCCCGCTGCAGTTCCGCGCACCGCTCCTGCAGACGCCGCTCCATGGACGTGAGCACGGCCTTCTCCTCGTGGAGGATCTGCACGCGCCGCTCGAGGATCACCATCTGGCTGCGGGTGCGGTCCGCATCGCGGGCCTGGGCCATCATCTTGTCAACGTCGATGTGCAGCTCGTTGAAGCGCTTCACCTCCGCCCGCAGGCTGTCCAGCCAGGGCGAGGAGGAGGAGATGGTCCGCGCCAGAGTGCTGGGATCGAGACCCGCCTGGAAGAGCTCCGCCTGGATGTAGAGACGCTGCTGAATGCTCACCGCACTCTCGATGAATGTGTTGAGGAATCTGGAGAGGATTACGGGACACTTGCAGACCTTCATCTTCGGCGATTTGATGGTTCTACTCACTTGACACCTGCACACTGCAGTTCCCCGGAACCGCCGCCGCTGTTGAGGATTCCCACCAGCAGGCGGAAGCGCACGGGTTCACTGCATCGCAATCGGAGCGTGGACATGGCGTCCGAGACGGCTGTGTGTCCCGCGGAGGCGATCTTCTGGCTGCCACTCCCACTGCCAAACGGATGGCGATCGCAGGCGGAGGCCAGCAGCTGCAACGCGAGGATTCGCGCACGAATGCCCTGCCCCGTGGCCGAAGAAGCCAGCGGCATGAGACCCACGGGTGTGTTCCCCAAACGGGCTATGGCATCCAGCGAGCGAGAGCAGCAGATGTTCAGGCATTGGCTGTAAAGGGGAGCATGCAGGATGCAGAATTACTGGGGCAGAGACTCTGGGAACTCAGGACTTACAGGCAGGAGAGCTCATCGAGCAGTGCCCGTCGCTGGTAGCTCTGTGGATTGCGGGACATGGCCAGGGAATTGCTCGCTCCTGGCACTGGCGCCGGCGCATTGCTCGCCTGCGCCATTTGTATGGCCCGCAGTACCTCCAGCAGATGGCTAATCCCATCCGATGGCGTGGCCACAAACTCTTGGACAAAGCTGCAAGATAGAAGAGCTTTAGAGGCTGAAGCCGAGGCTAGAGGCGAGAGCAAATCACCTGGGAAAGGAGACCCTCAGATCAGCCCTCAGTTTGGTCAGCAGATCCGTGATGGAGCCAAACTGTCGGAGCGACATCTCGGTGTCGCTCTCTGGCGGCGCAGGAATGGGAGATCTAAAAGGGAGTCACGAGGATATAGTAAGAGATCCCAACTAGAAGGAGAAGTGTCCCTACTTGTATTCCGAATGCTTTGCTGGCAGTGTGGAGGATCTGTAGGCCTCCTCCTTGGCACTGGGCGTCGTGCAGACATCGTAAATGGACTTCATTTTCGAGGCACTGCTCCCCTTGGTGAACTTTCGCAGCGAGAGCACATAATCCTCGGGATTGTATACCGGTGGACGTTGATTTTCCTATCATTAGAGAGCAAGATCTTTAGTTTCTTTTGTGGGGAGCAGTCAATCAATGCAGCAGCACTCACTTTACTGTAGACTGGCGCCTGGGGCCAGCTCTGTTCGGAGCCAGCCATCTTGTAGGAGGCCAAAGATCCATTGAGGCTACTGCCACCGCATTTCTGTGTACCCGAGGCGGTGCTCGAACTGCCGCCAGCTGTCTTCGAAGCAGCCACAGGCGGTGCTTGTGGTGCCATCTTCGTGGCAGTGTCGTGGCAGACACTGGGAGCCATCTGGAACGAGTGTCGGTGGTGTCCCCTGTGCTGCTGCGGCTGTGGCTGCGGCTGCTGGTGTCGCTGCAGCGTTGAGCTGTCACTGCAATAAACGGAAAAGCCATCGGGTGGAGTCAATTAATGTTACGTGCCTGACATCGAAGAACTTGAATTTGCATTCACATTGGACTATAAATAATCCCCTGGAGCCAGTTGGGGGACTCCATAGAGGATAGTGGATGGCGGGCGGGGGGGATAGATTTGGGAGGGGCCATCGCACGTAACGCACCGGAAAAACAAGCCGTTAAGTTTATTGAACATATTTCTACGAGTATTTAAAGCAACAGAGTTATCTACTCTCTGTGGCAGGTTGCTATTGCCACAGGTTGCAGGTTGCAATTGCAGTCACTGCCAAATCGGAGTCTGGTATACAGGTGGTATCTGGGATATCCGCTGGAGGAGTGTTGTGAGGTGTTGTGGCATGTGGGCTGTAGGCTGTAGGCCCGTTTCCCAGCCACTGATCGAACGAACGTTCGAATGATTTCTGATTTGTGACATTCGTGGATTTTGTTATTTAATTTTCGGCCCAAAAGAAAGACTCACTTTCACTCGATACATCCCCAACCCCCATAAAAGAAAGACAGAGAGAGAGAGAGAGAGATACCGTTACCGTTGTTGGGTGGCTGTGCCGTTAAGCCAATGTGTGGGGCTATGCAAATGCCACTGATATGCCACTCGCAGTTGCATTGTTCGACTGCCGGGGAATTATGACGTGCATCAATCAGCCATCAATCAGTCACGTACGATCTATGCAGAGGCAGAGGCAGAGGCATTCATACACTCACTCAGTCGATTCGATCGAATGGAGGTGCCACCGATTGGATTCTTTCATCAGGTGTGCCCCTGAAGCCACGGCTGCGCACAGACACTGAGGCAGCCCCCAGCCAAGGCTTGAGTCTTGATTATTGAGTGGCTGTCTGGCTGCCTGTTCGTTCCCACAGCAGCAGCTAAAACACTTCGATCAATGTCAGTGAACGACTCAAGAGAGAAACCCACCAGCGCTGGCGCTGCAGCCGCTCAAAATGTGTTGAAAGATCCGATGGAAAATCTGCATAAATCAATTTCCAAGACACAAATTGAAATCACGAAACGATGTACGAGAGTATGCTCCAAAAACAGGAATCGATAAGCAGCGCGCCCCCAGCTCCAGCCCCCCCCCCAGCTAATGGATTCACTCTCCAATCTTCAATTTTCAAGTGTTCAAGCTATTTTCGTTTTATTTCAATGAGTTTTCATCGATCGGCACGCGTGGAGAGCACCTTTTTAGAAGCACTCATCGATGGATGGCAACCATCCGCTGCAGTAGTGCCAGACGGCCCAGGCGCCCCATCCCTGCTGGGAGAGGACCTTCTGGGCGCAACGCACAGAGTTGGTGATGTCGTCGGTCAACAGGGCATTGCAGCTCAGGCCGCACTCGTTGTAGGAGAAGCGTCCATCGGCCTGGCACCAGTACAGATCGTTGATCTGGAAGATGCCGTAGTCGTTGGAGCCATCGGAGTTGGCTGGTCCCACCACCCAGGTGCGGTAGTCGCTCTCGTGCTGGGCAATGCAGGTCCACTTGTCCAGCTGGTCACGGGGAACGCCCAGGTTGGACATCTCCCTGGCCAGGGAGCAGCGGTCCATGGTGCGTCCGGACAGGGCGGGAGCGGCGGCACAGGCCAGGATCACCAGAGCAAAGAAAGCCTTCATGTTGCTGATTGTTGTTTAAACGAAAACTGTTTGACTTTTCTGTGGTTCTGGCCGCCGTATTTATGGAAAAAATCTAGCCCACTTGCCGCCTCCTCGGGCTCTGTGGGTTCTGTCCTATCTATCGGGTTGTTGTTGAGTTCCAAGTGCCAGGAGATTCGGATCTGGAGAGGATTCGTGTGCGTGTCCATGTGTGTGTGTGTGTGTGTGTGTGTGTGGCTTTTAATTAAAAAAAACCTATTTAAATATGCCATTGAATACATTGAAAGTCTCAACACTTTGGGTCAAGCAACAAGACCAAAAGAAACTTTACTTTTGTTCTTATCAAAAGACAAGACGACGGCGACCACATGCGGCACACGAGTGCTCCGCTCGTTGAAGAGGTTTATGCCCCACAATGTGGCATAGTTTTAGGCTTTTAGGGACAGAACTCTGTGGCTCTTTCAGCAAAGCTTTCAGCAGATAAATGTACACATACTTATATACTGTACGTACACCTTGAAAATCATTTCTTAATCTTGATTTCGTCATTGTTTCGTTGTTAAAGTTCATTGAAACTGGGAGAAAGGTAAAGGGGTACAAGGTGCGAGTGGTAGAGACCTCGACGACGCGCCCTCAAACACTGATTAGCATAATTGTTGTTATATCAACAATGACGATGGAATGGATGTTGTTTCGCTTGGAGATTCGCTGCTTAGAAAGGGCTCATTGTACTATCGCGAGAGTCATTGGATTAGGGCCCCGAAAAAATACCTGAATGGATGGACCAGATGGAACCGAACCACCCAAGCCCCGCCCAAGTTGGCACTAATGGTGATCCATATGATTGATAGCCCCATTCGGATTGTCGGATGGGGTGGGGGGTGGGGGGCTAATAGCTGCAGTCAAGTGGAGCTGTTTTGGCCATTAAAAAACCCAACGACTAGACTCCACCACAGTCGGACATTAAACTTGGGATCCCGTGCAAAATATATGGCAGAGATGGGAGTTTCGTTTTGAAAGAAATACCTCGCAATTTCCAGACTCGGAATCGCTGGGATGCCGCACAATGAATAACTATGAATAATTTCCATCGACATGCAACACGACGCCACACGGGTTGCGTGAACAGAGACAGAGACAAAGCTGCACAGAAGACAATGCCACCAAGAGCCACAATCGCACTCTTATTATAGATAAATATTTCGAATAGCTTGTGAAAGAGAAGGCGCTAGCCCAGACCCAAACACAGGCCCCCCCCACCACAGTACGCACCTGTAACTGCCCACCCGATTGGGGATCGAGTGGAACGCGAATACCTTATCGAGTGAGCAGCAAGCGGCAAGCAGCAAGCAGCACCCAAGTGCTTCCGTACCTTAAGATTGTTTTTATGATGTGTGTAGAATTGATTGAGTGAGCGAAGTAAATACGAGTATCCACCATTTCAGTGGGAGTTTCTCCATAGAATCAATTTACGATGAAGATTCGAGTATTACAACATTTACTCTCTCGGAAAGAATGCCAATATTAGCATTTGTAATTACTGGCAAATACTCGCAGAATGCACTGTTGACTCAACTGCAGTGCAATATTAAGCATTCTCTGGCTATAAATACTCCCGCCCCGCCAACTGCAGATACTTTAGTTTTTGTTTTAATCAGAATGAGAGCTTATCTATTGATCTGTGCTTTGGTTGTGGCCTGCTTTGCATCTGCTGCAGTGGCACGCACCATGAACCGTTGCTCCCTGGCCCGAGAGATGTCCAACTTGGGTGTGCCGCGGGACCAGTTGGCCCGTTGGACGTGCATTGCCCAGCACGAGAGCTCCTTCCGCACTGGGGTGGTGGGCCCTGCCAATTCCAATGGCTCCAACGACTACGGCATCTTCCAGATCAACAACTACTACTGGTGCGCTCCCCCCAGCGGTCGCTTCTCCTACAACGAGTGCGGCCTGAGCTGCAACGCCCTGTTGACCGATGACATTACCAAGTCGGTTAGATGCGCCCAGAAGGTGCTCTCCCAGCAGGGATGGTCCGCCTGGTCCACCTGGAAGTACTGCAGTGGTTCTCTGCCTTCCATCAACGATTGCTTCTGATACTCGGCGTAATCTTGTCCTTGTTCTACTCGCAGTCCAATAAAGGAATTACCACAGACTTTTGAAATTGTGAATCACCTGATTTCTATATCCCTTCCAGTGATAACTTATCGCATGCATGTCATATCATTTCGTTGTAATTCTAGGAAAGTATATGCATAGCTCCTTTCTCTTCTGGGTATAAATACTCCCTGTCTGTAGACCCAATCTTCAGTTTATAGAATCAACAACAGCCCAACAACATTCCCACAATGAGAACTTTTCTACTGATCTGTTTCCTGGCTCTGGCCGGCTTCGCACCTGCAGCTCTGGCCCGCATCTTGGATCGCTGCTCCCTGGCCCGCGAGATGAACGATCTGCTTGTGCCCCGCCGTGAGCTGGCCCGCTGGGCCTGCATTGCCAAGCACGAGAGCTCCTACCACACCGATGTGGTGGGGCCGCCCAAACCGGATAACTCCACTGACTACGGCATTTTCCAGATCAACGATCTTTACTGGTGCCAGCCGGAGGGGGCTGAATTCTCCTACAACATGTGCGGCATAAGCTGCAATGCCCTTCTCGACAACAACATCAAACAATCCGTGACATGCGCCCAAACGGTGCTCAAAAAGCAGGGATGGACCGCCTGGTCCACCTGGGACTACTGCAAAGGCAATCTGCCATCAATCGACGATTGTTTCAAAAACATACATCCATAATTACACGTACATATGCATGTATATATGTATATGTATGCACCTATAACTTATGTAAATTATCAAGGATTATAACCCAGTATAACCAATAAAGAATCCTATTAGTGAGAGACTTGTGATCTTTCATTGTGTTGTGGAGTTACACCAGTGCAATGTTGTTGCTGGCAAAGCAGAACAGAAGAGACTTTTTGACTACAAAAGTTCTTACGTTTTGTATTGCACTTTGCATCTCGAGTGAAAAGTAAGTCACGTCACAAAATTTGTCTTATCGCACGATCTTCAGATGGTCTCTCGCCAGTGCTTCATTGCTCTCTCCGCAATTCCTTCTGTCAATCGCTCTCGCAGCAACAACAACAATAATGCGGCGGTACTCTGAGCGCCAGCAGAGTCGACGCTCTCCGCAAATACGGGACCCCTCGTGTGAAGCATAGCCAGTAATGAACGGGACTTTGTAGCTTTTGTCTTTCTGTTTCAGTTTCAGGCTATACATACATACATATGTATGTATGTACACAGTTCTTATGATATGCATTACTTAATGTCTTATCCACTTCATTGATAAGATTTCACAGGAACTGCACATATTTGTCTTGTGATTCCAAGAAAAAATGCACATAATATAATGCTTGGTACTTCTTGCATTTACTTTGAGTATAAATACTCCCTGAATCAAGAATCCAATCATCAGTTCACAGTTCGAACTCTATCATAACTGTTAACACAATGAGAGCTTCGCTAGTGATCTGTGCCTTGGTTGTGGTCTGCGTGGCACCTGCCATCCAGGCCAGCCGCGTTATGGACCGCTGCTCCCTTGCCAGGGAGATGGCCCAGAATGGGGTTCCACGGGATCAGCTGGCCCGCTGGGCGTGCATCGCCGATAAGCAGAGCAACTACCATACCGACGCGGTGAGCCCGACAAATAAGGACGGCTTCCGCAGTTACGGGATCTTTCAGATCAGCAATCAGTATTGGTGCTATTCAGCAAAGGAACCCTCCAGGGAGGTCGAGTGCCGCACCGTCTGTGAAGTTTTCTTGGAAGATGACATTGGCGATTCGGTGATGTGCGCCAGGAAGATACAGGAGAAGCAGGGCTGGTCCGCTTGGCCAGGATGCACCGAGTCGCTGCCATCGATCGACGATTGTTTCTAAGACTTCAAATATGGCAAACCTTATGTAAATCCTCGAGGATTGTACACCCCATAAATATTACTTTTAATGAGGCATTTGAGTGATCTTTTTGGGGGACGGAAAACTGCTTTGCAAAACTGCCGTTTGAAAAATGCAGCCAAAAAGAGAGCAGCAAAAGAGAGCCTTTTTGGCTGCAAAAGTGAAATTTTATATATACATAATGGCCCACACACATAACAGTGTCATTATGACAGTTTGGACCGGGCTAAAAGCGAATGAAATCTATTAGACATTATGGCCAACAGCCAACAGCCAGAGTCAGAGCCCGAGCCTCAATCGCGCCACTCGATCGCGCGGGGCTGTGGCTGTGGCTGTAGCTGAAAAAAACGAGTTAATTTAATTTCCAAGCATAAAACAAATTACGTATGAAAACTGGCCGCCGTTATCGAGGGGGTTTATCATGGATGGTCCCCTAAGTGGAAAACTTTTAATGTCTGCCATCGCAAGTGGCAACGGACTTTAGTTTGCAATTGAAAACAATTTCAATTCAGAGCTACATACATCTATGGCAATCCACGGCAGAGCAGATCAGAGCACAGCAAAGAGACAGCTAGACAGCTAGACAGCTACACAGCTACAGTGATACAACAGATACAACAGATGGATGTAGGGTATCCATGGGATTGCCTTTTGGGGCTAATCGTTGGAGATCAACTTTGCCATTTTGAGCAGCGGTTTGGGCCTTGTCTTAAAGCGGGCAAAAGCGGCTACGAGTACACGAGCCTAATGTATCAATTTGTAGCGCTATTCTCAAGGGTGTCCGTGTCCGCAGGCGGGGTTGAACGACATTCTTTTGACTGTTCGCTGTTCGTTGTTCGCTGATTGATTGACTGATGATGGATGTGCTGAATCCACTTTAATCCTATCCGCCACATGGCCCCCAGAATCTCATCTCATCTATCTCTCTCAGAAAACTTTCCCGCAATCCTCAGACGCGGTGTTCTCTTTCAAGAAGGAGAAAATTTAAGTGGAAAATTGTAAAAGTTTCTCTTTATTTCGTTGAGCCGACACCTTGCCAAATTGTGTGTTCCATCCAGCCCCGCCCCGACCCGCTGCGATGATGTGTTGCACAAGACGACACTCCACAATCATCCAACATCATCGGATGTGGTGTGGCGTGCCACCAAATGCCAGCCAGGTGATGCCAGAGATTAAGTCACCGACTGACAAAAGTTCTCATGGCAGTTCCATTTCTTTAGCCCCATTTGCATTCGCATTTCGCACTCGAAAGATAAGACTATTAGGAGAATTTAGCAACCAACAAAGCAAACGCGAAACCTCCGAAAGAAATGTGGCCACTTTTCAGCTGCTGTCAGAGATCTCTCCATGGAGATTTCCTCTGAATTTTCCCAAGGCTGTCAGAGCTCCCTTGAGCTATGCTCCAAGATCTCATCGCAGCGCATCGCATCGCATCGCCCATTCCCGACTTTTGTCATCTTTTTTTTTTTTTGTTTTTGATTGTCGACTGTCATGCTTGACGGCCTCGCGCTTGACTCTAAATTAAAATACGTTTCTTCGTTACTTTTTTTGTGTGTTAGCTGTGTTTTTTTTTTTTTTGGGAGGGAAAGAGTCTTTTCCAACGCTCATTATAGTTTTCACTGGGTATTTGTTGGCTACAGATTGAGCACTGAAGGGGGGCCCTGGGGTTATATTTCAAGAGAGAAATATAGCTCCAGCAGCTGTCAAATATAATAATTAAGGTTTAAGGTTGTTGAAACAATATCACAGAGCGGGGTCTGGCCTGCTCTGCTCTGGTCTCTGGTGCTTGCCATTTGACACAGTTGCGTTTTTGGTGGCTGTCAAACGACAGAGGAGGAGAGACAACAGACAGACGAGAGAGAAATGTCTATAATTTGTGAGTCGAATTTATGGGGCAGAGTGGTACTGGTACTGGTACTGGCATTCGGGTAATTGATGCCGAAAGAAAAGGCCAGGCCCACTGGTGTCTGTGTCATGGCCGCTGAAGATCATGTAAACGTAACCGGGTGGAAAAAGCAGTAATATAATATTTATTCCTTGAGATTGTAATGCCTGAGCATCAGAGAATAGAAAAACAGAGAAAGAGAGAGAGAGCGATAGACTCACCCACCACGTAACCAGATCCATCTCTCCAGAACTTTCGCAGCGGATCACCCATGCGACTCGAGCGATCCCTCCACACGCTGCTGATTCTGGAACCATACTGCCATTCAGACTTTGACTTTTCAGTCGAGGGTTTAGACCCGCCAGCAGTCCCGTGGAACGTGTGTCTATTGATAAAAGTAAACCCCCCTTTTGCTATCAGCTATCGGACCTATTCGATTCGTTCAATTTGTGTGGCCATCAGATCAGATCAGTACAGTTGCGTGTGTTCATATTAGAAGTGGAAAAGAACCAGAAAATACTCGAAAGCGTCGCTTCGAGGAGTGCCTTCTTTTAGATAATTTAATTATGGCTCCCTCCTAGTCTATAATCTAAATAAAAAATCACATCACATGAATAGCGAGAATATTGATCCAATTTAGTCAGTGGTCAATGAATGGAGAGGCTTCAGTCAATCTTTTTCTTCCAGAACTTTTCATGTCAATCTTCTTCTTTCAGGGACTTTTCATCTTGCGAAATAGAGATCGTGTGATGTGATGTCTGAGGAACATCCACTTCCTCCACCGAATCATCTACTGATCTATAGCCCAAGATGTTTCTGTTAATTCTTTCCATGAATCTTGTTTTGGGTTCCTCATTCTCTGGTAACCTCTTTCCCATCCGACCAACAAGCTATTCCCTATTCCTCCACCATCTGTCTGTCATCTACTCCTCCCTCGAAACCAATTAGATCTGCCACAAACCAAGTGTAAACTCGAACCTATGGCCCCTCATTCTCATTGCGGTAAGCGTGATTCCAACGTTGCATTGTTACGACTGCGCGTACAACTACAAGCAACTCTGGACCGTCATAACTTTACGGTAGAGCGACTTCCACTGCCATCATTCCATTTCCATCCAATTGTCTTTGGGTCTGGGTCTGACCCACGCAATGTCGCAGCCAGAGGGCGCCGAACCCCAACTCCAACCCCGAAGCCCGAAGACAATTACTTATGCATTTCCACTTGTGGTGCCGGTGCTGTTTCTGTTGCTGGAGTTGTGCTAATGTCTTCAGATTATAGGAAACACTTGAGGGACAGCAGGCAGGCACTTGGGTTGGACTGGACACAGGCAGGCGTCTCTACCATCTCCTCTTTCCCTGGAATGGTGTAATTTTCCGGTCTTTGGTTTCCTGCTTTGTTTTAGGCCCTCCCCTCCCCTACCCGTTCCATGCCTCGGTCTCTCTCCCCACAGACGATCGATGCGTGCCTCCCGAAGAGGGTCTTGCGTTTCCACTTCCTTTGAACAGAGTTCCACAGTTCCCGTTCCCGTTGCCGTTCTAAGATGTGGAGCTGAAGCTGGAGCCCACTTTATGTACATTTATCACCAGCCTGAGCGACGGCGGCGGCCACTTGTGTAATTTATTGCGCCCCCCCTGCCGATGGCCGCCACATTATGAATTCATTGACCGGTCCAACGTCAACGAACGGCCCATGGCCCAGGCCATGCCATGTCTCGAGCAAGTAGAAGGGAAGCTGCGATCGATTCTTTCTTGGCCTTTCTTTCTTCGCTTCTCTCCCATTTCTTCCATTTAGAAAGTGTCTGCAGAGACGGACACTGGGAACACGCGAACACACTCTCGGAACCGCATAACAGCCAGACCAAACATCAGTTTACAATCAGAGTTTATTGAATGGAAATGCAAAGGGGGCAACATGCAGCTGCCTCTTAGAAGCAGTCATTGATGGAGGGCAGGGAGCCGTCGCAGTACTTCCAGGTGGACCAGGCGGACCATCCCTGCTGGGAGAGGACCTTCTGGGCGCAACGCACGGAGTTGGTGATGTCGTCGGTCAACAGGGCGTTGCAGCTCAGGCCGCACTCGTTGTAGGAGAAGCGACCGCTGGGGGGAGCGCACCAGTAGTAGTCGTTGATCTGGAACAGACCGTAGTCGTTGGAGCCGTTGTAGTTCTCGGGTCCGACCACTCCGGTGCGGTAGGAGCTCTCGTGCTCGGCAATGCAGGTCCAGCGGGCCAGCTGATCGCGGGGAACGCCCAAGTCGGACATCTCGCGGGCCAGGGAGCAACGGTCCATGGTGCGAGCGAAAGCGGGAGCGGCCAGAGCCAGGGCAACCAGAACGATGAAGGACTTCATGTTGACAATATACAGAAGAAACTGATGTGGAATGGCACGAAGGTTTGCGCTTTTATAGGAGGAATTATCTCCATTATCTGAAGTAGTTCCTTCGATAGGCAGGAGGGCCTCTCCCTATCTGTAGAAGTGTATCTGAATCTCAGGAAAAAATCCCCCCGAAATGTTGAATCCTCACTTGATTAGTGACTAGTGAGAGGTTGCTGAAGATAAAGTATTTTTAGCAGTCCAGACCAGACCGCATGTGTGCAATGGAATTCATGAGTACTTATCAGTCTCTCTGGAATGTTCTCTGATATGTTTGGTGTTCATATTTCTAATTTCATTCATCAATCATTTTGGAGCAATCATAATTTTTTGGGTTTCTTGAAAGAGTGCATCCTTTTCGGAATTAACAACTGACCCTTGGGCTTCTGAGTCAGAATACTTTGATTGGGTGAATTTTGTTTGATTTTAAAATGAAAATTTTGAATTATCCCACAATTCCCACAAAAATAAGGAGAATTAAATTTCTATTAAATGTCATTTACAGATGGTTTAGCCTTCACAAATATCGATCTGACAATTATTTGGAATCAATTATATTTTAAACGAAAAATTAATGTTTTCCATGTGGCTTCCATTTTCCCCGTCTATCAATATTAATATTAAGGATATAATTGCATTCCGTATCCACAATGGTGACAACTGGAAGGCATCCTTTAGCTTTGAGCAATTTCTATAATCGATTTGACATTTTTTCATGGGCATAATCATGTCTCTGATCCAAGACGGAAGTTGCTTTGAGTTTTAAATTAATTCTGCACTGACAAAAGCTAAAGCC